CGTACCGAGTGTGCCATCTTGTGGTCTTTTCTATGTAACTACAGCCAAAGAGCTCGCAGGGTGCACGTTTCGTCCTAAGATCCACGCGGCGCCACGCAAGGCAGCCGTCACATCGCCTCTGGCGACAGCGTGCCCTCGCCCGAGTGCGCTCGCTTTGACCGTCGAGCGCATCCTGCGCGATGCACGCAACAAGCAACGCGCGCACTAGGAGACTCTCGATTATGAACCATTCATCTATTTACTAATAACTAATACCACAAACAACATGCATCGAATCAACTTGTAATGAAATGTACTTTTTGCGACATTTGAACTGATAATGCTAGATGCTAGCAAACGTGTCCAAGGTTCTAAGCCTCTGACGCCATGTGCACGCGATGCGTCGTACTGGTCGCTTACGAGTCGAGTAGCTGCAATATATATATATATGTTGCGAGGCTACTACGAGTAAATGATGGTGTCTCGCTTCGTCTTGGCGATGACGTTGCCCTTGTCGTCGCGCGCGCCGGCAGGCGCCTTGGCCATCGCATGGTGCGCGAGCTCCTTTGGCACGGGCATCTCGCACGCCTCGAGGTACTGCTTGAGGTCGTACATGATCTCTTCGTCCTGGTCCGTGAGGAACGAGATCGCGACGCCTTCCTTGCCTGCGCGGCCTGTACGACCAATACGATGGCAGTAGTTTTGGATCTTGCTCGGCACGTCGTAGTTGATGACGTGCGTGACATCGGGGATGTCGAGACCGCGCCCGGCCACGTCGGTCGCGACAAGCAAATCGTACGTGCCGTCGCGGAAGCCCTTGAGCGAGTCTTCGCGTTGATCTTGGGATTTGCCACCGTGGAGAATCGTGGCGCGAAAGCCTTCGGCGCCGACGGCGCGGGCGACCGTGTCGCACTCCTTCTTGACGTTGACAAAGATGATAATCTTGGGCGCGTCGGCCTTGTCGCGCGACGTGCGGGGCGCGCGCAGCACGTCGCGGATCGTTTCCATGAGCTTGGAGCGCTTCTTGCCGCCGGGCATGAACCACACTTGCTGGTCGATGCGCTTGTTCTTGCCCGACGTCTCGTCACCAATCTTGACGATCGACGGGTGGCGCAAAAACGTCTTGGCGAGCCGCTCGACTTCGGGTGGCATCGTCGCACTAAACATCATGGTCACGCGGAACTTGAACTGGTTGTCGGCGACTTGGAGCTGCTGCTCGAGCTCGTCTTCGTTCTCCGACTTGAGGAGACCCCCCATGGTCTCGAGGACGTCGACGACTTGCTGTTCGAAACCCATGTCGATCATTCGATCGGCTTCATCCAGCACGACGTAGTTGCACTGGTTGAGCACGAGATACCGGTTCTCAATCACGTCGTTGAGACGACCGGGCGTGCCAATGATGATGTCAATGCCCTCCCGGACCTTGAACGCTTGCTCTTCCTTGCTCTGGCCACCGACAACGGCCACGGTCTTGATCATGTGCGCGTTCTCGCCTTCGCCAACCGTCGTGTACTTGGCGAGCTTGATGGTTTCTTGCTCGATCTGCAGCGCGAGCTCGCGCGTCGGCGCCATGATGAGCGCCAACGGCCCTTCGTCCGCCGTCCGGGCAATCATGTTGGCCGGCAGCTGGCAGAGGTACGCGATGATCGGGATCACGAACGCCGCCGTCTTACCCGAGCCCGTCTCGGCGATACCAATGATATCGCGGCGCTCCAAGCCGACGGGGATGCCTTGCATTTGGATCGGCGACGGCCGCTCGAAGCCCATCTCGGTGATCGCGCGGAAGAGCGGGGCCGGCAAGACCGCTTCGTCCCACTTGCGCAGCGGCCGGGGCGCGCGCCGCCACGCAGAATAATGTCGAAATCTTCGCGGAAAATGCGCCAGTCGCGCTCCGACATGTCGCAGAGCGCCTTCTCGCTCCAGTGCAACGCGGCCGACTGGGCGAGCTTGACCGACTCGGCTTCGCGGTTTGCCTCACGCTCCTGCATGCGCTGAAGCTCGCGCTCGCGCTCACGCTGGCGCCGCGCAACGAGTTCGGACGACATGCCGTTGGCTTCGTCGTCGGCCTTGAGCTCCAGCTGACGTTTCCGCGTGAGCTCCGTGATAAAGTTGTTGCGCTTGCGCTGCTCGCGGAGGTCGACGCCGGCCATGTACCCGCGGCCAAAGAGGAGGTTCACTTCGCGCCGCTTGTATAGCGGGTTGAGCTCGGTCGACGTGTCGTCGGTCGCGTCCCACTCGAACTGGAAGTTTTTCGCAAATTTCTCGCTCGCCTTGATGATCTTCTTCTTCGCGACCTTCTTGCCAAGGTACTGCTCTTTCAGCTGCGCGAGCTCCTTCTCCTGATCGGTCAGAAGCGGAGTCGCGGCCTTGGCGTCCGGGCGGCGGTTGGACCGCGCGTCGTGCTTGACGCGCTCCGAATCGCGGTGGCGGTCGAGCGACGTCTCGTCAAACTTGGAGTACTTGCTCGCCGATGGCATTGGCATGGTGGACGTCGCCGCGGGAGTTGTCTTGGTGCGCTGCTGCTGGAGGCGGGCCAGCGCCGCGGCTTCCCGCTCGGCCTTGGTCATGAACTTGGGCTTCTTCGCCTCGGCTTCGAGCGCCTTCTGCTTCGATGCATACTTCTCCTCGGCGATGCGAGCGATGCGCGCGACGCGCTCCTTCTCGCGGCTGATCGCTTCCATTTCCTGGGTCAGGTCCATGCCCTCGTCCGTCGTCGTCGGGTCCATCGGCGCCTCCACAAACAAAAAACACGTGTGAAACACACTGATTTCCCACCACTCGGCTGGCTACTGACACCCAACTAGACCCGCATATTGCCGCAAGCGCCTGCTCGCTGGCGTCCTCGTTCCAATGGCCCATCGCACTAAATATAAGCAATAAAATGGTTGCGAAATGCTCCAATGCTACGGCTGGTAGGCGATCGACAGCGGCATCGCTTTGTTAGAATAGTCTCGTCCGGGCTGCGTGATTTTAGATTAGATGTCAGACGTGGGTGTGGGGCATTCCCACATCAACGATGGAGTTCCTCAGCGATCTCCTCGACTCGTCGCGGGTCTCGCCCGCACCGTGGGCCGAGCCGGCGCCGGGCGCCGACAAGTACGAGCACGTGCGCTCGTGCACGGCGAACGCGCGGCTCTTCCCGCAAACGCTGCTCTCGGGCCTCTCGCTGCAGCTGCGCAGTCCGTCGCAGCAGTTCCAAGTGCACACGACCATGGCGCGCAGTGGGATTCTCACGTCGTCGTTAAGTCAGCGCATGTACGCGGCGAGCGGCGACTCGGAGGTATTCGCGCTCCTTGCGCTGCACAGCCAGCACCGCTTATCGCTCTGCGCCGAGCTCGCGCTGCCACGCGTCGGCACGTTCACGTTGTCGGCGCTCGAGTGCGGCCAAAAGGCCGTGGGCACGCCGCCGAATGCCAAGGTCGGCTTCAAGGGCGTTTACGCTGTGGCCGCGATCAAGAGCCACGTCGAAGTCGCCGTCGACGTCGCCAACGGGCCGACCGTCGAGGGTGGCATCGTGCTCGGCACGCCCGAGCTCTGCGTCGGCGTCGGTGGCAAGTACAACACTGGCATCGAGTCCACGGACGGCCGCAGCACGGGCCAAAAGCTCGAAGGCTGGAGCTTCATCGGGCAGTACAAGGCGAAGGACGGTTCGTGGCGGTCGACGGCCAGTCTCCGCGAGCACGGCTCCGTGTTGCGCTGGAACCTCAAGCAGCAAGTGAATTCGGCGCTCGCCATGGCGACCGAAATCGAGTACCAAAAGCGCCGGAACGCTGTGGTCATGCACAGCCAAGGCGAGTTCGCGCTCTCGGCAAGAGAGAGCCTCTTTGGAACGCTCGACTCGGAGGCCAAGGTGGGGCTGGCCTACCGCTGCCGCCTCTCGCCCCTGGTCCAAGTCGCCGTCTCGGGTCGTGTCAACACGCTGCAGCTCGAGACTGACTCGCACCAAGTCGGTGTTTCGATTCAACTCGGATGAGAACGAGACCAGTGCTCGATACAGGTAGACAGACAATCGAATGCTTTGCTGTAGTGGTCGATGTAATACATGTGCACGCTGCTGGCATGTGTGTTGGGTGACTAGAGATCAAGGGTACATAAATTCAATTGAATTTATGTACCCTTGCTAGAGATTGACCGCGGACGGTTGGACGGGTCGGTAGCGCAGCAGAGATGCTCTACGGAAGCTCCATCTCTCTAGATGGATCGATAGATGGATAGATATGATGTCTATTCGCGTTCACCAGCCCAACAATCTCGCTCGTTGTAAGCTCGACGTAGCGACTATATTGCCCATGTGGATAGAAGTATATTGGACAAACTGTGTTTCTTGTCCTGGAAGCCAGCGTCATGCAGCGAGAGAGTACCTGAATCCGAGACCCCGGTGTATTTAACCCTCTCAGACTCCCGGCGCGGTAGGTTAAGGCAAGGGACTTGGTTACATGTCTCGACTATTCGGGACCTTAACAAGGGCACTGCGTAGAAATAACGCAAGTCCGTTTCCCGGTTGTATGTCATTTGGCGCGTCTAATTTTGCTCTGCGCCCACGAGACAGTACAACACGAGGATGGCAGCTTGCTTCTCAAGCGGCAGCCTCCCGTGCACCAAGGCCGACTGGCCAGCGTGCGGCTACGCGTTCGTCAGTGATGCGCCATTCGCCGTGCTGGGCGTCCTCTGGCTCGGCTACGGCCTCGTCCACCTCCGCCGCAGTGGCTCGGCCGGTTCGTTCTTGCACTCTAACGTGGACGCAATCCATGACCCGGTCGCGCAAGGTAGTACGATGATGTAGCGCTCAAATGGTTCATTGTATTGTGTTGTGCAGGCATCGCGATCGCGCTGGCGCAGCGCAAGTCGGACTCCCGTCGCCGCGTCCGGCTGCAGCGGTACGTAAAGCTGCTTGGCATGTGGGCCGAGTGGCCATCGTACACGTACACGCCGCTCGCCATTGGGCTCCAAGCCACGGGCGCCCATGGCCTCATAAACCCCAACCTCATTACCTTCAACGACTACAGCGAGGTGGCGCTCCGTCCATGGTCGTGGGCCGAACGACTTGACGTGTGTAGAGTCTCAACGTTATCGTGGCGGTTCTGAGCGGCAGCGTTCTCTTGCTCCTTCGGCACTGGCGGCGCGTCCAGCGTACATCCACATTCTAGTGCTTTTCCTGTGTTGACCGTGACATAGACGAGCCATTTTTGCGCCGGTTCGGCTACCCGCTTGTGTTTGATTTGCTCTACATCCCGTTCATTTCAACGTGTACGCGGCTCGCAACGTGCCCACGGGGGTACGTGCATTTGTCGCTACCGGGCGGCGCAACATGTGACTGCCTCGATCGTTTTGGCATCTTCTGGGTATCCACCATTAGATATTGACAAGCTATTGAGTCTCTCCTCGCGGTCCAACTAATCCCGCGTCTCTGCTTAGGCCGTGGGGTTTGCGGGTTTTCTGCTCTTGTACAGCAGCGCGCTCCACTACAAAATGTACATTGAGCCCACGGGAACGACGATGGAGTTTCGCTTTCAGCGTGGCTTCCAAGTCATTATGGTCATGGCCCGCACCCGTACGCTCGCCTTCCTCTCTTTTTATATGTTGATAGGTTGATGCATTGATATATTTAGTGAATCCGATCTTGTCCATGCGCGCGAACGACAGCGTGTTTACGCAGAACCACACGATAACCGTGCTTGCAATGCTCGCGTTTCTCGTCGGCGTGCTCTTCCTCCTCGTGTACTCGTACCGAATCCAACCCGTATGGATGGATTGGTCGCTGTGAGGTTTGAACCAAGTATTTTTTCTAGTGCATTGGCAGCGGCCGCATCCCCAACAACATTCGCGTGCTCTCGTTTGCAAGCTCGCTCTACACCGCGTGCAGTGTCCTATGCATCCTTGCTGCCGACGGCGGTGGCAGCGCGCTCTATTGGAGTCTAGTCCTTTGCCGATCGTGTGGCTCGCGGCGTGGAACCTCAACGCGCGCCGAGCGACGCACTACCATATTCCCCACCTCTCCATTCTGGAGCTCCTCCAAATGCCGTCGTCCCAATGCAAGCTCGTGGGGACGATTGCGGCGCTGCACGTGGACGCAACCAAAGTACGACGTCGCGATCATGACGCGATCATATCGCAGCTGCTTAAGATCGCCAAGTTCTCGCGGTCTGGCGAGCTTCTCTGCCGCGCGTACGCGATTCGAGTTTTGTGGTTTTGCCACATTGAGGTACACTGCGGACGCTTGCTGTGCTGACGATTGGGGTAGAATTTTCGAAAAACCAAGACCTGCGTGGGCGAAATGACACCCGAGACCGCGGTGCCCTCCAAGCTCTGGTGCAAGGACCGGGCGATAACGCTGCGGCTCACCAAAGCACACTCCACCAAGTCCTCCTCTGCGCTTCTGGACCCCACCGCCTCGTCCCGAAAGCGCGTCAAGATCTACCGTGTCTCGACCATCAGTCTGTTGCGACATGCCTGACGTTTGTATCAACTTGATAGTACTACGTAGCAATCCCGACGCCAATCAACGACGAGCCCGAGGAATTTAGCCGACATGTGGTCCACGACGCGCACAGCGTTCGGAAATGGCCCTTCAAATGGTGGTACCGATCGTCCCAGCACAGCTTCCGCGTCTCCAATATCAAAACCGCACCGACCGAAGCGTATCACGTGGTGTGCATTGGCGACAAGCACTGGATCTCGCGCGTCGAGGAGCCGGCGGCGGCGCATTTCCATTGTGTCAGCTTGTACCACATGGCACTCGAGGCGCTGGCGCAGAGCTGTGCGCAGAGCGACGAGCGCGCTATGCACGAAGTGGCGAGTTTGCTTCTCGAGTGGTACAACGCGCGGTACCTCCGCGTCAATGGCACGATTCTGACGCATATACTCTCGACCTTGTGCGCGACGAGCGACATCACGCTGGTAACAGACGCGACGCTGACGCTGCTCAAGGTCTTTGGCGACGGCGTCTTGCCCTACGACCTCTGGCTCCGCAACGCGTCGTACCTCAACCACTTTATCTTGGTATTCAAGCAGCCGCACCCTCCAACGATCCTCCGAGCTGCGACGATCTTGAAGCATGTCTTGGCGCTCGGCGAGGCGGATGAGAAAACGAACCTCTTCCAGCTCCTCACGCCCGAGTCGATTCGACTGATTCACGCCGCGCTGTACGGATGGCACCACGACTATGCGATCAGCAGCCTCCTCGAATCGATCTGCGACAGCTTGTACAAGATTGAGTTGCACATGCACGCGCATCGGCTGCAGGAGCAGCTGCGCCGCAAAGCATCGCTGGCGCAGACCAAAAGAACACGAGTGTCCTGTCTTGGGTCCAGCACCAGCACAGGGCGATGGTGACCGCGATCCACCGGTCCGCCGAGTCGATGGTCACTGCAGTCTCGATGCGCATCGCACAGAGTGTGCGCGAGTTTCGCAGCTCCGGGTCCTCGATCCTCTCGCGCCGATCGCACCGGTCGCACCGGTCGGTTCGACACAAGAGCGCCAACCTGTCGATGATTCGATCGTCGTCGCGTCGATCCAGTCTCGTGACGGGCGCGTCCAGCTATTCGCAGCTTCCGCTTCCGATGCCGTCGCACCGCTCGACGGGACGGTTCCAGTCGTCGGCGGGCGCGTCGTTCAAGGAGCCTGCCGACGCGATCCAGACAACGACGACAGCACACGAGAGCAATCTGGCGTCCGCGACCAGCCGTGGCAACTCCCAGCCAACCGTGTACAATGCAGTACCAGTGCCTCGGCAGGCTTTTCTCGAGCTCCAGGCCGTCGAGGCCGAGACAGCCGACGTTGTCCCGTTCAACACACCCGAAAACGACGAGCCTTTGCCCCCACCGAAGCCTCTTCCAAAACCAATGCCGGACCGCACGCAACGCCTCGCGACGACGCCGACGCAGCCGCTCGTGTTTGTGACCGTCGAGCTCCTGAGTGAGCTGGATCGGCGGCAGTCGCTCCGAGCGCAGTTCCAAGAACTCTTGTGCGAAGCTCTCGAAGGGTACGAAAGGGCCGTGCAGCACCCGACCACCGCCCAGTGGCTTGCGGCCCAGCTGGCCCAGTCGCCGGTCGCGGGCAGTCCGCAGAAGCGTCGGCAGCGGCACGGCGACCATGATATTTTGGACAAGTTTTCAAGAGTTCTCGAGCTCTACACCTTTGCCGAAAATTGTGCGATGAAGGATTTCGTCACATGCGGCCTGGACCCGCGGCTGCGCACGTTCTTTGAAGATCACGTCGTCCCATTTTATGCCTTCGTCACAACCGCTTGGGCAAAGACGCCAAAGTCGCGCTGGTGGCCGCGCATGTCGTAACCTTACAGTTAGTTTGCGGTCCATCATGTAGACAGGCAACGGAATTGAATACAATTTTAGTCGAGGAAAACGCCTTTTTAGATTGCTTCAACCCAGCATGGAGCTGCGCTGCGAATGGGCTAGCAGCAATGGCTCGGGGTGCCACAAGACGGACTGGCCCGCGTGTGGCTACGACTGGCTCGTTAGCGTCCCCGTCGGCGTTCTCTGGCTCGTCTGGCTCATCTACGGCGGCACGCGCCTTCTCCAGACGCTCAGTGGCTTTCACTTTGACGCGGCCACGATCCACGACCCGATTGCGCAAGGTACAATCATGATTCTCTTCTGAAAACAGCTCTGATGCACGAACTAGGCATGGCGATCGCGCTCTCGCAGCGCAAGTCCGAGTCCCGGCGGCGGCCCCGCTTCCAGCGCTACATGAAGCTCGGTGCCATGTGGGCCGAGTGGCCGTCGTTCATGTACACGCCACTCACAATCGCCCTGAAAGCGACGGGTGCCGAGAGATACGTGAGCCCACTGGCGTCGTCGCTCAACTTGCCGACCGAGGTAGATCGTCCTATCGTGTTCCTTGCACTGAGAGACGGACGCGCAGGCGTGGAACCTAGGTGTCGTCGTCTTCTGCGGCAGTGTCGTGCTCGTGCTACGCGTCGGCGCGTCGGCGCGCAATCGTATCATTGTCTTTGTGTATCTAGCGACGCTCACGACTGCGTAGAGACCAAGTGGCTGCGGCGCTACGCGTACCCACTGGTGTTTGATACGTTGTACATCCCGCTCGTCGCGACGCTTGTTCGGCTCGGAACGTGCCCGACCGAGTTTTCGCACATCGCGCTGCCCAACGGCGCCACGTGTGACTGCGTGGACGCTTTTGGATTCTTTTGGGTATGGCACTATCCATTGGATCGTCGTGCTAGGATTTTTGTGGATAGGCTGCGGGATTGACGGGCTTTCTTCTCTTGTACGCATCGGCCCTTTACTACAAGATGCACATTGAACCGTTGGCAACCACGATGGATTTCCGGTTCCAGCCCAGTTTTCAGATCATTATGGTCATGGCCCGCACGCGTACGTCGTCTGCCTATCGGAGATGGATATCACCAGACTGCTGCATCTAGTCAACCCGATTCTATCTATGCTCGTGAGCGATTTGGACTTGCGCGCGAGACGCGGGATCGCGCTCTTGATGGGGCTAGGGTTTCTGTGCTGCTTTGTGCTGCTGCTGGTATACACGTACACGACACAGCCGGTACCGCGCCTCGCATCAATAGTGGCTAATGTTACTTCTGGTCTAGTGCATTGGCAGCGGCCTTCTTCCCAACAACATTCGATTTCTGTCGTTTTCAAGCGCTGTCTATACAACCCTCGTCGTCCTCGTCGTGCTTGTTGCCAACGCCGACACGACGTCGCTGTACATTGCGCTGACGCCGCTGCCGCTGCTCTGGGTGCTCGCGTGGCGCCACAATACGCGCCGCGCGCTACACTACCACATTCCGCAGCAGTCGATTCTAGACTTGCTCTGTGAACCGTCGCCGCAAGCCAAGACGGTGGGTGCGATCGCTGCCTTGTACGTCGACGCGACCAAATTGCACCCGCTCGAGCTCGAACCCATCCTCGCGCAGCTCACGCGGCTCGCCAAGCGCTCCCGTAACAAAGAGCTCCTCTGCCGCGCGTTTGCGATTCGGATCTTGTGGTTTGCCCACATCAAGGTGCAGTCTTGTGTCGTACGGCACGGTCGATCATGCGATCGTAGAATTTCCGAAAACAAAAGCTGTGCATTGGGGAAACGCAAGACGATGCCGTCGTGCCGCCCAAATTCTGGTTCAAAGACGTGGCGAATCCAGACCGCGCGCAATGGACGAGCAAGGCCATGGCAAGCCGTAGTCGGCTCTCGGTCGTCGCTGCGTCCAATGCCGCCAGCAAGAAGCGCGTCAAGCTCCATCGCATCGAGCAAGTTCTCAGTAGGCCAAATACCTCATTTCGCGGGTGCTGACATTCCGTTCACGGTAGCTGTGGCCGCCGTCGCGCACGACCACGCCAAGGCACCCGCGACAATGTCCCAAACGTCGGGCTCGCGCTGGAGCCCATTTGGTACTCGGCTCCCGCAATTTCTCGCGCCCAGCAGCAGTCGCATGTACCGCGTCTTGGTCGTCGCAGCGGCGTCCACCCAGTTTGAGGTCGTTGGCATCCACGACAAGCATTGGATCTCGCACATCGAGACACCAAGCGACGCGGTGCACGAAGCCCGGGCGCTCTACAATGAGGCGCAGGAGCTCCTTGCGCAGAGCTGTGCCGCGAGCGACGTTAATGCCATGTACGAAATTTCGGTCTTTTTGCTCCAGTGGTACCGGTCGCGGTACCTCAAGCCGAGCAAGACGATCTATGCGCACTTGCTCGCGACGCTGGCCGGCTCGGTCGACCGCAAGCTTGCCATGGACGCCACCTACACGCTCTACAAGCTGCACATGGACGACATTCTTCCCAACGACTTCTGGCTGCGCAACGTGTCGCATCTCAATACGTTTCTGACGGTACTTGGCCACCCGAGCGCAACCACCGCCTACTACGCAGCGACCGTGCTCAATCTCGTGCTGGAAGTGGCCGAGACCGACTCCAAGGTCAACTTGTTTGTGCTCTTGACGCCCGAGTCGATTGCGAGCATCCAAGCCGCGTTTCGAAAGTGGCACGATGCGTACCGGCTCAGTGCTGCGTTGGAGGACACGTGCCTGCGCCTCTACAACATGGAGGTGGCCCAGCGGCTCTTGCAGCAGGCGCGCCGCCCGAGCAAGCGCCGACCTAGCTCGCTCGTCAAGTGGGTCACCCAGCAGCACAAGGCACTGCGAAAGTCCATCGCGCACATCATTGTGCACACGCAAGAGACTGCCCAGACGCGACGCTCGACCGTAGACCTCCGCAAGCTGCCAGCCATGGTGCAGAACGCAGCGCGGTATAGCAGCATGCCATTGATGGCTCGCCAACCGCTGGCGCTTCCGACCAACCGGAGGATGATATCGCACGGGTCCGATCTCCCCATTCAGGACACGGTCGACGACTACGATAAGAAGGCGGTACCGGCCTTGAACGACGACGACGCCAACGTGACAACACCACCAAAAGAGAACCCATGCCAACCATGCGCCGAGGCACCTGTCGAGCCGACCGAGTATGGACGGCTCTTGCACAACCCGGACGAGCTCATATTTGTGACGCGGCCAATTCTGGACGAGATTCACCGGCGACGAACGCACCGGCGGGCGTTCGAACGCGACTTGGCGCATGCCTTTGACAACGTCGAGGAGGCCATGACGGCCCATGACGTGGCCGTCGCGCTCGCCAAAGCCATACCGGTCCTCTGCGACCGCTACACAAGCGCAAGTCAGTGCGCGATTGGTGGCTTTATTGAAAGCGGCATTGCCCCTAACCTGCGCGAATTCTTCGAGACACGCGTTGCGTTGCATGTGGCCGCAGCGACCGAAGAACGCCGCCGACAAGGACCATTGATGCGCACATGGAGTAAAGGAGGCATGAAATAAGCTATTGAACAGCAACATGGGAGCGTCAAGTTGAAATTTTAGATTGTGATCGATGCACCGCGCGACTTCTTGGGTTTAGGTCTAGCATTCGTTATGAGCATCAGTTTTTGGGTCGTCGAAGATCAAGTGGAAAATGGCGAAACTCGGATGCTAACAAAGAATACAATATGAGAAGGTGCGGGGATTGCACTTTCATAAACATTTACATCAATAATTGTCCAGCGACTTCACTAAAGTCAGACATTTGACATGTGCACTTGGTACCGCTGGTATGTTGCCTTGCTGCTTATCTCTGTCCTATCATCGTCAACGTGCAAGTAAACTCTCCCTCGCTGGCATACATAGCTAAAAATATACTACGTAGTACAGGCTTGTGGAGACAGGCAGATTTTGACCGTTGAGCATGACAACGTTGGCTTGCTACGCCAATGCGACCGCCTGCCGCAAGCGCGACTGGCCCGCGTGTGGCTACGACTGGCTTGCGACGGCGCCCGTTGCAGTATTCTGGCTTGTCTGGCTGTCCTATGGCCTCTGGTGCTTTCGACGACACAAGGCAGCGTACAGCTGGTTTGACGTCGACAAGATCCACGACCCGGTCGCACAAGGTACTCTTACGTTGCTTGTTCGTGTCCTTAGAAGATGGACCTCGTAGGTATGGCGGTCGCCCTTTCCCAGCGACGATCTGCGTCCCTCCGACGGTCACATATGCAGCGCTACATGAAGTTTTGCGCCATGTCGTCCGAGTGGCTCGCGTTCTCGTACACGCCGCTCGCGATCACGTTCAAAGCGGCCGGTGTCTCGAACGACGCCAATGTCTTCTTCTTGCTCAACGTGCCGACCGAGGTGGTGTCATGACATCATCGCCTTCAGGAAGATGACAAGACTCATGGATGATGTAGCTGATCAATGTTGTCTGCACCCTGGTGTGGGGCAGCCTCCTCCTCAGCATGCACGTATGGAAGACATTCAGTCGTCGGCGTACGCACGCTCTGCTTCTCAATAAAGGAGATGATGGGATATCGGTAGGCCCGACGCTTTTGCTCCGGTTCATCTACCCGCTGACGTTTGACGTCTTTTACATTCCGCTCATTTCGACGCTCGGGCGGCTCGGGTCGTGCCCCGACGGGTTCGACCGCCTCGTGCTGCCTGGTGGCGCCACGTGCGAGTGCTTGGATCGGATCGGATTCTTTTGGGTAAGGCTTCACGTATTTTAAAGATTGTGAAATCAGCTACGGTGTAGGCACTAGGCTTTGCTGGCTTGTTATGCTGTATGCCAGTGCGCTCTATTTCAAAATGTACATCGAGCCGCTTGCCCGCACGACAGTGTTTCGATTCCAAACGCATTTTCAGATCATTATGGTCATGGCGCGGACGCGTACGTTCTTTGATTTTGAGATTGAGATTCGATTTGACGACGAGTAGTGAACCCGATCATGTCGATGCTCGTGAGCGACTTGGACGCGGTCGCGCACCCATTGATTGCGCTCGCGCTGACACTCGGTTTTTTCTGTTGCGTCGCGTTCTTGCTCTTCTTTGCCTACACGACACAGCCCGTACTCTCTCAACCAAATCGTCATTTAGTGTACTGACGCCATCATCATATGTTCAATTAGTGCATTGGGAGCGGCCGACTGCCCAACAACATTCGCGCCGTCACGTTCTCGAGCTCGTGCTACACGTCTTTGTGTGCGCTCGGGTTCTTGCTCGGAGACAGGGACATAAGGAACCTCTACTACTCGCTTCTGCCGCTTCCACTCGTGTGGGCTCTTGCATGGCATCTCAACGACCGCCGCGCACACCTCTTCCATGTCCCCAACTTGCCGATCTGGGATCTCCTGGTCGAGCGCTCGGTGCGGTCCAAAACCGTCGGCACGATCGCTGCGGTGTACGTTGACGCAATCAACTTGCCAGCGTCATCCTTTGACGGCATCATCGCGCAACTCGAGAAGATCGTCAAGCGATCGGCGCCGGACGAGCTCCCGTGCCGCGCGTACGCGCTTCGCGCGCTCTGGTTCTGCCACGTCAAGGTAGTCATCCGGATAGCATGGTATCCGGATAGACTGGCCGATCTAGGGGTTTTGCCAGCAAAAAGGGACCGTCGGGCAGCAGAACGATAGCGCCATGGTGCCCTTCAAGCTTTGGTTCAAGGATCGCGATGCAGGGCGCCGCTCGCGCACGCTGCTGCAGAAGCAAACCAAGGTGCACCGCATCGCGCAGCTCGAAGGTACGCAGCGTACTACTCGGTATCCGCATGCCACATCCAATCTCCGTAGACGTGGCACCGCACACGACAATGGTGTGGACACCGCCGTTGGAGCCGCGGACAGGGTGGAGCCGCTATGCATTCTACCTCTTTGACCTCTCGGCCCAGTCGCTACAGACTCGGACACGGACACGGACGCGGACCAGCATCCAGATACTATCGGTCGCGACCAACTACTCGCTTGTGCGGCTCCGCGAAAAGCACTGGATCGTGAAAGTCGAGACCGCGGACGCGGCCGTCTATAGCTGCACGACACTCTACAACAGCGCGCTCGAGATCCTCGCGCAAAGCTGTGCGATAGGCGATGTCTCCGCGATGCAGTCGACCGCGACCTTTCTCCTCGAGTGGTACAAGGCCAAGTACCTGCGCTTGAGCAAGCTCGTGTACCTCCACGTGCTCTCGACGATCGCTGCGACGTCGGACGCGCGCCTCGTGACACACGCGACGCTGACGCTCTACCGGCTCGTGCTCGACAACGTGCTGCCGCTCGATCTCTGGCTGCACAACACGACGTATTTGAATCACTTTATGGCGGCGCTGGGGCATGCGAGTTCAATCACGGTCCTGCGCTGTGCGACCGTGCTCAACCTCGTGTTTCAAGGCGCCGCGGACAACCCGCGTACCAACCTCTTTCTGCTCGTGACACCCGAGTCGCGCGCCTTGATCCACGCCGCGTTTTACCGCTGGCACCACGTCTTTGACGTGAGCGTCCTCGTCGAAGACCTTTGCATTCGCCTCTACAACCTCGAGGTCGCCCACCAGATGAAGCGCAAGCCGCGACAGGCAAAGCAGCCGCGCAAAGCGTCGTTCAATCATGTCCTGCAATGGCTGGGTGCGCGCAGACGTTCGATCACGAAAGTGCTCTTGCACCAACCGCCGGTCATTGTGCGCTCGGCCGAGTCGCACTTTACTCGGCGGAGCAACGGTGGTGAGAGTCGGCTCGGGATCGCATCCCGGCGGTACAGCGTCCCTGTAAACACCGTGATGATGGCACCGCGGCCGCTCGTCGCCCACCGGTCGATCAAGCCGAGCAAGGGGCGTACTATGCTATCGCATGCCTCGTCCACCGAACGCGGCGACGACACGAGTAGCAAGGTGGCACCAACGACCATCGTCGCGGCGCTCAAGCCGCCACCACCGACGCAGTGTCCGTCCCTGCGCGCAGTCGATTTTATCCAATGGATGCGACTGTCGTTCGGCTGGACCGCCTCGCGTTCGTGACGCCAGCCATCACGGCCGAGATTGGTCGCCGCCGAGGCTTACGAAAGCAACTTTTGGATTTGCTACGCAGTGCCCAGTCGCTCCAAGCCGAGGCCAGTGCGAGCAACAGTGCCAACGCCGCGCCGCTGGCGCGAACCCGCAACCTCTTGGACGAGGCGCTCACAAAGGCCGGACACCTCGCGGCCTCCGCGCCCGAGTGTGCGATCGCCGACTATGTCGCGCATGGGCTGCCTTCCGAGCTCATTGCATTCTTTGATGCGTACGTGGCACCACGGCTGACGCCGATTACAACATCAGCGACCGCAAGGGACGGCTCCATATTCGCACGGCTCGTCGCATACGCCACACAGCTATTAGTTCTAAGACGACGCTAAGGTATGGTGTCTACTCGTCCTTCTTGTAGTAGCCGGCGGGCACAAACGGCATCTTGGCGACAAGACCCTTTTGCATCTTGTTGCGGACCTTGAAGTGGAGCTCCGTGCCAATCTTAAGGTTGCCCTTCTTGACATAGCCCATGCCAAGCGCTTGCTTGAGCGACGGGCTGAAGGTGCCGCTCGTGACCTCGCCGATGCGGTCGCCGGCGACGTTGTAGATCTCGGTGCCTTCGCGGGCCGGCGCTCCGTCGACCGTAAAGCCAATCTACATATCCAGCCATATGAAACCTTGTCCTTTGAGGATAGGATCCACGTCGTACGCGCTTCTTGGTCCACGTCTTGTTGTTGAGCTGGTCCAAGATGATGTCAGCACCCGGAAAGCCGCCTTCTTCGCGCCGGCGCTTGCTCATCGTCCACGCGAGCGCGCCCTCGATCGGCGTCGTCTCGGGCGAAATGTCGTGGCCGTGGAGGCAGAGACCGGCCTCAAGGCGCAGGCTGTCGCGCGCGCCCAAGCCCTACCCAGCATGAGGGAATTACGATTCCTTGTCGCGTGAGTATGGGAAGGGTACCGCTTCGAGGACACGTTCGTCCGCGAGGAGCTTGCGCGTAAAGTCCTCAACCGAGCTGCTCGGCACCGAAACTTCAAACCCGTCTTCGCCCGTGTAGCCGCAACGCGTAAGGATCACGTCGTTGTTGAGCACACGCGTGAACGTGCCCGTCATAAAGTTCATATCGGCGAGGTTGACCGACGCCGGGACGAGACCCGCCATGATCTCGGCCGCACCCGGGCCTGCGCGAGGTGAGAGACGAGCTTGCAGTCTGCATGTGTACCTTGGATGGCGACGAGCGACCGGTCGGCAATGCGCTCGAGCTGGACATCGCCGTCAAACTTGGCGAGGTGCGCCTGCATGTGCGCCCAGTCGATGTCTTGGTTACCAGCGTTCACGACCACGTAGAGGTGGTCGTCGTACGACGTGATGACGCAGTCGTCGATGATACCGCCCTTCTCGTTCGTGATCAAGCTCAGCTTGGCCTCGCCCGTCGTCAACGACGCAATGTCGCCGACCACGATGCTCTCGAGAAACTTGACACGGTCCTTGCCCGTCATGCTAGCAAGAAACATCTCGTTAAACGAGGTCCGCATGGCATTCGACCGCCGTGTACCGGAGCTGGCCCATGTGCGAGACATCGAAGAGCGACGCGCAACCGGGCGTGCGCGTGTGCGTGTGGCTCTTGAGGATGCCGGCCGTGTATTGCACGGGCATCGAGTAGCCGGCAAAGTCGACCATCTACCCAGAATGTCAGTCCGACAAGATGCCTTCCGCGTGGACTACCTTGCCGCCGAGCTCCTTGTGGAGGTCGTAGAGCGCTGTCTTCTTAAGCTACAGCATCATGACGTCGTTGAGCTCATGACGCAAGCAACGCGCGTACGCTGGAGAAGGCGCGGCGAGGGACGTGGCCAAGCATGCTTGTGAAGTGACTGCGAATTGCAAACTGCCAACTCATTCGAATCCAAGGTCACGCCGGATACGGTGTCCGGTTATGTAGCTGCTAGAAAGGCAATGTGACGACGTCCCACTCTTGACGGCCGCTCGTCGTCCATGGCCTTGTGCGCGATCGATCTGTGGACTTCACTGCCGTTCGTGGGCACCGCAGCCTGCCCGTAGGTAGAAGCAGTCGATGCGACTCCAGCGTCCAGCGTGAAAGATCGCAGCATGTCGTGCGCGCGATGGATGCGACGGTTGAACTTGGCGGCCATCTGCCCAACTTCAATTGCAGCACCAGATGGTCGGACGTCTGGCAATCCAAGAGATGTGGCGTCCGCAAGGCATGGGGAACGACCCTTGTTATCCCAGTACAGAAGTCATACAAGCGCTCGAAGATGTCTCGCTGTCTTTGTGTTCAAGGCGCAGGACGAGGCGTCTAATTGGCCTTCATGCGACGCTTGCTCGAGAAGCACTCGCCCCAGATGCAAACGCTCTTGGACTTGAGCAGCAGATTGAAGTCGTCGAGCGTATACTGCGTCGGTGCCACTTCAGGCAGCGACTTGTCCTTGATCGCAGCCTGCACCGCGGCCTGCAGCAGCTCGTGGGCCGACCCGACCGTGTACTCTTGGAACGGGTACGCCTTGTCATCAACGGCGACGACGCGCTTCTCGGCCGGCACTTGGTATGTGGTCAAAATATGCTCTACATACGAGGTAGCATCACGGAAGATGCAGCGCAGCCTCTTACCAAGGATGGCTTCGATCTGCTCCAGAGACAACGTCGCGTCCTTGGTGGCGGCTTGGAGCTGGAAGAGGCACGCGAGGCGCTCGTTGACGTCGCCTTTGACTGCGAGCGAGAAGGCGACCATGAGCGTATCGAGGTTGCACTTGCCATTGTCGTTTTTGGGGAGACTCATAAGGACACGCTCGAGGTGGTGCTACAGCCCGGTCCTTTCATATTGCCCAAGCACGTCGTAGTAAAGTAGTACCAGGTTCTTGAGCTGCATGCCGTTGAGGACGCTGCCAAGGCACAAGTCAAAGTCCCGCACCGACGCCTCGTTGGTCGGGAAGAACGCCTTGGCTTGTGCATGCACCTTCTGGAAGACGTCGGGCCTAATGCGTAGCACGTGAGCGCGAAGCTGTTGCCGGCGCCGTGTACGTGATGTCGTTCTGGGACCGGAGCTCGAAGGCTTCGTAGGGCGAGATCGGCGTCGCGTCGGCGATTTCATTTTGAATCGCTTCAAAGAACTTGCGGTTCTTGCTGCCGCGGTAAATGTACCCGCCGATCGCAAGGATGACGGCGCCAAAGACGTACTCGGGATGGCGGCTGAAGAAGCCGCCTTGATCCACCGGCATGGGCTGGACAGCAGCACCGTCCGCAGCAGGCGCTGCGTCCTTGGCCGCCGGGTTACTCTGGAAGCGGCGCGCGACCTTGGCATGGCGCGGCGCCAAGCGGCGAAGCAGCAGGGATCGGCGCCACATGCGATCGCAGTCGACGAAAGGCTAGAGTGATTGGACCTCTTGGGGACGATACATTTCTCGATCGTGTCTCACCATTGTTTTTAATTGATTGGTATTGAGACGGGTTTGGTAATTATGTCACTCATTGAGCTGGTATCAAGAGTGTGTGTGTCATCCTGCGTCAGTTGAAAGTCGGCGAGGACGTGAGAGGACGACGCTGCGGGTGCAGTCGTTATTATAATATCTACTAGATCTATCTACACCCTACACGCTTCGCTCGCCCGAGCTCGGGAGCCCGGCGTCTTGGCGCGACACGGTCGTCTTGAGCTGTTGTTGCGTCAACGACGACTGGTGCAGCAGCTCGAGCATTTGCTCTTGCATCTTCTTTTGCTCTTGCATCGCAGCGGCTTGGGACGCCGACGGCGCGGTCTTTGTGTACGAGCTCTGCAGCGGGACAAGGTCCGATGCGCGCTGCGCGTTGTACGGCACCTGGCCCAGCATAAACGGCTTCGCGCTCTCATAGCTCACCGACTGCGGGCGCGGCAGTATCAGGAGCTGCTTCTTGGCGATAGCCTCGCGGCGCTCTTGGAGCGACACCATGGCCAAGTGTGCGAGTTTCTCCATGAGCGCCAGCTGTGTTGGCGGCAAACTCACGCGCGGCTTGGAGTCGAGGACGCAGACGCTGCCGACGCACGAGCCATCGACGTCAAAGAGCGGCGCGCCGGCGAGGAACCGCACTTGCAGCGGTCCGGTCACGAACGGGTTGGTCTCGAACCGGCCGTCCTTCCACGTATCGAGGACGACGACCGGCATCCGCGTCGCCACCGGCACTTCGCAGAAGGAAAAGTCGCGGCCAATGTCCGACTCTTTGATCGTCACTTTGGATTTGAACCATTGCCGGTTCTCGTCCAGAATGTGCACGATCGCAAACTTGCAGTCGAGCGCTTGGGACGCGAGGTCGCAGAGCAAGTCGTAAATGTCCTCGGGCGGCGCGTTGGGGTTGTACTCGCCGCTACTCGCCTCAAAGATGCCTTCTTCTTGGAGCCCAAAGCCTTCCATGAGCTTTTCGACCATCTCGCGCTTGGTCGGATCCCGCGCTGCAATCTGGCTCAGCCACGCCATGCCGACCGAGTCGGGCACCGAGCTTTTCGACGACGGGATCGTCAGCGCCAGCTCGTTTGCGTGCATGCTTGACGAGAAGCGCGGGTCGAGCGCACTGCCCCGACGCGAGAGCGGCTCGGGCGCGCCTTGGTCGTCGGCGGCTTGCGCGCTCGCCGTGATCAAGTTCCCGTCCGAGCACGACTTGCAGATGCGCATCGTCGTGAGGCCGATCGGTGGCAAATCCACCGAGTTGATGATCGAGCATTTCTTACAAATGACTTCGCCGCACGCGCGGCAGTGGTGCTTTCGCCGAATGCCCGTGAACGACTTGAGGCAGAGGTGGCAGCACTGTCGCTCGTGGTCGCTCACCCACGTCGGCGTCTCGCGCTGCGTGAGGAGCCGGCTAATGCGGCGCGTGTGCACGCTTTCCTGGATGTTGGAAAGCGACTCGGCCCAGTACTGGAGCATTGCGCGGTTCGATCGACGCGTCGTGCGGATGCCCTACAGCGACACCATGACATCCAATGCAAGAAGCGTATGCCTTCATACCGGCGGCTGCCGAATGGAGCAAATGAACTGCGCTTCCAGCGTCCCGAGCTCGTCCGTGGGTCGGAAGAGATACCCGCACTTGGAGATGGACCCGCGCTCGAGCCGATGGCTGTCAAAGAGCGATGGACACTCGCTTTGGTCGATCGACTCGTAGAGGCAGACGCCGACGAGCTTGTTGGGGTCACCGCCAATGTAGTCGGCCGACAAGATGCCCGCGTACTCGAGCACGCAAAAGTCCTGCGACGTGGCCATCGCCGCCTTGTTCTTGAGCGCAAACCACTTGATGCTCAAGCTCTCCGAGTCGTTTTGGTCGCGCTGGTAGATCACGGCCGAGTCGAGGCTCATGTCCTTGAGCAGTAGCTTCATCATGGACCGAAACTCGCTCGTGTTGGTCGCGATCATCATGTCCATGACGTCCTCGAGCGACGCCTGGACCGCGCCGACGCCGCGGATGCTGTAAAAGAGGCCGCCTTTCTGCCGGTCCTCGGAGACCGTAATGCCCTTCTTCTCGTGCGAGAAGGCCCACTCCGAATCGGGCGAGTTGAGCGACGGCACGAGCGTCCGCGCCCACGTGAGCAGCTCGACTTCTTCCGTCTCCGAGATGTGCGGCGCCGAGAAGAACCCGTTCCGCAGTGGCAGCAGTCGGACCATGATGCGTGGCGATGAGCGTAGTAGCAGTAGGAGTACTGGGCGTGGACGAGGCCGACAAAGATGGCGTCGCGGCAATGACCCCACTGACGACGACGGGCTGTAATCCTCCGGATACCGCCATGAGTCACGCCGCCCTCGCCAATATTCCATGTGGGTATCCGGATGCGGTCGTATCCGGCGCGATTATCCGGATGAAACCCCGCGTAACAGCTGCGACACGTGTGCGCGGTTTCTACAATTTGTGCATTTGAGTGATCTTGCACATCTGGATCTTGCACGTGCTTATTGCGATCTTATTGCAGACGTCAAGTTACACATTTGGACGGCAGCCTCGGGCGCTGCAGCAATGTCGTTTCGGCGTTCCGGTAGCCGCCGAGAGGCCGGTTTCGCTGCGCATGGCGTAGCGCCTGCAGCGCGTTGCGCGGCTTGCTCGTGGCCCGCACCGTCGCAGGTTGCCGGAGCAGCTTCAACTTGGCCGCGTCAAATGCAGCGCTTGCACTTGGTACCAACACGGGTGGTAGCGCCTCTGGCACGATGTAATACTCGCCAGCCTGCGGTGGGAACTGTGCGTGCAGTTCGAGCACGTGGTCGTCATGGATCAAGTTGCCGCGGACGTCGACGCACTCGATGTGGTCGATCGCCAGGAAGAGAATGGCGCGGAGACGCGGCACGACGTCGTTTTGGAGGTTGTTGTTGCGCAGTAAAAGCACGCGCAATGCAGACGACGGCGCGTGGAGGCACTCGCAGAGCGCGAGGCCACCGATGGACCCAATGCAGTTGTCGCTCAGGTCCAAGAGGTGCAACGATGGTGACTGCTGCAATCCAGCTGCGAGTAACGAGGCGCCAGCGTCTCGAATCTTGTTGCCAGGAAGCTCGAGCCGCTTTAGCACTCGGTTGATTGCGAGTGCCTTCCCAATCGCGTCGCATGCCGCGTCCGTAACACCAGCACGGCCGAGCACCACGCGCATCAAGTGACCGTACCTAAACGATCACTTCAAGTCAAGTGAGCGAGATCCCGACCAAGATCACACCGGCCGAAGAAAAATCTCCCATCGCACTCGCGACGTGAAGTACGCCGCTGAGATTCATCGCATTGTCTTCCAGAATGAGCTCGCGCAGCTGAAAATGAGCGCTTTGCACGCATGTGGCCAGAGCCCTGGTACAGTTTCTTGCAAGCCGCAACCAACACGACGACGGTACCGAAAAGGGGCGTCGCCTTGAATATCATTTGCGCCAATCGCAAGCACACGCAGGTTCTTGAGCTGGTTCGAGCGCATGGCTTCTACCAAGCAGCCGAGCCCGCGGTCGCTAAACACGCAGCGTCACTCGAGTAGCTTTGGCCAAGTCGCACCGCAAGAGACACCCCGGTGGTGCGAGGATCGTCTTGATGCTGGGTGCGTTCGCAGCCAGTGCGGCTGTAAGGTTGGCGCAGTAGATGTCATGTTGGAGCGGTTGCCTCGGCTCGAGCACGAGCCCTTCGGCCACCTCGAAACTATGGCGAATTTGAGCGACAGCCATGCCATCACGAACGACGCCGAGACTCGCGACGGGCAGCTAAACGACAACGATAGCACGAAATGTCGAGCAAGGCAGCATACCGACGCGCGTAGCGTGGCCGTGATGGAGGGCGGTGGCGGCACGCGTCTTCGCTGGAGCCCCTTGAGGTTGATCCGCGCTCGCCGCCCGCGGTAAATGGCTTGGATTTTTCGAGCATAAAAGTCCAAATCGCGCTCGTCGTGCATGCTAGACATGGCCAATTTCAGCACGAAATAATAGCCTCGAACGCGCATGCGTACAGGGTTTCATGGCCGCGCAAGAGTCGCTCGAGGAGGAATTGCGCCTAATCGACGCGTCGTGCTCTTGTCGGGCAGTCGACAAGACTACCTCGTTGAGAGGTTCGTCGCGGGTCGACGAGGCCACGTGCCGGCGCCACCACGTTTGAATGCGAATGCACATGCGGCGGTGGAGCTGATACCGCGCTTCGTCGGCCTTGAGCTTGGCCTACGCACTATCAACGTCAAGAAGCATCCTTGAAGAAAAGTGCTACGCGGCGCCGGAGGAACTGGGCCATGCGCGAGTGCTTCTTCCGGTAGAGTCGCTGGAGGTTCACCGCGAGTCTGGTACGTCGCTGGCGCCAAATTTGCCGCGTGCGTAGAATCGCATGGCCTCGAATGAAGCGGACGCGTCGCTGGATCGTCGAAGCAGCTCGCGTGCGCCGTAGCATCTCGACATCGGCCAGTCGCTTTTCCGCCACATCCAAGCGAAACTGGAACCGGACCTTGGCACCCCTGTAGACGCGCTAGTTTGGCATGTTGAGAATTCGCCGCCCGCAGATGTGGTACCTGAATCGTAGTCGCCGCGTCGGCTTGCGCGGCAAAGAGCGCTCGATACATGGGCGAGAGCGTCCCGAGTTCGTGTCGAACGAGGCGGTCGTACGGGTTGTGCGACAATTTACATTCCTACGCACCTCCACGAGACGACGGACGCAAGGCAGCGACGTACCAGCGCGAGCATTCGGTGGTCGCAGTTGGCCTTGTGCGTATAGTAGGCCCGCAGAGTCGACAGCCAGCGTCGACTGGCTCGCTACAATGCATCATCCTTTCCAATCGCCAAGGCCCGAGGGTGCGCATACTTGGAGGGTACGGGCGGCCAAGTCTTGGGCTGCAAACTTGGGCGCGTACCTACCATCGACATGCTTCTGTTGTACAATATTGTCATCGGAACCCCTACTTTTCAAAGCGGTAGCGCAAGAGCACCTTGCGCGCGCGGAGGTTGCTGTACGGCGACGTCGCGTACGCTTGGATCGCGGCGGCAATCACGTTGGCTTTCTGCTGCTTGGCAGCGTCGCGGCCCCACACGCCACGCAACAGCGACGCGATTATCACTTGACTTTTGGCTTCGCACTCCAAGAGCGGTCTAGTCGACGGTCACACACGTCCATCGAGTAATGCATATCAGCGTACCGCCAACGGTCGGGGTACCACTCGAGAAGCGTCGACCGAATGTCGTCGCGGTAATGGCCAAAGTAGAAAGCCGTTGTCGCGGCCGCCACCGCCGGAACCATCGCGTTGCACTTGAAGTACGCATGGCCGAGCTGGAGCCAAAGCGTCGCGTCGGGCCCCCACGCAAACGTCGACGCGTTCCATTGGCGAGTTTTGATGCGCTTGATGGCCTCTTGGGTCGCATCGACGCACAGAATGTAGCAGTGGCGCGCGTCAAAGTACTAGCAAGCGTCATGCGTAAAGTACCACATTTCGTAGTGCAAAGGAGGTTCGTACATCGACCCACGTCTTCCACGTTGACTGGTCCTGGAACCAATCGGCGTAGGTTTTGCCCGGGAGCGGCGTAAACAAACGCTGACGCAGTGCGACGCGATAGAGCTCTTCGTACGTCTTGGCCGCGTACTTGACGGTGCGGGCAAGGCCCCGTGTCTCATGGACGCGCGCCGTGATGTACAAGACGTCGACAAACCAGTCGGTCTACAAGGTTGTGGACAATACTGTCGTCTCGTTGGGACGATACCTTGGAGATGTCCTTGTCAATGATAAATTTACAATACTCGCAGCACTGCTCCAAGAGCTCGTTGCAGTCCGACGACGTCACGTCGATCTGCTGGAAGACAATGCGCTGGAACATGAGCACGACAGCGTGGAATATGACGCGGTCAACGAGCTTGAACTGCGGATACGTCTACGAGTCGAGAGTGAAAACGACGCAAAGTAGCGTCGCAGCGTACAAACAGCAATGTCCGCGCCGTGCCCAGCGCATTGGAAAAGTCCCCGAGGCCTTCGAAGACCTGGAGTAGCTCGAGCATCACAAACGGGCTCGTCGCGACTTCGAGGTACTGGAGTCCATACTACGTCGACGCTTTGAGATGTCGCCATCGCCCGGAAGTGCACCACCTACCTCGTAACACTTTTTCGCGTCCCAGAGAAGACCCCACGCGTGGGTGCGCTCCCACTGAAGGTAGCACGCCTTGCCGAGGGTGCGCCACACCTTGCCGCTGCTGGTGCCAAGGTAAATGGCTTGGCCGAGGCGCTCGATCGCCTTCATGTAGTTACCGAGCTCGAATTGGCTGTAGCCTTGTCGCTCGTAGCTCTTTGGGTGGTCGGGGTACCAGTCAATGTACGACTGGTGGTACTGCGAAATGATCGAGTAGACGGCGCGATGGAACGTCGCGTGCAGCAGCGACGCCTTGTTCGTGGCGAAGAGTGCGGCCTCGTCTTCTTTCGACTTGGGTTTTGTGATGATCTGGAGCGCCGCGACCGAGTCATGGTTGAACTTCTTGTAGTCGCGCGGCTTCTTGGGCGCTTTCTTGACGACACCGTCGCGCTTGCGCCGCGGCGGCATATCGGCGCGGTTTCGAGCCCCGGTTTCAGCACAGTAACCCGACCCCTTTCAGAGAGAGGGGTAGGTTTAGGCAGAGGCTCTCTCACCCCCACGCCTTGACGAAGGACCCTGGATTCGCATGGCAATCGCACGACGCAGTAGACACCACAACATTATTTCACTCAATAGCACAGGATAATACAGCACAGCTGGTCGCGCGGGGCTTGTCCGTTGTCTGCGCGGCTCTCTGCATTCCTGGACGGTGGGAGCCACACCGTGGTAGCACCGCAGTAGAATGGAGTTGTATCAGGATGCAACGGTCGATAATGTGGTCTCGGAAGGGCGCATTATCTGCATGTAAGTGGTTGATATCTCGCGTCTCAATAAATCGCAAAAATGGACGAAACCAATGTGCTTCGATAATTACATGCCAAATTCGCCGAAAAAATCCACGTCCTTCTTGACGACTTTCTTGGGCTCGGGCTTGGGTAATGGCTCGGGCTTGGGCGTTGCGTCGAGCGGCGTCGCGGGCGGGAACGTCGCGGCTCTGGGCTCGGGCGCTTCCAGTGGCGTCGCCGACGACTGCGAGAACGACTTGAACGACGACGACGACGCACCACCATGGATGCCTTCGTACGCGCTCGTTTGCGGCAGCGTTGGGTTGGTGCGAGGGAACATTCCGCCATTGCCATTGCCGTGGTCGTCGTGCGCCGACGCATCGACAAGCGACTGCGCGTTCTTGAGCAGCGAGCTGGTCGTCGACGTGAGGAACGACCAGCCAGACGACGCCGTCGACTTGACCGACGTTGTGAGCTCCGGGTCCGCGAGCTTGGACTGGACGCTGCTCCAGCCCGACGACACCTTGGTCGAGAGGTCCTGTTCCTTGACGAGGCTCGCAGCCGACGACGCCGCCGACGAGACAGTCGTCGAGAGAAAACTAAACGCGCTGCCGAGGGTTCTATGCAGGTGGTTTCGTGAGGATACAACATTCGATTGACACAACACGTACTCGGTGACATCGCCGTAGCCGCCGCTGGCGCTGTGGTTGCTGCTCGAGACGCTGCCACCGCTGCCAATACCTTGCATGCCCGACGAGCCAAACTTGGCCGCCATGCGGGCACGGGCTTCTTCGCGCAGGCGCATTTGCCTACCCACAAACCATGAGCACAAGAGAACGAGAGACTGGCATATCGATTCTACCGGGCAACGTAGTCTTGTTCGCTTTCGCCCTTGAGCGCTTCGACGCCAAGCGTGTCCGAGCTGCCGTGCGACGACGACGACGCCGCACTTGAGGCCGCCGCCGGGTTGTGCGATGGATCCCACCGCGGCAATGGCGCCGGCGACGTGCCTTCAACAAGCGCCTGCAAGCGAGCACGGAAGGCCTCCGCCTGCGGCGTGTTGTACTTTTGCGCAATCGTAAGCGTCTTGGGCACGCCGGCCGCGTTGAACTCGCTGCGAAAGTGGTCGTTGCCTCCGAGCTAGCATCCATGTAATAGCATGAGCAGCGTCTCCTGGCGCATCGCCGCTGTACCTGCATCATGCGGATCTGCTTGTCTGTCCACGAGTCCATCGTGACGGAGCGCACGAACGAGATGTGCACGCCAAGACCACGGTGGCGGCCCGAGCACTCGAGGCACATGAACGTGCCGTACGACACGGTCGCCCATTGCGGGTACGGCGCGTCGCAGTCGACGCATTTCTACACCAAGCCGCATGAGCTGCAGAGCATCGGTCGATCGATCAGAGTACGTTGTTGCCGGGCAGCTTCCGCAGCTCCTGCTGCACGGCCATGGCCATCTGGTGTGCCATCTTGACGTCGCTTTGCGTTTTGGCGGCCGCGTCAGTCGCCGCCAACGCCGTCTCTTGACGTTTGTATGTCGCCGGTAGCCAATCAGCGGTCGTCCAGTGTCGAGTGAAATCTAGAGCAAAAAAGAACCGGCGCGGGACAGGCAGGCGCTCTGTCTGGCACGGCCCATGCAGTGGCGACTGTGTCCCAAGGCTGGCTGCCCACGCGGTGGCTGCAGCCCCAGGTGCCATCGTCGTTGCGGCCATTGCCCAAGGTGCTGTCATGGCCATGGTGGGCCCACGCCCACGTCGACCCTGCCCGGAGGCACGCGACAATGCGCCCATTACGCACAACGTGGTTCTCTCTGGTTGCAATAGCTATCTCTGTACTCCCGCTGATAGACTCTGCACCACGCGCCACGGCCAAGCTGCCAAGGCTAAGCTACCAGCGGTCATCGAAGCCGCCTCATGGAACCTCGTGTAGCATCATGTTCGCTTCCCGTAGCTCGGTGCATTAAGCGCTGGCATGGTGTACGTGGCCATGTCCTTGCGGCTTTGGCCTCTGCTTCTTCTTGCTGCATGCAGGCGATGACGACGGGCGCATGCGCGATCTGGCGTCCGCCGGTCCTCTTAATAAGCTGCATGTTGTTCGATTACACGCGCAAACCGAAGTTCGTTGGTATTTCTTTGGGTACAAAACTTTCGATTTGATAGTTGTAGCGTATAATAAAAAAGCAACGGTACTCGAAGCACGACTCGAAGTTCGAACGTCGCCGGCCATATTGGCATCACTGACTGCATGCAAGGAGCGGGCCACCAGATCACGTCGCCGTCGCCGGGCGTCGCCCTCGAGGCGAAGAAGCTCGCGCGGTTCTTCTCCGAGGACAAGCCGCCCCGGAAGAGGCTCGCGACCGCGCTCGAGTTCCTCAAGTCGTCGGGGCCGGACCAGCAGGACCTCTTCTGGCGCGACGTCGTGAACGGCAGCACCTTCTTCAGCGTCCTCCACGCGTACCTCACGGAGCTCGAGACGATGTACGTCGTCATGGACAAGGCGAGCGTCATCAACAAGCTGCGCAACCGCAAGTTCCAGACCGAGGACTGGACCGACGTCTTTGAGGGCCTCGAGATCCTCATCAAGAGCAACAAGAGTCTCCTCGCGTCCGGCTGGCAGCACAATCGGTTCCTGACCATCTTCCAGAAGCTCCTCCTCGCCGACAACATGCCCTTCATCAAGAAATACGCCTTCCGGTACGCATCGCTATCCACCATTATCTTCATGCGCCTTATCTGCTTGCAGCTGCCTCGCGCTGTACGCCGACATCCTCATGGACGCGGACTTTGACATGCGCAACACGGCCACGCTCCTCGACTCGACGTCGACCGAGAACGTCCAGCTCGGCTTTGGCTTTTCGCACCTCGACTTGCTCGCCGAGTCGATCGACTTTTCGCCGTATGCCAGCGGGAACGCCAACGTGTACCTGCCGCCGCGTCATTACACGGAAGGTGCGGTCGTTGGGTGGGAGCGCCCGGGCCCGACGCAGGCCGAGGAGCCTGTCGACATGCTCAAGTACGTGATGGATTTGAGCCTCGAGCGCAGCGACAACATCAAGGACGTCGACGTCCAGCGCTTCATGTTTTGGTGCAACGTGCTCATGGGCTCGTTCATGCCGCTGCTGTACCCCAAGGTACTTGACATGTTGTATCTCTTGTATCGGCGGCGGGAGCGTCTTGTTTAGGTGTGCATCGAAGTCGGCTTCAAGGAGAAGACAGACAAGCTCGGCTTCTTCCATCACTGTCCCGGGAGTTTCCAGCGCGTCATGGCCCGCTGGCTCTACAAGCTCCGGTCCAAGCAAAAGTTTATGGACGCACTCTGGTCCCGAAAAGACTATGTCGACGTGGTCATGGAGACGCTTCGCCAACGCTTTGCCTACCGCGACCCGGAGCTCATTGTCGACGGCATCAAGTTTTACGCACAGCTGTGCAAGGGCACGCAGTACATGCCGCCCGTGATGAAGGCGAATCTGCACGAGGTATCAACTTGATATACAAACGATGGTGGTCGAGCCATGGTGTGTAGTTGCACCGGTCGATGATCGGACACGTGTCGCAGGTGTTTCATCCGGGCGCGCAGTTCGACGACAGCAACATCTTTCTCATTGGCATCGAGCTCATGGAGCTTCTCTCGCAGCAGCATTTGCACGTGCACTCGTTCGCCGTGCTCCGCAAGGTCCATCGCTACCATCACCGGCGTCTCACATGATATATGGATGTAGGCCGTGCTCGCAACGACCGATGCGTCCTACTGCCTCCGCGACAACCCGCCGGGCCAAGTGGTCTTGACGCCGATGGTCTCGACGGTGTTTCACACGTGGATCCACGGCCTCGCGCAACCCAACGGTGCATCTGTCGAGGTTTGGGCCGAGCTGGCGACGATGGTGAAGAAATGGCTCTTGAACCCAACGACGTCGATCGCATTTGGGCTCGAGCTCATTCGGCGCTGGAAACTGGAGCTCTTGACGTTGAGCCACGTCTTGCAGCTCTACTTGGCTGCTGCTGTCGACAAGGAAGAAATGGGCCGCGAATTCTCTTCGTTCTTGATTCACGACGTGGCCGTCGACGCCGATCGGTCGGTTCTTGTCGTCGACCGACTCTTGCACGTGCTCTCGCCGAGCACAATTGCCTCGCTTCGGCCGCAATTGAGCACCGCCGTCCAAGACGCTGTCCTCGAAGTCGTCCGGTTCTGGAGCGACAAGCCCCACCTTGCATCGCCCAGCACGATCGTTGCGCTCTACGGCGAGTGGTTCCTTCCGGCCTGCGACCTAACGTCCTCGGAGATGGAAAAGACACGCTGCGTGGCGCTGGAAACAGCGTGTACGATCTTGACGCAGCGCGCGGCCGCGACGCTGATTCCTGCCCACGCCGCGACGCTCGCTCGGATTCTCCTGAGTGCGCTCCAGGACGACAGCCGCACGAACGTCGTCTCGACGGTCTTGCACCACGGCGCCGAGCTCTTCACGCGGTCGATTCCTGGCGTCCTTGTGCTCGTGCCGGCCTTTCTGCGCACGATCGACTTGATGATTGGGTCGGTGGGCGCGCTGCACCGCAACCTCCTCGTCGGCGGCGACAAGTCGAACGGCAACCGGCGCATGCCGCGCTTTGGCAACGAAATGAAGCGGAACATGCTCTCGTCCATGGAGATTCTCTTTGCGCTCTTGCCGCTGCCGGCGCAATTTCCCGAGCTACCGGAGCTCAGCGTCGCATCGCAACTCGAGACGCTACCGGATGACGTGCACATTCCCGCCATGGACGCCGAGGTAAGCAATGTCGCTGAAAGAAGGGCGCCTGACTTTCGTAGTTGCACGACGTGGCCGGTCGCTGCTTCACCCGCATCCTTGAATTTACGTTTCCGGACGTGACTGAAGTCCAGCAACGCGCGCTCTGGGGGCTCTATGTGCTCATCGTTGTCCAGCTCAACACGGCCCCGTCGCCGCTCGTCAAGCAGTACGTTGTGCTGCTCTGTGACACGTGCGCGTCCTCGGATGCAGGCTTGGCGCTCACGGCCTTGTCCGTGGTCCACGCGCTGCACCGGTTCCATGCGTCGCTCCTCGCGTACGAGCCCGCGCTCGTGCAGCATATCATCATGGCGCTTTCGCTCCTCGTGCAGCAGCAGGTCGAAGACGCGTCGAACGTTGTCCGCGAGATCCTCGAGACGGCGCCGACCGAGCCGACGTCGCCGATGGCGAGTCTGACGCACTCGACGTCCGAGAGCAGCGTGCATGCGCAGGGCGGGCGGAAGCGCAGCAACTCGTGGTCGGGCTCCGTTCGTGGCCTGGAGAAGGCGACGCCCGAGAGTAATTCGTTCAAGGCCGCCGAGAACCCCGTGCTCAAGACGATCGTTGCCAAGACGACAGCGGTGTTTGAGACGCTGAGCGACTGGGTGATCGAGTGTGATACGATTCTCAACGACGCGGCGGTGCTCAAGCTTCTCTTTGACGCACTCGAGGCTGCACTCATCGGGAGTATTCCTGATGGCGCGTGGCAGCTCCAAGTCGAGCAGCAGCGCACGGCCGAGCGCAAAATGGACATGCCGCTGCTTTTCTTGGGCCTCGCCATGCGCGCGTCGCTGGACGGCGACCGCCACAAGCCGTCGCTCCAGGTACCAACTGTTTTCGTCTCGAAAGTCTCTTTTTCGATCGAGCCGTGTAGTGCTTTTCAGACATTGCGATGGCGGCCGAAGGCTTCCTCATGCACCTCGTACGTCTCGACGCCGTGACGTTGCAATCCACGTTGGAGCTTGTAGATGCACCATTTACACGGGTTTCCGTCGCCGGCCGGTGTCGACCAGCTCGTCTCGTCGTGTACCGAGTTTCCCGACGAGCCCGAGGCGCTGCCGCCCAACGCTCTCAGCTTCATCTACATGAACTCGATCGTCTTGACCGTCGTCGGAAGGTCTCGTCGTCGTCGCCTTGTCTGAAAGCTTATAATGTTGGAGTAGCGTCGACGCGGCGACTGCTCGGATCGTGGCACGCGACATGACGGGCACGTATACGTGGGACGCAGCCATGCCGTTGGCGTCACCAACGCCGCTGCCGTCGCAGACGACAGGCGATGCCGATGTGGGCAGTGCCATGGACGAGCCGTGGACCAAGCATTTGCCGCCGCGGGCGTCGCCGGACCGCGAGCGCCTCGAGGTCGTCATGGACCACGCGCTCGTGCTGGCGACGCAGCCAAGCTCGGACGTGTGCCCGCTCTGCGGCGGGCGTCTGCTGGAAAAGCCGGCCCAGCCCAGCGCGGAGAAGGTGACGCAAATGGCGCCGTTTCCCGTCTTGCGCAAGACCGTGCCGAAAGGCAACACGCTGCCCTCGATGCCGCAGTACGTCTTCCACGAAGAGAACCACGGTAGCAACAACAACAATGGCCTGCACGACACGTACGTCTGCAAGTGCGACCCCGACGAACTCCAAGCCAAGTCGACGCTGCCCACGGAAGTGACGAACGCGACGTCGATCTGCAACCTCTTTTGCCTCCCGGACGCGGCCAAAAACAGCGTCGGGGGCCTCGACCACGAGCGGAGCCTCCTCGACCTGCTCGTCGACAGCATTCCCATGCATTTCCGCGACTGCGGCGGCGACCTCATCGACAAGACGCTTCTCGGCGGCCGCTTTACGATGCAAAAGTACCTCGACATGGAGTGGGACGACATGTACACGCAGGATGGCGGCCCATTGCAGCGCGACGCGACTGAAGTGCCAGGCTTTAGCTTTGTGCAGCGGCTGCTCCACGACGAAGAGTGCTACGCGTACCTCAAGACCTTTCTTCAAAAAGAAGAAAAGGGCAAGGAGCTCATTGAATTCTGGTAAAGTGGCACCTTTTTACATGTGGGACGCTGACACGGGACTGCTAGCGACGGCGTCAAAAAGTACGAACGGTCCTTTGAAGGCAACGACCGCGTCTCGCAAGCGACGCTTCTGTACTGGGAGTTCTTCTCGCCCGAGAGCGTCTCGTTCACGGCGTTCCCGTTCCAGATTGCGTCCAAGCTCCAGCACGCGCTCCAGGCGGCGCAAGCGACCGACGCCAAGGCGCTGCCGCTGAATCTCTTCCAGGACGCCATGGACCATGTCGAAGACAAGTGCTTCCTCGGCGAAGGTCGCCTCGATCGGTTTGTGGCCATGCTCAACGACGCGCACGCCAAGAGCTTGCACCCGCCGGCCGACGGCAACTGGAATGCGTTCGTCGTGCCGCCGCAGCTCGCGCTCTACGACGCCTTTTCGGTATCGAAACTATCAGTGTATCAATTGGATATTCCGTGCGAATGAATATGAACATAGGTCATGGAGCTCAACGTGCGCATCTGCGCCGAAACGCTCCACGTGAAAAAGTCCAACACGCTGCTGCAGCCGGCGCTGCCGTCGTCGTCGTCGATCGCGCTCCCGGCTGCGTCCAAGATGCGCATCTCGCCGCTCGATGTGTGCCGCCTCTGGCTCGCGCAGCTCGGGATTCTTCCGAACGAGAGCACCGTGGGCCAGAACCACGTGCTGATCCTCGAGAACGGCGTCAAGCTCGAGCGGTCGCTCAAGCACTTGGATAAGACACCGTCGCGGGAAACCATCAAGATTGGCGTCGTCTACGTCGGCAAGCACCAATCGCAGCAGCACGAAATTCTGAGCAACACGCACGGCAGCGCCGAGTACGAAGAATTTCTGCTCGAGCTGGGGTGGCCCGTATGTTGTTCTTTTTGAGAGGTCGTTTGTCTCAAGTCGCGATGTTGATCGACTTAGATTACGCTTGCGACCCACAAGGGCTTTCCTGGCGGCTTGGACCACAACCCAAAATCGCTCTCGAATGGTCCGTCGACAATCTACTACGCCAACTCGACGACCGAAGTCGTGTTCCATGTTGTGACCAAGATGCCGACCAAAGCCAACGACCCGCAGCAGATTGACAAGAAGCGCCACGTCGGCAACGACCACGTGCACATCGTCTGGAGCGACAACCCGCAGGCGTACAACCAGAGCACGATCACGAGGTATCGATCGATCAATATTCATGGCTCCCTCTTGGGCGCTCACGCCGGCAGTAGCAACTTTAACTTTGTGCAGATCGTCGTGTTTCCGCTGCGGCAAACGTCCACAGGTCTCTTCCTCATCAACGTTCTCACAAAGCCAGACGTACGCAGCCATCTCGTCTCGCAAGTCCGTCTGTCCGATGTGTGTAGGTGCCGCTCTTTGGACCGCTCATGGACGGGATGGTGGTCACGCGTCGGGACCTCCCCGAGCTCCTTCGCCAGGTACGCGCATTGAACGTCGTCTAAAACTGAGGCGGAATGTGTAGACGGTCATGAATGCCAACCGTGCGTGCCGGCAGCAGTCGGCATGGTACCTCCCGCCATACCCGACTCGCCGAAAGCTCATCGACGAGATCGTCGACCGCTACGCGACCGACTACAGCGAAAAGAGCATGCTCACAAGCCTCTTCAAGATCCCGTCGCCCGCCGAAGGCCACAGCATTTAGTCGCGTCCCATCATTATGCGTGCGTTGTAACCCTTGCCCTACTTCTCTCGTCTCGCCGGTCATCGCCGTGACGATGACCTGTTGTTTTGGACCAAAGTCGCTAGACTCACAGCTTCCTTGTGGGTAAAACTACGAGAGTTTTCGGGAAAACGAGCTGGCGACGTCGGCACGCTTCGTCAACGGGCACTTGATGGCTTGGTCAACGGCTTCTTTCTCAAGTCGCCCAGTTGGCAGTTTGGAAAAAGCTATGATCCGCCGCATCGCCCTCGCTGTGCTGCACGTACGTGCGCCTTGAGTGTTGCCTCTGCCGCAGTAGAGTACGTACTAGGCCGCGCCACTGGTCATCTTTCTGCTCATGTGCATCTGGATGGGGGTGACTCTGACTGCGTACAAGACGAGCGTCCTTGGCCAAGTGACGGCCGTGGACTTGGCCGGCTTTTCGGTGCGCTACGCCGACGCGCACCTCTTCAACTGGCACCCGGTGCTCATGACGTTTGGCCTCCTCTTCTGCTCGTACGAAGGTGGTACAGGGTTCGATCCTGTTCTGCCGCTGACTTTTTTTTAACGTAGCGGCGCTCGTGTTCGTGACGGCGCCGTTTGACCACAACACCAACAAGATTGTGCACGCGTCGTTGCATGGGATGTCGCTGCTCTCGGCGGTGCTGGGCGCGATCGCTGTCTTCTCGTATCACTTTGCCCAGAAGATTCCCAATCTGTATAGCCTCCACAGCTGGCTCGGGCTGCTCACGGTCGTCGCCTTTCTGGAGCAGGTCCCCGCTATATTGTCTGCGGCTGCGTAGACGGATTTGTGTGTGTGGATAGGTTGTCGTTGGCTTTGTGGCGTTCTTGTACCCGCGTCTCGCTGCGCGCTGGCGGCTCGCGCTGGTGCCGTACCATGTTGGCTTTGGTGTCGCCGTTCTCGGCCTCGTGGCCGCCACGATCGGTAGCCTCGTCGATGTGTCTGGCGTCGTCTGACGGGAGTCTTGGTAGTGACTGGGATTATGGAGAAGCTCGGGTTCAACGGCTCGTGCAACATTTCCGGCAAGCTCGACGGACGCGACGTGCACGGCTACATGGCACCGGACTGCATGCTCGGCAATGTGATTGGGCTTTTGGTGGCGCTGACGTTTGGAAGCGTTGCGATGACGGTGATCGTCTCGAAGCTGCCGACGCCGCCCCGAGGCCCCATCGAGCTGGCGATGGACGGGACGGAGACCGTGCCGTTGATGGCCCATGACGACTGAAGGGCTCATGGACCTCTTGTGTAGTTGAGTGTGCCTACCTCTTTTCCCAGCTGTGTGAAGGCGTAACCTATAAGAACCGTTTTGGTTGAAGCAGATCGAGGACGAGAGATCGGATCCCTTCAACGCAGAATGAAGCGTGGATTTGTCGTGATGTTTGGGTTGGTCATGTTGCAGACGTATGCGCTGGTATGGACCTTGACCTTGCTTTCCATCGACCGTCCCTGTGGCCTGCAAGTGCTCTCGAGTTCTTTTGACGTTGGTTGGTCTTTTGGCGCCAAATCCAAATCCAGAAAAACGTGCCAGCTGGGGCAAAACCTCTGGAGATGCATATTCGATACGCATGTAATTGTAGAGGCTTGCCACAAATCGCACCAGCATCATGGAGTTCTTCGCGGCCTCGCCCGAGGTGGATGCCACCGCGCTCTTGAAGGACGCCATCGTTGTCGCGGTACTTGCGATGGATGTAGATCAGCGGCCTCACCATCGCCTCTACGCGTAGCCCGCCATCTCGTTCGCCAACATGGGCCAACTGGTCGTCGACGTCCTCGTCAACTCGGCGCTTGGACAAGTGGTCGCACTCGGCGCTACGTCCGCAGGATGCTCATGCTCGCTCTGGTCTCTAGATGGACATGCAGCGCGTCGGCTACTTGTTCTCGAAGCGCGTGGCGCCGATGGCCGGCGCGGCGGCGTTTGCCACCCAGGCCGCGGGCGACCTCTGCCTCAACATGGAGGTCAGTTCTCATCCTCTCTTGCTTGCAAGGTCTCCACAACAGGTTAGGTCTACCTCATGTCGTACCCATTGCCCAACTCGTCGGCGGTGCAAAAGGTCGCCTTTGTGCAGCAGCGCACGTCGGTGCTCCCCGTACGATCGCAGTGCCATGCCCATGGTAGAGCGAACACTAACGAATAGGGTCAAAGCGCTGCGTTCGTCCGTGAGTTTGTTGCGTGGACCAAGCTCGTGCAGGCGGCCTCTGTGCTTTTGCTCGCGGGCGCCGACAACATGCTCTGTCACGACCGCGACATGCACGTGTACGTCCGCAGCGTGACGCGTTTGCATCCTGAGTGGACGTAGGCACCGCATCAAGTGGGCGGGCGCCAACGGTCCTTTCTTCAACGACGCGTTCTTGGCCATGATCCCGCGCCTGCCGCTGGCCGACGGCGACGCGACGGTGTGGGACGCGACGCGTGGCACGGGCCTCGCGCCGGCCATGGACCGCGAAGCCGCCTCGCAACACATGAACTTTCTGTCGTTCGTGCTCTTCTGTGCTGAGGGCAACAACGTGCCGGACGCTGTGTACCTCGCGAGCTGTGTCGCCCAGTACCTCCAGCTGCCGCCGGCGTCGTTCAAGCTGCAGCTGCCGCCGTCCTGGAGCCATTTGTTTGGCCGGGACCCGTCCGTCTCGCTCTTCTTGTAGATTTACCGTAGCTTTGGCCTAAAACGGAAAAATACGACGACAACCTTTCGATCGCGTACGGTTTCGTCCTAGAGCCGAGGCCCATGTCGGCGTCGCTCGAGACAACCGAGACCAGCCATATCAACGCAGCGGCAACCAACCAGCCGGCCGGAGAGGTACCGCCGCTCGAAGAAGATGCAGCCGGAATTGCCGCGCCGCCAGCACCCGACATGCACGAGAACGCTGCCGCGCCAGAGACCACCGAGGTGCCCACGACAACTGCGACCGCGCCGCTTCTCGTGGCCGTCAGTAGTGTCCCACCCGCACTGCCGCGTCAAAAGCCTCAGAAAAGAGTTCAGTTTGCATCGCCCAAACGCCGGGCGCTCTCGTATGCAACCAAAGCGACGCCCGCGGGCACGACGCCTCGTCGCTTTCCAATCGTTTTTGGGTACGCCTCTGCGTGAACATGTAGTACTTGATTGTATGCCTGGCATTGATCCGATAGCCGATCTTCACACCGCGTCGTCGTGACGGCGCCGATCGAGCAGCTCGTGGCGGCCGAGGCAGCGTACACACTACCACCGATGGCGCCGCTGTTGTGGAAGGAGCGCTTTGCACTCGGGTACGCCGGTACGAAGCGCGTGTTAGCACTGCGCGCCAGTGCGCCGATCGTCGACGAGCTCACATTTTCGAGCAAGGACGCGGGTTTCTCGCGTCCGCTGGTTCTCGCACTTGGCGCGGCGTACTGCACGACGATCACATCGATTGCCATGCCACGCTGCGGCCTGGATAGCGCGACGGCCCTCGCCTTGTTTCGCCTGCTGAAATCGAGTACTTCGATCTCGTCCATCGATGTGTCGGACAATGGCCTTGGTGACGACGACATGCCCGCGCTCTGCGCTGCGCTGCGCATTAACACGTCGCTGACGCGGCTTGTGCTCACGCGCAATGGCCTCTCGGCGCGGAGCTTGCGGTGTCTCGCACTGGCGCTGCAAGACAACATGGACGGCAGTCTCCTCTCGCTCGACTTAAGCTACAACCCGCTACTGGCCGCGAGTTCGCAGCTGCTCGCCGACTGTTTGAGTGTCAACGAGACGCTGACGAGTCTCAACGTCGCGGCCACGCACGTCGTAGAGTCGATCGTGCTCTCGGGGCTGTGGCGAAACTACACATTGCACGAGCTCCAGCTGCAGCAGCTCGACGGGCCATCGCCTCGTATGGCGACCGACGAGAACGGCCGGCTCGCGCAAGACCACTTGAACATTTCGCACGCACCCGAAGTCATTGAGGGCTTGCGCCGAGCAACCTCGGGCTTGGCTCACTGCAATCTCACGGGCGTGCTGCTGCCGATCCAGACCATCAAGAGCTCGCGCTGGATCCGGTTGCCAGCGGCATCGCTCAACGAGCTCGACGGACGCGTCATTGCGGTAGGATGCGTCGTCGTCACGCTCCCGCCGACACGGCACTTAGGGCTTGTTGCACCAAAATCTCTCGCTGCTCGAGCTCGATCTGGCGTCCAACCACCTCGGCGCGGAGTCGGTGGCCGCGATCATGGTCGCTATGCAGGCATGCCCGACGCTGCGCACGGTTGACTTGTCGGACAACGGTGTTGGCGCCTACATTGGCGAGGCTCTTGGGCAGAGTCTCACCGCCAACACGACCGTGGGGACGGTCAAGGTAGCCGCGTTGATCCATGACGTTCAGCAGCTCCGCGGCAACAGCGACGAGGTGCCCACGGAATGATGGCGTCATGCTACACTGATCGTCGTTGTAGGTCGACGAACTCAACATCACAAAAGAGATGCTCGCAGAGCCACTGGACTTTTGGATTGTCACGATGCTACTGGGCGTGAACCGAAGAACGGTGATCTTCAACGAGCTCCAGATTCCGCCGTTGGAGGACCACATTGACTACTGCCATACGCACCTCGCCGAGTACTACCTTGTTTTTTCCCTCATCTTCGTAACGCTATCACTCTCGGTGGCTAGTTACGAAGCGTCTTTTCTCGCGGTGCGCATTCGGCATCACTCGCACCTGCAAGTGCTGCAGCTCAATTGCTGCAGCTTGACGTCGTATGCTGGTGTCGTGCTGGCCGACGCGCTTCGGAACCATACCGTGCTTCAACACGTACGATCTCAAGTGCAACCTCAAAAGCAAAAGTGCAATCTCAAAATCCCTAGGTCTCGCTTGAAAAAATGCGCTCGGACCCATTGGCGGCCGCGCGATCACCGAGTGCCTCGAGCACAACCATAGCCTTACCCATTTGAACTTGAGCTGGAACCAACTCAACAACGACGGCGTACTCCCACTGCGCGTCTCGCTGGCCGCCAACCGGGCGCTGCGACGCCTCGATCTCCGCGGCAACGCCATTAGCACGATCGGCATCGTGGCAATCGGCACCGGCATCGCCGCCAATGCGTGCTTGGAAGAGCTCTACTTGCGCTGGAATGACGTGGCACCGCGCGGCGCGACGAGCCTCGCCACTGCGCTCACACGCAACAAGAACCTCCGCGTCCTCGACATTGAGCAGCAGCACATGGAAGTCGACGGCGCCGTTGCCTTTGCCGCCATGCTTCGTAGCAACAAGGCGCTTACGGTGCTGAATTTGCGAAGCGACCTCGTGCTACACCCGACGACGACACTCACAACGGACGGCGCGACAGCACTTGCGATGGCCCTGCGCGAGAATACCACGTAGCCCACGACGATGGGTTTCCTCTAAAAGAACTCGTTTGCGTCTAGGCTCAAGGAGCTCAACTTGGCCGAGAATAGGTTGACGGTCGAAGGCTGCGAAGCGCTCATTGGCGGTGTCGCCAATCTACGACTGCAAAAGCTCGATCTCTCGTACTCGGAGCTGACGAGCGAGCTCGCGGCTGCTTTCTTTGCGCAGCTCGCCCACAACACGTGCATGGAGGTCGCCTTTCCATCACAAATGCGGCGACTCAAACGACTTGGGCTGGCCATAGGAACTCAATGTGGAACACAACAACATTGGGCCCGACGGCTTCAAGGCGTGCTTGCGCGCGCTCTGCGTGAACCGAACGCTGCGCAACCTCAACATTGGCTACTGCCACGTCACGGAAGAGGGTATGATACTCGTCGAGAAGCAGGCACGGCTCTTCGCGCTGCTCCGGCTTCGGCTCGTCGGTAACCGCGTGACGCCAAGCACCAAAGCGCGGCTACAGGCGCTGCATGTCAGTGTCGTGCTTGATATTTAAAGCCCACAAGAACGTGACAACGTTTCTTGTGGTGAGTTCTCGAACCTCGGTGCACGGTTGGGAATGTGATCCATCGCATGTTTTCTTCTTGATACGTACCCCCACTGCGCAATCGTGGGTGCCTTCTGCCTTCTACCGCGCGACGCATCAAGACACAGCTGGCGCAGTGTCCACGGCTGCGAAAAATAGCGCTAACTGTGCGCCGACGTGGCCGTTCCGAGGCGTTACGTACGTGGCGGCCTCCGACGAGAGATAGGCTCCTTGAACCGACCATGTCTCATATCGGTGTCGGCTGGAGTAGCCGGGCGCCGGGCAATTGCGCAGCGGTGGCTGATCATTTTCCAATTAGCATTTTCCAATTAGCATGACCAGCAGCAACAACAACAACGACCACACGACGAGCGCCCTCGCGGTGCTCACCAACACCCCGCTCCTCCAACTCGTGTGCGCCTACCAAGATGGCCTCACGCCCGAGCTCTCGAGCGTCTTCCTCATGTACCGTCGACGCATGCAGCGTTCGCTGGTGCCGCAGAAGAAGCAGATTCTTGCCAAGAAGGACATGTTCCGCGGCCATGTCGCCTTGAAGCTCGTCGAGAAGGGCGACGTCGCGATGCTCTACGAACTCGAGCGCCAAATTCCGACCGGGTATGCGCGCCCGCCTCGCAACGAATCGAGCTATGTCTATGGCATCAACACGGCGGCGGCGCGCGGCCAGCTCGATGTCGTGCGCTTCCTCCATCAACACGACCTGGCCAAGTGCTCGAAAAAGGCCATGGACGACGCCGCCTCCAACGGCGACCTCGCCATGGTCACCTACTTGGACAAGCACCGAAACGAAGGCTGCAGCCTCGCAGGGTACATCTTGGCCGAGAAGCACGGCCACCGCGACGTCGTCGAGTACCTCCTCGCCCACCGCCCGCAAGACCAGAACAAGTGCCCGCCTTCGGACCCGCAGTTTGTGCTGCACCCGCTGCTGTCGTCGGCCGCCGACGCGCTCGCCAAGGTGCCAGCCTGCGGCGTCCAATAGCCAAGAGGCAGCTCGAAACTCACCTTGCACTCTCCTGCTGCCACGTATGTCTCACCGACGTTTTCACTGGCGTTGTCGCACAAGGCCCCACGCTGCCTCTCCGCGCTTGCTGCTCTACATGTCCTTCCGATGCATATATCTATCTATCGATGTAGCTAGTCCATGCTTGCTTCCATAACACAACAGAGACGACCGAACGTCCAATGCTTTGCTTTTCCAAGTTGAAGTTGCCACCAAATTTAACAACGAGATCGCGATTCTCAGAATCCTTTGGTACCCACCGTGGCTGCAAGAACAAAACTGGTTCGGCAGCTTTGTTCTCGTGCTACTCAAGCTGGCAAAGCCGACGCCAGACCGTAAAATGCGGGCCTCTCATCTCTGTTTGGGGGTTAAAAGAGGTCAAAGGTTCGGAGGTTGGCCGTCTATTTCGTCTGCTGTGATATTACGCTGGGGCGATCGGGCAGAGGCACACGGGCGTCGGGATCTCGATCGACTCGCCTGTCGGCTCGAGCGACCCGTTCGATGCCAAGCGGTACGTCAAGATCGAGTCCGAGTTTTGGTTGGCCGACACGACCAGGTCATTGCCAAGAAAGGCAAAGTGACGGGGGAAGCTGCCGCCGCTCGACACAAACGTCGGGGCATCGACGCGGCCGTCGGCCGCGATCGGAAACGTGACGAGCGTATCGTCACCGCGGTTCGAGACGACGACCGCGCGGCCCGACGGCGCCACCTGCACCTCGGCGTTGAGGCTAAACGCGTCCGAGTGCGCGCGTTCGGGCCGACGTGTCGAGACCGTTTGCAGCGGCGTGGCTGCGAGCGACCCATCGCCTTCGAGTGCAAAGACGCCGAGGCTGTTGCTCAGCTCATGAACGACGTACGCCACCGGAAGCGTCGGGTGCAACGACATGTGTCGCGGACCGGCGCCCGGCGGCTGCGGCACAAACGCACGGGCGCTATGGGGCTCGAGCGCACCTGGTTCGCGGTGTTATAACATGCTGCAGAGAGATCGCAAGGTCTCATACCTGTCGCCGCCTCGAGCGTCAACTGCATGACCTTGTCGTTCCCGAGGTCCAGCGCGAACAAGGTGGCGCCTGCCCACGTGGTGCTGTGGCAGTGGGGGGCTTCCTGGCGGGCGGCGTTGACGAGGCTCGCGCCCGTAAACTGCTGGATGCTCGACGCGGGCGCGATCGAGCCATCGGCTCGGATCGGGTACAGCGCGACGTTCCCGCCGCCATAGTTGGACACGGCCACGTAGCGCCCGGATGGGTCCACCGAGGCGTGGCAGGGATACGTGCCATGCGACGGCTCGATGTTCTTCAACGTAAGCTGGCCGTCGGCGCCGATCGCGTAGGCGCGGACAAAGCCCGTCGCTTGGCCGTTCATGTCGTCCGCACACTCGTTGACGACGAAGGCGACGCCGTTGGCCGCAGCGACAAACGACGGGTTCACACCCACGTCCGTGACGCCGAGGAGGCTCATCTTGCCCGTCGCGTGGTCGACCGAGATGGCGTAGACTCCCTTGCCCTTGCCGTCGACATGGTCTTCCTTGCGGGTGTACGTCCCCACCAGCACTCGTGTAGCCATGGTACGCCAAAATCCAAATCTGCCAACTGGATTCCACTGGAATTCCAATGACGGCCAGCCTGTATACACATACAAACATCAAGTGTAGGTATCCAAGCCAGTGTATATTCCAGTACCCGAAACGAAGTGCTACAGGCGCCCATGGACGAGTGACGCGAGAGGCCATCACGCTGCATGATAGCTGTTACCATTCCTCTGCTTGCCGATACGCGTGGCATGACCTCGTGCCATGATGCTTTCACAAGCTTGAGAGACTTGTCTTTCAATTTGTTGCCGCGTGAGTTGATTTTTGAGTTTGAGTCGTCGGTACCTTCCTACCGGTACTCGCACGTGTTCAATTGGTTTCTCAAGCCCGGACACGTCACAAAGAAGCAAGCAGGGGCTTATGCTCTCAGCTAGGACTCTCAGCCAGACTCTCAGCTATGCCATGCTCCCAGCTGGTGTGCTCTCTTAAAAGCACTCGACGCCAGCTCAACTCCGCCGTCGCCGCAGGACAACTCAATGCGTTCCAACGGAAATCTTGAAGTGCGCTACAATAGGACTGGGCAAGTACAATCCCACCGTGATCCTGCTACAGAGACTGTTGGGTCAATGATCTCAAAACGAAACTCAAAACTCAATACAAAGCAGTTGCCACAAGGGTCAGTTACCAAGGTCCGAAAGCGATGCTCGGGGTGTGGTCCATGACAGCGAACGACGCGCGGGGCGCCTTTAGCATGGCCGAGCTCAACGAGGGTCCGCGGTCCCCACGTGCAATTTTACGCTGAAGATGTGTTTTTAGCCACGTCCAACCACGTCGCGACCGCGTCGTTTCGAAAGGACTACCTCGCGTACTGCAAGCTCATGGCACTCGTGCCCCACCCCAAGCTCTTGCCCAACTTTGACGAAGAGGACAAAGACTGTCTTCGTACGACGCTTCTCTCGACGAGGACCCTCTTCCATGCGGTATGCGATATAGACCAGAACTACGACGAGTCGGACGTGGCCACCGTCACGGTGCGCAACTGGATGCTGGACATGCCATCGCTCCTGCTCATGGACTTGGCGCTTCAGCGGGCGACGTCAGTCCACACACTCGTGTACAAACTGTCTTATGTGGCGACACCCATTTGAGAGATCGTAGCCTCTTCAACGTGTCCTTGACCGTCCCGCAGCTTCAGTTTGTCTGCACGCAGCTACCGTCGACAAGCCTCAAGACTCTGCACTTGGAGTGGAATGACGTGCCGCCGCCGCTCAGCACAGACACCATCGCCGAGGACCACACCGCGTGGTACTCATATGTGGCAGCCACCATGTTGCTTATGAAGCACATATTGATACGATTAGCTTTGCCAACTTGCTGGCGGCGCCGACGCAGCTGACGCAGCTTTCGCTCCGCGCCAACGGCATCTCGGCCGAGGGTAGACGCACGTTCGTCCTATGCATATATCCGCACCAGCAATATTGCATTAGGCGCCATAGCGTTGGCGGATACGCTCAAGCAGAACGCGACGTTGACGCAGCTCAACTTGTTCCGGAACCGCATTGGCGATGCCGGGGTCGAGGCGCTCGCGCAAGCGCTCTCTGAGAACAAGACGCTGCAGCACCTCTCGGTCGCCAACAATGGCGTCTCGGGCGCCGGGTACGAAAGGCCTGCTGTGACGACTGCACTTGAGCGTCTTGTGGTATAGCGCGCTGTCTTTGGTGCGAGCCATCACACGCTTTGTCGTGTCGGAAGCCCAGCTCAAGCAACTCGCCGACATGGAAGTGCTTGTCCAAACGGCGGTGCGTGCGACTGCCATAGCACGAGGAGACGCCTGCACTTGCCGGTAGCTCGAGACGGCCAAGAAGCAGAAAAAGAAATCGACCGCACCGACGTTCTCAGAGAGCTCAACATGATTGAAACCGAGAGTATTGACGGCGTAGTGTACGGCCTCGGCAACAGCACGCTGCAGTCGATTTCGCTCAGCGGCAACGAGCTCTCGGATGTCGAGCGCGACCTCCTCCCGCTGCAGCAGCTACTGGAAGCGTTCGACGAGAAGCTGCAGACGCATTTTGCAGGTCTCAAAGTCCAGCGCATGTTTACGCCCGGCCAGCTCACTGGCTTGAGCAAGCCGCTCTCAACCTTTCTCGTACTCTAAAACCAAAAGCTACGTTTCTGAAAGCGTGGATTTATCGGGTCTTCGAAGGCATGCTGTCAGCGTCGTGGACGAGCGCGCTCACACGAGGGTACACACACAGCATCATGAAGCTTAGCAGCGCAAGCGCGACGCCAATGAGCGTCAAGGCGCTGACGGGGATCCCGACGACCTAGAGCACACGATGGCATGCGGATTTGATACAAGCAGGTGCGGTACCAGCTCCTCGAGGAGAATGTCAAACGTGGTCGCGCGACGAGCGAGCTCGTCGGCGCTCAAGCGGTACGAGACGCCCTCGACCTGCATCGTCACCTACGCGTGGTCTTGCTTCGATTGATTCATGAGGTCCTACTACCTCGACGTACTGCGCACGGCCTTCCACGCCGCCCGTCACAAACGTCTTTTCCGTGTTGAGCATACGTCGCATGGCGCCGTGGCTACGTTGGCGCTCGGCCTCGTCGTCGTCCACGATGCGCAGCTTGAAGAAGCTCGGCGTCGTTGCGCGGTACGAAAGCTTGACCTCGTACGCTTGGCCCGGCACCGTCTCGAGCGCATAGACGACGGGGGCACCTGGGTAGATGACCTGTCCTACGGCGAGGATGTTCGGCGTCAGCGCCTTCACGTTAGCTGCAACTGCAAGGCTCGTCCATGCCAGGAGCAGCAGCGCTGCCAGACGCGTCGCCAGCATCCGTCACCTGGTACTACTTTATCCGGACATTGCCGGATAGGCTACACGTATCGTCATCCGGTTACGTAAGCCGCCATCCGGATACCCAACCGCCTCCACGTGGCCGCGCCGTACTCTCCGGTCATTCCGAGAAAAAGCTCGGCAGCGTGGCGGTGCTGGCAGCTTATGATCCTGCAGAGGCCGCAGCGTAATGGCTCGTGTCCATGAGACCATGTCTCGTGCATCACGGCGCCTGTCGGTCGACTCGAAGCAAAGTGGCGTCTTTTCCGTGTGACGGAATGTATGTTGACATACAAACCGCCAGTCTAAAGTGAGTGGAGGTCCACTCGCGAGGGGTCGGGGTCCAAAAGTTTGGAATTAAAAAGCAGTTTGTGTCAATAAAATACCAACAATCACGCGATCTTTACTGAATGTGTGTCATAAAATACAATGCCTGCGATGCAAGGGCGACGCATTTAAATAAAAGCACAAACAGCTTGGACTTTGTATACCGAGCAGGCCACGGAATGTTGAAGGGACCCCATACAAAAAGCTATATGTTGCAGAGAATGCTGGTCGGGCCCGACACTCGCCAGTTTGGAAATACCCTGTCGGACGACGCACATGACCCGGAAGCCGACCGACCTGAGCATGATGGGCGTGCCCCCGAGCCACCCGAACCCGCTCAAGCGCACGCGCAGCGCGACGGCGCGAGAGGCGACGGAGCTGCCGCCGACGATGCCAAGCATGCCCAGCATGCAGCTCAGCATGCTCAACAACGGCGGCTTGCCCTCGATGTTGCCGAGCCTCGAGCGCCGCAGCTCGTCGACGTTCTCGATTAGCAGCCTCATGCCACTGGACCGAGGCATGAGCAACATGGGCAACATGGCGCTGCCGGTCTTCCACAGCTCGGCAGAGCCGCCGTCGCGCCAGAGCTCGATGCTCGTGTCCGAGTACATGTACCCGGCGGACATCCAGCCCATGACGTTTGACGACAAGCAGCGCCTCGTGCACCGCATCACGATGCTGCCGAGCCAGTACCTCCGCGGCCTCATCGACGTCATTAAAAAGTACCAGCCCGACACGGTGCGCCAGCTCGACGAAGAGTATGTCTTTGACTTGGAGCAAATGCGCGAAAACACCGTGTATGCGATCCAAGACTACGTGCAGATCGCCTTCTCAGAACTCGACGAGTACGTCAAGACGCTCACGACCGCGTCCAAGCCGTCGCAGCATTCGATGGGCATGAACATGATTGAGAACTACGAGGCGCCGCGGTATGGGGCATCGGCCAAGTCGAGTCTCGACGAGCCGCAGTCCAAGCGCCGCCACACGGTCACGTCCGCGGCCGTCGACAATGCGACCAAGCAAGTGCTGCAGACGAACGGCCAGATCAAGTTTATGGAGCAAGTCGAGATGTACTCGAAGCCCAAGACGAGCAAGACGAAGACCAAACCGTCGCAGCGCCACCAGTGCGAGACGTGCCAAAAGATGTTTCGCGGCCGGTCCGAGCTCCAGAACCACATCCGCACGCACACGGGCGCCAAGCCGCTCGTGTGCTCGTACGCGGGCTGCGGCAAAACGTACGCGCACAGCTCCAACCTGCGCGCGCACGAGCGCAGCCACGAAGGCATCAAGCCCTACGTGTGCCACTACGACGGCTGCGGCAAGCGGTTCGCGCACAGCGTGTCGCTCAAGGAGCACATTTGGATGCACGCTGGCGTCCAGCCGTACGAGTGTCCGTTTCCGGGCTGCGGCAAGCGGTTCACGCAAGTGTCTAACTTTGCCCGGCACAAGAAGCTCCACGGCGCCGCGGCCTCCAAGGCCTCGAGCGCCAACGAGTCGACCGTCAACTTGTAGACGCGTCTCGCCGTATTTAACATCCCGTGTCAGTAATAACCCATTATTTCTTGCGTACTTATCGCCTCACTGTTGCGTAAAGACGATGCTCAGCGGGTCGTTCTCGTCGTCCTTGCCCTAGCAATGTGCCATTAGGACATACCAAGACCCGCTTCCTCGTACCTCGAGGGACGGTCGAGGTGTACGGGGCGATAACAATGTGCGCGGCGACGGCGACAGCGGCTTGACGATGGTTCGGGACGACCGCTTGAGCGCCATGAGGCTAAGCGGCTCGCTGGGCACGGCGCCGCTAAAGGACGCGGGGCGGTGCAGCGTTGGCTCGATTGTCTCGAGCGCCAGCGCCAAGGACGACGTCGGTGGCGACGAGGATGGCGTCTTGGCGTCCGCGTTGTTGCTCGGCTCGTTCGTCGGCTTGGACACGCGGTGCCAAATCATCTTGTAGTAGTCGACTTCTTTGAGCAAGTGTTGTTGCTTCTCCTACGCAGCCGATTGATCGCAAATGACGTGGCGAGCGGGCGTACGTGGCTCAATCGGACTTGTTCCTTGTAGAGCGACTGGTACTCTTGCACGCTGCGCTCGACCGAGCTACTCCAAGTAATACGTCAGTCGTTCCGCGGTCCTGAAGAATATGAACAAAGACCTTGCATGGTCTTCACTCTTTTGAATCGTTTCCTTGAGCGCCTGCTCGAGAGATTGAATCTCATATGCATTGGGTAGGAGATGGTGTCGTACCACACACTTGGCTTCAAGCTCCTTGATCTGGACTTCTTTTTGATGCTCGTTGTACTAATGACGATCTAGGGTCGATTGGCCGCGCCAAGCGAGCCACACTGTACCCGGAACTGCTCGTTCTGAAGGCGGAGTTGGGTCATCTGACACACGACTTCGTACTTTTCGTGGTCGAGGACGGCCTTGGCGTACTCGGTCACGTAGTGCGCATGCAGCTTCATCTCGACGAGCTTGCGCGACAGCATTTCCATGTGCTTTTGCGGGCTCTCCGAGACGGTTCTACGCTACTGCATTAACACCGCATCGATATGGGATCGCGCACGTGTGGTCGTCAGGACTGGCCAAGACAGGCTCCATCTACCACGGTAAAGCATCACTTCTTAAAACGATTATGCAGGCCGAGCGCCGCAGAGATCAAGAGTAGGAAGAGACGCCACACCTGCGAGGCCAGCGACTGCATCTGCGCCTCGGCTTTGGCTTCGAGCTCCTTGTTGCGCTCGCTCAACACGGTGTTTTGAGCCGAAATCGAGCTGTTGATCTCGTGCAAGGCAGTGATCGACGCTTCAAACTCGGCTGCCCGCGCATTGAACGTGCGATTTTGCTCGCTCAGAATCACGTGAACGTCCTTAAGCGCTTCGTTCTCGCTTCGGCAAAGCCGCAGCTACAGACGTTGTCACCACCAATACGACCCGAGACATCAAGGAAAGAGTAATACGTCTTCGGTGAGCTGCGTCACCTTGTCCATCGCGACGGCTAGTTGCGACTGGACCGCGTCCACCGATTGCGTTCGGTGGTGGCGCTGCGACTGGTTGTCGACGAACAGAAAGGACGAGAAGGCTGGTCATCATCATGGATCGCCATCTTGTGGCACGTGGTGTACCTTGCATGAGACTGTTGGACGACGACGGCGCCTCGACTGGCGCGGTCTGGCTGCCCACGTCGACGAGCGAAATGCAGTACGTCTGCGAGTCTACGCCTCGCGCTTCTGTAAACGTTTTGAAGCGACTCCACACACCGGTTGAGATGCTATGTTCGTGCTCCTCGGGCTCGAGCTCGAGCTCGTCGCGCTCGAGGCTCTCGCACTTGACGAGCAATGTCTCTTTCTCCGCTTGCACCTGCTGCAGCGTCGCGTGCAGCTCGGCGTTCTCTGCCAAGAGCGCTTGGTACATCTGCACGCAAACTTTCTGAGATACAAACGATCAGCTCATATGACGGTACCTCCTGGTACTCGGCAACGCCCAAGCTCTGCGTCTAGGGTGCCCATCTAAGCCAAATCCATCGGAACAGCGTGCAGACCTCGTGGAGGAGAGGCTCGTTCTTGATCTCTTTTGCCCGCATGCCAAACCGAACGGTCGAGATGGTTTCGGCCACGTTCTACAAGGTTTGGTGAGCCACACGCATCGAGCGCCGAAGGGAACGGACGTAGGAGCTCGCCGAGATGGTCACGATGAGGCAGGTCTTGGCATGCCCTCCGAGCGAATCTTGGAGCAGCCGCGTGAGCTTCGAGTCTCGGTACACGCGTTGTCAAGGCCACGGCTTGGAGAGAGATGCCATTTTGGATGCAAGTGAAAAAGGATATAAATGGAATGTGTTTCTTCCCCTCGACGAGCGCCTTGATGACGTTGCTGAGCGCCGAGAGACTCTTGTTGATGGCCCGCGCCTCGTTGAGCGTCTTGCCGGACGCCATGGTCTTGGCGACCATCTCGGAGCCCGCGAGGTCGACGACGTACATGGTCGCCTTCTTCTCCGTGCCGGCCAGCACATCGCGGCGCGTCATGTTGATCATGAGAATCGTATGGCTCCGGCTCGAGTCCTACACGCAGGGATGGTGCTCGATACTACTACTTTCGAGTCGAAGCGAACGTTGTTCATGCGTGTGCACGCAACGACGCGGTTGGTGTTGCCGCGCTCGACGAGCTGCAGCATGACCTCCTTATGACACGCGCCGTGTGGGTCCGTGAGCGTTTAGCCTCCAAGGTACCTCGGAGGTGGCCGGGACATGCGTGAGGTCGTCGACGTAGATGCCCCGCGGTCCGTTCTCGCGGATGCGCAAGTTCTTCTTGATAAAGTTGGGCTGCAAGAGATCTCGGATCTGCTCCATGTAGATCTCCAGGAACGAGCCCGAGAGCTCAAAGTGGACAGTCTCGGACGAGAGCATCCCGACGCGGTCAAAGATATCGTGCACGAGGCGCGCAATAAGCCCTTGCTACACCCATCCATGCTGTCTCAACCGACGGTCATGTAGGCGCACGAACCTCGTCGGGCTTGCTGCCAACGCCTTCCTTGGGCCCCAGTACGGTGTGCGTCTTGCCCGAGCCCGTCTGGCCGTACGCAAACACCGTACTACGCAGCGCATGCGTCTAGCGATGCAGCCGCGACGATGGCCTACCAGTTGTAGCCGTCGAGGAGGTCGACGACGAGCGACTTGGCCGTCGCCTCGTACACCTGGCGCTGCGTCGCGTCGTGCGGAAACACTTGATCGAACGTACAGCTAATTGCGCGAGATCTGCAGCCCGTTATTCTCGCCACGTCTTGTGCGTACCGGAGGTAGTCGGTCGAGAAGCCGTCTTCCGGGTTCACCTCGAGGGACTTGCCGTCGGGCGTTGCGACGCTACGGCGATCCATGAGCGGCGACGTCGCGACCTTCGGGGTACCAGTCGAGCCCGCCCTGCTTCTTCTCGAGCGCGTTCTGCGGTCGGACGCGGCAAGACACGTGGATGTTGCTCATGACGGACGATCCAAGACTGAGCCAAAAACAGCCCAACGAAACGGCCTGAAAACGACTGCATCGCACGCGGCCAGCAGTCCCTTCGGCCTCCGACTCGACGACACTGCTCGAGTCAGTCTCTTACGCAGTCGAGGCGACTTATACTCCATCGTCCTTGCGCACGTGGCAGCCATAGGAACCACGACGTTTGTCCAACGACAGGATGCTGGGAAGGTATCGATGGAGTGGGCTCTCCAACCCAACATGCACGAAGTCGTAACGCACGTCAGCGCGACGAAGCAGCCTCTCCAAGTACACGCAGCCATCTCCATTCGCCCGCAGCAATCGTCTTAGAACACGACGATATATTCGAGCTTATGCCATGCAAAAATGAAAGCCAAGGCTAGTATCTGGGTGCATCCATGTGCGGAGCAATGTGCTGCATCCAGAGGTCGTTGGCCTCGAGGCGCCCGCGAAAGATGCTCGGCCCGATGAGCGCGCTCAGCTGCTTGACGCAGTCGACAGCCGCGAACCGCGCGAGCCGGTGCGAGCCTACACGCCATCAATAGCTTCTTTCAGACGGATAGCATACCTTGCAGCGTCATGGCCAGCGGATCAAAGAAGAGCTCAATGTGGCGCTTAAAGACCTGCTTGCCGAGGCTGTGGCCGATGGCCGGCAGCTGCTTCCACAGCGTCTCTTGCAGCACGCCAGTTTGCGGAAAGTGGCGCAAAATCGCAGCGTCCACGAGCAGCGGGAAGAGCTCAATCGCACGTGCTTGGGTCGCCGGCACGTCGCAGAGCTCGCGCACCAAGTAAATGCCGCCGTCCGTGTGCGCCCAGAGCGCGTGGCCAGCATCGTGGTCGTCGCAGTCGTGCAGCTGGCGCTTCACCTGACGCGGCTCGAACGAGCAGCACGAGAAGCGCTGCTTGCCCATGTGCGCGGTCTCGGCCTTGATGAGCGCTTCGTACGCGGCCTGCGTCATCGCGGGCTGCTCCTTCGCCTTGGGCAAAACGATGCCGCAATCGCCACAATCGAGTCGAGAAGCGCCGGGTCTTCGGTCGCGTAGGCCCGCGCGCACGTCCCGAGCGCAATCGCGGCATTCTCGCGCACCGACCACACGTCGTCCGACAAGTGGACCGTCCACCACTTGATCTAATGCAACATACGAACCGTGAGTTTTCCCGCTTTGGACGATGGGACAGGACGCACGAGCTTGTCGACGCAGCTACGCGCCTCGGTCGGAAACGCGAGCACGACGTGCGACGAGGCGCTGCACGCCGCGTCGCTGACCGTAAACACGTCGTCTTGGAGCGTGACGCGGCAGGCGAGGAGGAGGTCGTCGACGAACGGACGGACCGCGTCGGCGTCGACGCGCGCCGCGAGCTCGCCGATGCAGACGCACGCGGCCTCGCGCACAAACGGATTGTCGGCGTCGGACGCGTCGACGTAGCAAGCGACGCACTCGGCTGCGTACGTGGCGACGATGCGCCGACCGTCGGCGCCGAGGAGCTTGGTCCACGTGTCGCGCGAGTACTGTTTGACGCCTTCGGCCACGTAGTGGCGGTTGAGGGCCATGCGAGGGATGAGCTTGGGGTAGTGCGTCACGCGCTCGTCGGCGGTGCAGAGGTTGACAAAGGCGCGCGTGGCCTGCGACGCGGTGAGCCGCACCTCGCTCCACGGATCCTGGAGGCCGCGCACGAGGCAGTCGGTGATGGTCGCGCCGACGGTCGGGTGCGCCGTGAGGTACCCCGACGGCAGCACACCTTTGGAGAGCGAGTAGATGGTTTCAAAGCCGACGTTGCGGACGTGGCGGTTGCCATGGCGGACACTACGCACGACGATCGACGAGAGAAAGCCAAAGTTGTCTTCGGGGAGGAGCTCAAGGAAGGCCGGGCCGAGGCCGTGCACGATGTACTTGATCGTGAGGAGGCACGTCTCGAGCGACTTGAAGCCCGAGATGTCGTCGAGGCGGTGCGGCGACTTGGGCGTCGAGAGCGGCGACGCCAGCGGGATCGACGTGTCAAAGTACGCAAAGTACTCTTCTTCGTTCACCTCTTCAAACTCGGGCGACCGCGTAATGTTGCACTCGACGATCTCGCGCAGCTCGGCCGCAAACTCGCGGTACAGGCCGACGCCAAGGACCGACGCGAGCGCGCCGAGCGCCTTCCCGACCAGCCGTCGCACACGCGGCTCGAGGTTCTCCAAATGCGCATGGCACTGCGCAAGCACGATCGGGCGCACACTGTCGTGGGCCGCCACGTCTTTGGCAAAGTCGGTCGCGAGCACAAAGCCAACGGCGAGGACTTCCCAGCGCGGCTTCTCGGCGTCGACCAAGAAGGTCGGGATGGCGTCGACGTAGGCGGCCGACGACGGCGCCGCTAGGAGCGCGTTGGCCGCGTCGATGACATGGGGCGGGAGCTGCTCCCGGCGCAGGAGGCTGCGAAGGGCGTTCTCGGCGTTCGAAAGCTCCATCCTTGAAATGGACGCGGCCGTCGCACGCCTAAACACACGCAACTATCCAGACCGGATACGTTTGTATCATCCAAGCACAGGGCCCAAGGGACAATCCGACTTCTTATTGCACGTGGACGGTATTGTACCCACCAAGACATACTAGACGCCTTGGACACGCTGTCGTATACGCGGTATGAACGATTGCCCTAAGGCAGTGGATACACTTGCGGGTGAATCGCTGCAATGGATAATTGTTCCCTCTCACCATTTGTATAGGATAGTTGGCTTGTCGATCGCGATGAAAGGATAGTTGCAGTTTCCGGATGTCCGGATACGTGGGGCTGCATCCATGCAGCACAACAATTGGCCCTCATCTCGCGATTTCCATCGGCTTCTTCAGCATGCTGCGCTCGACCCTCTTTGCCCGCCGTGTCGTCGGCCTCGCTGGCCCGTCCAGCCTCCGCTCCATGGCCACGTACTCGCCGTCCATGGAAGAGATCAAGAAGCTCCGCACGGCGTCGCAGGCGCCCATGAAGGACGTCAAGAAGGCGCTTGTTGAAGCGGAAGGCGACTTCCCCGCCGCCTTCGAGTGGCTCCGCAAGAAGGGCATTGCGTCGGCGACCGCCAAGGCTGGTCGCACGGCCGCTGAAGGTCTTGTCGGTATCTTTGTCGACGCCGACAAGAAGCGTGGTGCCATGGTCGAGGTCAACAGTGAAACGGACTTTGTCGCGCGCAACGACCAGTTCCAGGCGTTGGTCGCCCAGGTCACGCGTGGCGCCCACGCTGGTGCGCTCCTTGGTGAGCTTGACACGCCTGCGATGGCCCAGGTCGCTGTCGAAGGCCGCTTGGTCGCGGACCTTGTCCCGGAGCTTGTCGGTCGCGTCGGCGAGAACATCGTCGTCCAGCGCGGTACGACGATCAACGTTGCGCACGGCGTCGTCTCCAGCTACACGCACCGCGTTGCGTCGCAGGAGCTCAACTTGGGCCGCGCGGGTGCGCTTGTCGGCCTCGAGGTCGAAGGCGAGCTCTCGTCCGCCAAGGTCGCCGACTTGGAAACGCTTGGCAAGAAGCTCGCGATGCACGTTGTCGCGGCCAAGCCCAAGTTCTTGAACCGCGATTCGGTCCCGGCCGAGCGCGTCGAGGCGGAGCGCACGTTTGTCTTGGAGCAGGTCCAGGAGCAGGCGAAGAACAAGCCGGCCAACATTGTCGAAAAGATGGTCGACGGCCGCATGAACAAGTTCTTTGGCGAAGTCACGCTCGTCGACCAGGTGCACATGGTCGAGGAGGGCAACCCGAAGGTCTCGGCGCACTTGGAGAAGGAAGGCGCGCGCCTCGGCCTCAAGATCAAGCTCTCGGCCTTCCAGCGCTATGAGATTGGCGAAGAGCAGCTCTAAGTTGGTGTCGCAACAATATACTTGAATTCTAGATGCTTCACTCTTACTAGAACGCATACGGACCCACGAAGAGGGCGATCAGGAGCACGGCGACGACCGACGCGAGAACGAACTTGTTGTGCAAAAGCGACGCGGCGGTAGTTGCTGTCGGCGTCGTTGTCGTCGTCGTCGAGGCCGGTGGCGCGGCAGCCGCCGCGAGCTTCTTCCCAAACAGCTCCTTCTCGCGCAGCTTTTGCTGCTCGCGCTTTTCCTTGACGAGTTTGATGAGGTCGCGGACCGCCTTGTTGGTCGGCTCGATCTCGAGCGCGCTTCGAATGAACGTCGTCGCTTCGTCGCAGTCGCCTTGCTGGTACGCGATTTGCGCGAGACGGTAGATGGCCTTTGTGTTCTTGGCGTCGACCTGCAGCACTTCCTTGCTCGAGTCTTTCGCCTCCTTGAACTTGCCGAGCTTGCACTGGACATTCGCGACGTTGTTGCCGAGCGCGACGAGGAGCTCCTTGCACTGGAGGTTCGACGCATGGTCTTCGTCCGAGTCCCATTGCTCGAGGACCTTGAGCGCCTTCTTGTAGCAGTTGGTCGCATACGCATAGTTTTGGACGCCAAACCACTTGTTGCCACTCGCCTTCTTCTTGTTGGCCTCGACGAGGAGCTCTGCGTTCGTCATTTCTTCCGCGATCTTGCGCTCCGAGACCCACTTGTCGAGCGAAATGATAAACTTGATGCGGGCGTCCTTCATGTCTTGGTTGGCCTACGCGTCTTGTCAACGAACGCAGTCGCGTGCAGCATACGACCTGCTCGTCAAAGGACCCGGCATTGCCATAGGCGTACCGCGCTTCGCAATGCACCTCGGCCGACTCGCCTTCGCGCAGCAGCCGCGACAGAAGCTCCAACGCTATGAGGCGATCGATACTCGTCAAATGTGGTCAGTGCGATGGGTACCAGCCAGCGTCTCGTTGTCGCCAATGCGGAACGCAACCTCCTCGTTCTCGACGATGGCCTTGCCCGTCTCGAGCTCGTAGCTGCTGTACGTCATGATGACTTCGTCGCCAAACTCTACGCAGCGAGGAGGATCGCAATGAGTCGCTGGCAGACGTCGACGTCGCGTCGAGTACCCGCTTTCTTGCCGTCGGGGTTCGTCTTGATGAACTTCTTGCGGATGGCGCCTGTGCCCAAGACATCTTCAAAGCCATCTTCCATGCTCATGACCTATAAGGCGCTCCATGAGGGCCATGTGCCAAGGCAGATGCAGCTAGCATGCACGCGTACACGCGTCTCGGATCCCGTTTCACGCAAAATAAATAAAAGGTCGCGTGTGGGTGTCGTCCAGCACGGCCGGTTCCGTATACCTTTGTAGGTTCGCGAACGCAGGACGCACTCCTCTATGATTGGTGCTTGGGATGACAAAGATACTCTCGCTATACAAGAATGCAGTATAGAAAGGTCGGCCTGGTTGCTCGACGAACTTGGGCCGCACCGAGTTCTTATGTTGAGGTGCAACACCATTCTATAAAAATGAGGATGTATTGTATTTGAAAAATCAATTACCGATAGTCCATGCAAGTGCCATGCGATACAATTTATTTAATGATGCTATGTTTTTATTACATGGGTGCACGATGGGCGGGTTTGTGCCAGCCAATCAGCGTGCGTGATTGGGCTCCATTTATTTATTTTCAAAGACTTGGCATTATATGTGGGAGGTTTTGATTTATACTCGGCCAATGTAACGACCAACAGAACCATGAGTTTTGGTTCAAAAAGGAAGAAAACAAAAAACGAAGTCCGAGCTCCAGCAGCAGCAAGCAGCCCGCGAGCGACTAGCACCAGGAACGACCCACGGCTGCCAACCCAACGACCCCGCGCGCCCGCCAATTGCTCCTTCGCCACTACTACCGAAGCGCCATCTTCCCCGCGCTTCCTCTCACTCCACACTTCACAAGCTCGCCAACGATACCAACCAAGGTACAGCGACCGTCGCATGCGACCCATGGATGCAGACGCTCATGGGCGTTGGCCATTGTAGGCGCCATCATGACCACTGTTGACGTAGCCATGGCGTCCATTCCTCTCACAGAAAAGGCCACGCCGGTCTCCCACCGCAGCACGACCAGCGACGGGTCGAAATCCAAGGCCAAGGACAGCCTGTACAAACAAGACAAGACGGCCAACGCCAAGAAGATTGTATATCCCCCGCGCCTCCTCGTCGACTTCAAGTCGCTCCAGGTACACATCGCACAGGATGCCAAAGGTGGTCGTGACGACGGCGAGTAGATGGACGCGTTGCACAAGTATGTGGCCTTTTACCAGCTCCCCGTGCGCGAGGAATACACGAAAGACGATCTGGCATCGCTCGTCGCGCGGTAGACCGTCGATTGCGACGTTATCTGGAGGATTGACGGTGGTTCCACATATAGGCACTTTGACTGCTCGCTGGAGGTCGAAGAGGACGAGTCGATCCTCTCGTTTGTGACGCGCGTTCGCAACGGCGAGAAGGCCAGTCGAACACAGCGCCAAGCGACGGACAAGAAGGTCAAAGCGGAAGCTGCTGCGGCAAAGGAAGCCAAGAAGGCGGCGCAGCAAGCGTCCAAGCCAGCGACCACGTCGTCGAACAACAAGCGGCCGCGGCCCGAAGAGACGGATCCGCACGACGAACCCGAGAAGGAATCCAAGGACGACACCGCGGTGCAGCCGGCCAAGTTGTCCAAGCCCAAGGGCGGCAAGTCGTCGAAGAAGGAAGAAGACAACGAACTCTACTGCGTATGTAACCTTCCGAGCTATGGCAACATGATTGCTTGCGACGGCGACAAGTGCCCGAACCCCGCGCAGTGGTATCACTTGGAATGCGTCGGCATCTCGGACGGCCAGCAACCCGACACATGGTAGACCTCAACTGTCGCGTGTCGAACTCATGCGACGCGTAGGATGTGCCCCGAGTGCGACCCAAAGGCGTTTGCGGCGGTGCTCAAGAAGAAGAAGAAGGCGCGCAAGATGCAGCAGCAGTCAGGGTCCTCTTCGAGCTCGAGCTCGTCGCGCCGATAAGGTGCCTGCGTTCCACCCTTGCAATTACAAAAGACGAACACATGACGGCGACTCGCCGCACACTACCTACTTTCCGTTGCATACCGTAATCTAATACAATGCTACACGCCCTTCTTCTTCTTCTTCTTCGTCTTCTTGGCGTCGACGTCGGTGACGTCGGGTAGCAACCCGAGCGCTGCGTGCAGAAAGACCTGCTCAAACGCCGCCGACTGAAGCTGGTCGAGCCGCCCACCGCCGCCGAAGTGGCCGCCGTCTTCGCTCACGCGGAGCCAGATGTGGTCCACCGGCGTCGCCGTGTTCTTGGATCGGATCGTGTGCACGAGCTTCATGGGCTCCCAGTACTGCACGCGCATGTCGTTCATCGCAGACGTCAAAAGCATGCGCGGATACGTCGTCTCCCGCTTGACGTTGGCGGTCGGTGAGTACGAGCGCATGTAGTCTCTCACGGCTTGATCCTTCGGGCACCCCCACTCGTCGTACTCGTGGATCGTTAACGGTAGCGACTCGTCCAGCATTGTGTCGAGGATGTCCACAAACGGCACGTTGAGTACGAGCGCGCGAAAGAGGTCGGGGTGCTCGTTCGCCATGTACCTGCGAGCATATCGAATCAAGCATCGGACGTCGGCTTCCATTCGCGTACCCCATGATGAGACCGCCCGCCGACGTGCCCTTCCCCGCGAGCTTGGCCGACGTGGTGATCTGATGCGTCAGCAAGTACGTTGCGCACGCGTGGTAGTCGATAAACGTGTTTTTTTTGGCGAGTTGGCGGCCGTTCGCGTGCCACTGGAGACCGAGCTCGCCGCCGCCACGGACGTGGGCGAAGGCGAGGACCCACTTGCGCTCGAGCAAGCTCAGGTGCTCTACTTCGTACCCGAGCTCGAGGTTGGCGCCATACGCGCCGTAGCCCACGAGCAGCGTTGGGTTGCTGCCGTCGTACACCACATCTTTGTGATGCACGAGCGTCATCGGGACGGACGGGCCGTCACTTTGGTCGACGAGCACGCGTCGGCAGACAAACGCTTGGCGCTCAAACGGTGCGTGCGTCTCCTTGAGCGCATTGAGTTGGCCTGCGTTGATACATTGATACAAAGCATGGATAGGAGACGTACGGGAAGCCATGTCGTAGTGGTAGACGATCTCGGGCACGAGCGGCGTCGAGAGGGAGAACCGGACACTGGACGCGTGGAAGTCGCGGTTGATGCCAGCCAGGAGCGAGCAGACGGCGTGCTCTTTTGGCAGAGGTACGATGTGGTACGCGTCTGGCTCGGCGAGCGGACAAATGCGAACGCGCGGTAGGCCGTCGCAGCGCTCGTAGAGCACGAGGTACTCTGCAAAGAGGTCCATGTCATCGATTTTGACCCCTATGGCATGGCTTGACAAGTAGGCGTGATGTCGCGCTGAACCTGGGAGGTCGGGAAGCACGTCAACCCACGAATGGTCAGTTCCGATCGCCGTGTCGTCGAGTCGCACGATCTTGTAGTTGGCAGCCTACGCAGTCCGTTCATGCAGTGAAAAGGACGGTACGTGTCTACGTTGTCGGCGTTGGTGACAATGTAAAAGGCGCCGTCCGAGTGGTCGGCAAAGTAGTGTGTGTGGTCCTGGCGTTTGCGCAGCGTAACCGGTTGGGCGCGCAAGTCGGACGCATCGAGCGCGTGGACCTCGGACGACTGCTTCGAGTTGGCGTTGATCAGAACGAACTTTTGATCTTTTGTGAGCACGACGTCCAAGTAGACGCTCGGGTCGTTCTCGACATAGATCTACAATGTATTTCTCCGCGAGATGGTACGAGCATGGGCAAAGAGGCAACCAGCTCGTCCTCGGAAGTTGCCGAGAGGGCGTGGCGGTAGACGTGGTGCGGGCGGTAGAAGGCGTCGGGCACCGTGTAGTACAAGCAGTCGGCTGTGCCCCATTCGATGCTGCGCACGTTGCCGTGCACGCGCCGCGTTTGGCGCGTCGTTAGGTTCTTGACGAACGCCTCAAACTGCTCGTTTCCGTCGCGATCGGCCGTGTACGCGAGGTGCTTGCCATCCGGCGAGACTTTGAAGACGGTGACTTGACCGCAGTCGAGGACGTTCGGATCCAGAAGCACCTCCTCAACGCACGTCCCGAGGTGCTGCCGGCAGTAGATCGGGTAGTTGGACCGCGGGAGGTGCTTGAGATAGTACGCAAAGGTGCCAATCTGCTCAGGGATCGAGTGCTCCATCTCGTCCAAGTTGAGCCGTCCGCGCATCTCGAGGTACAGCGCGCGCTGGAACTTGCGGTGGGGCTGGCTCGCCTTCTTCCAGATTGCCTCTTCTGCCTACAACAGCCATTTGGCTGAGCGGGTGCGTCGGATAGTGAGAGCGAACCTTGACGAAGTCTGCTAGCTTCTTGCTCGCTGGGTCGCGAAGCCACGCATGGGCCGTCGAGGCCAAGAGCCGCGGCCGCAGCGCGCGTGGCAGCCACCGGCGCACCTGGTGGAGCATCATCACCAAATCTTATTGTCTCGTCCGATTGGTGGTAAATCTTTCAACTTTCAGCCAATCCAATTGCGTCAGTGTGCGTCTGGCTTCGAACTTCGTGGGGCTGGCTTCGATTCATGCACCATCAAATTGCACGGGAAAGCCTCGGGACGGAAGCGTCACCTCGTCCAGCTTCAAGGTGGCATCCCGCTCCGCCTCGGATAAATCCGCCATGCGTCCATTTTAGTCTGAACCTGTCTTTGCCGTTGCACCGTGCGGTATGCCAGAAGCCGTTGAGAAAGGTCGCAGAGCTGCCGGGTTGGATGAGCCATTAGAAGAACGAGGGTATGACGCCAGTGGAATGACGCGAGTCAAGAGCCGTTGATAGACACTTGGCGTGGAGAGCTACGGTGTATTCGTCTGGAGCGTGACCAGATCTACTACCGGTACTGGTACTGAATGTACAGTAGTCTGAACTCTGGTAATACCGGTATCCGCACCCGCTGATGGACCAATCACAGCGCGGGCCTCCATTTTGCACAATTACGGTCCGATGGCGTCGGTGCTCGCCAAGGCGCGCAAGTCCAAGGACGACGCGTCGATCGCGCGGAAGCGGGCGCAGTCGCGGGCGTCGACGCAGCGATGGCGGCAGAGCCAGCAAGTACGCGCTTGCATGCAAGGGCAACAACGTCCTCATCATGGCACGTGTAGCAATCCGTGGCCGCGATGCGGCGACAAGTGGCCGAGCTCGAGGCGGACCTCGCCGCCAAGCTCTTTCACAGTCGAGGGACAACGGCGCTGCTCCCACCAGCGATGGAGCAGCTGATGGCAGCAAAGAATACTACGTGCACGAAAACATGCAGCTGCGCGCGGCAGTGCAAAAGTATCAAGCGCTCATGAACCAGACGCTCCTCGTACGCTTGTGTTGTACCATGGCAGCGATGTCACTATCATGCATTCTGTTGCGATAGCCGCTCCTGCGCACAGTGCAGCCCCTCGTCCTCGACGATGCATTTGTCCGCGGCGAGATTCGGCGGGCGAAAAGGCTGCTGGACGCGCTCGATTTGCGCTTGAGGGCGTCGCTCCCTAGTCGACAGCTCCATGGCTGGAGCTGTGTGACGCACACGCAAAGCGACGCAGTCGCGTACGACATTCAGAAGCGATTTCAGCACGTTTCACTTGACGTCATTTCCAACCACATCTGGCACGTCTACCAAGACTCTGCTGCGTACGTCCAGCTCGGCGACTTGCTCTTGGACCACGAGGTTGGTGCTAACGTCAGTGTACTGGAGCGCGGAGATACGTCAGGTTTTGCGAACCATCGGCGACAATGTTCTCGTCTTGCGCATCTCGACGTGGCTCACCTCGCTCCAGCAAGCGATCCCGATGTACCTCGTGCTGTACCGCGAGGTATCTTCCACGTCGTACACGCTCTACGTGGCGACGCTTCGCCCCGACTTGACGCCGAGCGCCCACACCTTTGCGTACGCTCAACCGGTATGAGAGACGTCACGAACGAACGACATGTAGGTTTCTTGGCGTCGCATCGCCGGACGGCTATGTGAGCTCGTGCAAAGGCGCGTACTCGCTCATCGCTGGCAGCGTTGTGGACGCCGACTCGATCCTCGAGCAGATGATATTTTCGCACTGTCGCTTCGAAGCGCTCTTGAAAAGCAGCTTCAAGGACCTCCGTCTATGCGACCGATAGCATGCCATAAACTAAACCGTACCGTACGCCGCAGCATCAGCTCCTCCCAATGAGATGCAAGCAAGCGCAAGCATGAGAAGAGCCATAGGCAGCTCCAAAGAGTCGGTGCCACCACCCACCGACGCCTTGGCCACGTAGTCGAAGTAAAACGGGGTGAGACGTCGCTCTCGACAGCGCAGCCACACGAGACCACATGAGCCGCCCGATGATTCGCGCCTGGAGGCCAGCGCGCGCTGGTCAGTGGCAGCCATCGTGGCAGTGGCATGTGTTAGTGATTATGCGCAGATTATAACACGGTGGGATGTGCTTTGCAAGGACGCCTACTCTTGCCAAATGCAGCGCCAGCCATTTGCATTGCCTTTACACGCAGCGCCGTCTCGGCGCACGGGCTTCGCCGCCTCCTGCAGCGCGCCAGGACGGCTTGCACGTGGCGACGTGCTGTCGCGGCAAAGTAGCTTCGCCGGCGCACGACAATCCATCGAACTTTACGGTGTGTATCCGGATGCCTAAGGAGCGTATCCGGTTGGGATATGGAATATCTTTTTTGGGTTGCTCCAACGAGGTGTTACAGTCAGAGAAGTGTTTGCAGGAGGGGACTCCTCAAAGCGAAACTTCCCGACGCCGACGGTCTCCTCCATCTTGGCGGCCAGGAAGACGACCAAGAAGACGAACCTTCTCATCAGGTACGCGCGAAGGCGCTTCATGCGGCTGGCGCTGCATCCACGCCTGCGGGTGACAGATGGATGGCTCATGGTTGCTCTAGCGCGGAAGCATGGACCTGCCGACGCGTGCGCTCATGCGCGCCAACTACGACTCGTTCGACGTGCATGCGACGCTGGGACGGGCACGTTTGGCCGCGTCCGGCTCGTAAAGCACAAGGAGAACAACACGTACTATGCGCTCAAGATCCTCAAGAAATGCGAGATCGTGCGGCTGCAGCAGCTCCACCACATCAAGTGCGAAGTCGACATCCTCAGCAAGATCGACCACCCATTTATCGTCAACTTTATCGGCTCCTTCCAGGACGAGAAGCGTCTGTACCTGATCCTCGAGTACGTGCCCGGCGGCGAGCTCTTTTCGTACTTGCGCCGCCAAGGCAAGCTCTCGGACGAAGCGTCGCGCTACTACACGTCGCAGCTCGTGCTCGCGATCGGGTACCTCCACAGCCTCCACATTATTTACCGCGACTTGAAGCCCGAGAACCTCCTCATCACGCAAGACGGCAGTATCAAGATCACGGACTTTGGCTTTGCCAAGCGCGTCGAGGACAAGACGTGGACGCTCTGCGGCACGCCCGAGTACCTCGCGCCCGAGATCATTCAGAGCAAGGGCCACGGCAAGTCTGTCGACTGGTGGGCCATCGGTGTCTTGATATACGAAATGCTGGCAGGGTACGCGAGGAGCATCCTTCCGACGAAAAGCTTAACGTGCGCTGCTAGATACCCGCCGTTCTACGACGAGAACCCGTTTGGCATCTACCAAAAGATCCTCACGGGCAAAGTCGAGTACCCGAAATACATTGACAGCAAGGCCAAGGACCTGATAAAGAAGCTCCTGACGCACGACCGGACAAAGCGACTCGGTGCGACGACAGGAAACGAGGCCAAGCCACTGATCGTAGTGTAGGATGTCTGCGCAATGGCGCCGAGGACGTCAAGAAGCACAAGTACTTTGCCAACGTGCATTGGGACAATGTGATCGCGAAGAAAGACCCGCCACCGTACTTGCCGCCGATCCAGGGGCCCGGCGACCACGGCAACTTTGACCAGTACCCCGAGTCGACGGAAGACACGGCCGTCGCGCTCATGGGCGACGACAAGGCCGCGTTCGACGCGTTTAACATGTTTTAAACGCGCGTAGCTGTATCATTTACCAGCGAAAGATAGAGAGTAGTCCGCGTCTTCCGCGCCCCCACTAAATAACCCATTTACGTCAAAGACCGTTTCGAAACGCTACCCATCATGGGTGCTGCGAGCTCGTCGCGTCTCCTTGCGACGACCGAAGCCGCGCTGGCCGACGGCGCCGAGGTCCTCGACCTCTCGCACGAGCCACTCCGTGTGCTGCCACCCACCTTCATTGCGATGCTCTCCTACAGCGTGCAGCTCAAGGAGCTGCGGCTCTCGAGCGCTGGCCTCACGCAGCTGCCCGCGAGCTTTGGTCGTCTCGCCGCCCTCGAGTATGCGTCCAGCCATGCGAGAAGAGGCAGATGAGCCCGGTGCTGTACTAGGCGTCTCGCGCTGGACCGCAACCATCTCAAGGAATTGCCCATCTCGTTCCATGAACTCCGACGGCTCCGCGCGTTGGACGTGAGCTACAACCAGCTGGCGTCGCTTCTCGTAGAATAGAGCGAAGCAATCTGCAGAGGGTGATAATACACTCGTAGGGCAACTTTTGCGACCTCGTCGAGCTCCAGCATCTCTGGCTGCACGCGAACAAGCTGTCCGCGCTCCCAGACGCCTTTGGGAATCTCCAGGCGCTCAAGACGCTCAGTGTGCAGAACAACATACTGGGGCGGCTCCCGTACTCGATCGTGCGGATACCAGGGTCATCGCTGCTTCCTGCACACTCTGTTCTCAGAGCGTTCCGTAGGCTCGAGGTTGTCGACGCCAGCGACAACCATATCCTGGACCTCCCTATCGAATGGGAGACGTGCCCGGCGCTGCGCACGCTTCGGCTCTCGCACAACTACCTCAACAGCATCCCGACGGGTCTCTGGGATCTTCTCCAGCTCGAGACGCTGACGCTATCGCGTACGACCAACGACTCTCGTCGACAGTTTGAGGAGCATCCAGTAGACAATCGCCTCGTGGAGCTGCCGGTGCCAACACCTGTCGCTGCGCTGCCGAGCCTCACCAACCTCAGTGCGTCTCTTGTTTGCATGCGACGCTGAAACGACGGTGGTAGGTCTGAGCTACAACCGCATTGACGCTCTTCCAGCGTCGCTGCTGCAGATGCCCCGCGTCCAAGTGCTCACGTATACACAAAACAAGTAAGAACGAGCGTCCTGCACGGAAGCACACACGGCGTAGACTCGCGACCGTCGACGACAGTCTTTTTCGACTCGTGGACCTCGTCTTCCTCGATCTCTCCGAGAATAGCTTGGCGGTGCTGCCGTCTGACGGGTGGCACTCGCTCGTACGCCTCGTCGAGCTTCACATTGCCCACAATCGGCTCTCGGCGGTACCAAGCGGCTTGGAACTGCTTCCAAAGCTCCAATTTCTGAATCTGAGCAACAATGTGCTGCAGACTGTACGTTCGAAGCTGCTCTTTTGGGTGTCTCTGTCTACATATTGTATGTAGTTGCCCGACGCTATGGGGCAATTGACGTCGCTAGAGACACTCTGGTGTCATAACAACGAGCTCAAGGGCCTTCCACCGACCATTGACGGGCTGCAGCAACTGCACACGCTTTTTCTCGAGCACAACCGTGGGTTGTCCACCGGCTCACACATGATGCTAACGAGGTGCGTAGCCATGACGCGCGTACCATCGACGCTCTCGTCCTTGTCAGCGCTGTGTCACCTCAGTATGGACCGCAAGTCGTTTGCGCTGCTGGACCCAGAGCTGATTTCGTTCTGCAACCAACGACCGGCGTTTGAGATCCATGGACTATAGTTGTGTCTACGTATCATCGACTCGAGAATTACTCCCGCCGCAGCCGCTCGATCTCGGCTTGCATGTCGTCCGTGAGCCTACGCAAAACCATGAAATCGATACGCGTGTGATGTTCAGAAGCAGCGTACTTGGCCCATTTGCGCATCTCTTGAGCGCTGAGTTCCGTCACGTCGCGAAGCTGGTGCTCGAGGGCATCGCGCTGGTGCCGGAGCTCCTTTCGCTCTTGGAGGAGGTCCCAAATCATCTAGTCACACGCTCGCCAGCCATGGCGTCGAATGAGTCGGACCTGGTCTTTGACGCGTAAGAGTTTGGTCGTCTCGTCGTTCGTTGTTGGCGGTGGCGCCTCATATGCTGCGGTCGGTCGAGCCATCGCCTTGGCCTTTTGCGCGAGGTCTTCTGCGGCAGCGTACATCTATTTCCAGGCAACGGGTCGGTTGACATCTAGGGATGAAGCATAGTACGTGAGGAAACTCGTCCAGAAACGCGTGCATCTCATGGTTGGAGATGTGGTCGCCTACACAACATCCATTGAGAGACAAGCCACCCAGTCGTTCGATCTGGTAACCCTTGTAGAGCTTGGCGTGGACACTGCTCGTGATGCGGTCGATGAGGTCGACATCTTTTTCGAGCTCCATTTGCTGCTTGGCAGTCTGCGTAGTGATAATCTCGTAGGCGTCACGACGAGAGAGGAGTGTTACCTGTGCTGTAGCATGCGCCCAGCGCAACGCCGGGTCGAGTCGGCGGCTCATCTACAGCGCTTGACGCGACCGAAGAACGCAGACCGTCGTACTCTCTCCATCAAGGTGGCTCGGTACGGCAGCAGGACACTGTCACACATGGTGTTGAGCAACTCGAGACGGGACTCGAAGAGCTGCCGCGTGGACGGAGATGGTGGCGGCGGGCGGCGCTATCAGTGCGTTTTAGCTGTGGGTTAGTGGCATAGCACGCACGTGGGGTTCAAAGGTGCTCCATGCCGGTCCGTCGTGCAGTGGAAACCTATGGCATCATGCGACGTCATGCCACGCGCGTCTCGCGACCAGCAGTACGAGGTTGATGGGCGAGCGCTGGGCTTGAACGCGCGCGGCGACGTCAACTCTTGGACGAACGACACGAGCTGCTTCTTGAAGTCTCGGAAGAAGCCATGGAACTCTTTGAGGTTGAGCGTCCCGGATCGATCGGTGTCGTAGCTACTTGGGGTTGAGCGCAGACCATCATATATTGCGCGACCGTTCAAAGAGCTGGCCGGCTTCAAACTCCGAGTTGCGCGACGTCCGCTCAAAGCCCAGCGGAATGCCCGCGGAATCTGTGAGCGCGCACGGCGCCATCTCCCACTTGCGCTGCGGCTGCGACGCGTTGTAGTCGGTTAAAAGCTGCATAAAGTCGTCGCGCGTGATATGCCCGAGCTTCTCCCGATCATACCTACAAGCACACGGCAGCGTCAGGCGTCTTCTTCCTATTCGCAGAGGCAGCAAGCGCGACCGGCGAAACAACTGAATGGCGTCCGGGTCGCTCGGCTCGGGCCTATTGCAACACACAATCAGTGGGACGCGCTTCGAGGCGCGGCTACTCGGGCGGCGGCGGCTCGACCTTGGTCTTCTCGGTCTTCTCCTTCTTCTTGGAGGACGACTTGGACTTCTTCGGCTTGTCGCCCTCGTCCTTCTTGGCCTTCTTCGTCGTTGCCATCGCGCCAGCTCAAGAGGCGCGGATCTTGTCGTGGCGTTCGAACTTCGATTTTAGTTGAACTCAACCCATGTGCGACCTTGACGTTGTGAGCTTCGAACTCGGTTTCCAAGGCAGGCTCGACGCCCTTGAGCGCTCGAAGCATCCAGCGCAGAGCCAACGTCTGGCATCTCACTGGGCCCTGCCCAGCGTCTTTGCCGTCTCGTCGCTCGTCCGTGTTCACTGAAGGGTCTGCTAGCAGCTTGGCAGATTGCCTGGCTCTGAGAATTCGAACTGGGTATGTGGAAAAAGTCCTTGTTTGCAACTCTTACTCCCACGCAAACAGATAAAAATACCTTGCATTCAGTGAGGAAGCCCCGCGAGAGCGACGAGCAGTGTTGATACAAGGGAGTCTCCCGTTGATTGATTGGGAAGCCGCGCCATGCAAGATCTACAGCGTCAAGCAGATGGCAGCGATCACATTGGGGCAATCCACTTCATAGCGACATTTCGGCTTTTGGCATGAAGCCCTCGACGCTGCTGCTGGTCTATGCGGCGTGCGCGGCCGCAGTCTCGATCGCACCGCCGTCGCACCCGCACGCGCTCGGCCCCGTGCCCGGCTACAGCGACACAAAGCCGCTCAACTTTGCACACTACGCTGGCCGACTCGAGCTTGCGAACGCGCAAAAGATGTTTTACTGGCTCGTCGAGGCCGAAGAGAACGCGGCGCATGCGCCGCTCGTGCTCTGGCTCAACGGCGGTCCCGGCTGCTCGTCCATCTCGGGCATGTTTACCGAGAACGGCCCGTTCGTGGTCCAGAGCGACCTTAGCGTGAAGCGCAATCCGTACGCGTGGAACCGCCACGCGAACATGCTCTACCTCGAGTCGCCGTCGGGCGTTGGCTTTAGCTCGCCACTCCTAAACGCGTCCGAGTACAACGACCACGTGACGACCGAGCGCGCGGTCGAGTTTCTCGACCAATTCCTCACCGCCTACCCCGAGTACGAGGACCGTCCGTTCTATGTGACCGGCGAGAGCTACGCCGGCATGTACATTCCGTGGCTCGTCGATCGGCTCGTCACGACGCCACTGAACGGCCTCAACCTCCGCGGCATGGCGATCGGGAATGCGTTCACGGACCAGGACATGGACAACGAGAGCTACATCGACTACTACTACAGCCACGGCCTCATCTCGATGGAGGCGTACAACGCCATCAAGGCCACGTGCGCCGGGCAGCTCGCGCGCTGCATGTACGACGTTCCGCTCAACTGCTCGCCCGCGTGCAGAAACATCATCGACAAGAGCGTCAAGACAATCGCAGAAGACACGATGGACCCGTATTACATTTACGGCGACGTGTGCTTGCTCCAGAACGACGAGAGCCTCGCGCTGCCGCACACGCGGCACCTCAAAAAGAAGAAGAAGATGGCGATGACGCGCCGCCTCGACACGCGCGTGTCACCCTGCACCGACACGTACACCAACGCGTATCTGCAGTCGCCGGCGGTCCGAACGTTCCTCAACATTTCCGAGCCGATCGTGTGGGCGCCGTGCAGCGACGAGGTCGGCGACCGCTACACGAGCTCGGCCACCGTGCTGCCGAAATACGAGACGATTTTGGGCGCCAACTTGAGCGTACTCATCTACTCGGGCGACGCCGACGCCGTCGTGGACTTTATCGGGACGCAGCGCTGGATTGGAACGCTCAACCGGTCGATCGTCGACGAGTGGCATGCGTGGTATGGCCCGGACAAGCAGCTCGCGGGCTACACCCAGGGCTACGATGGCCTGACGTTCGCAACCGTCAAGGGCGCGGGGCACATGGTCCCAGCTGTTCGCCCGCTCCACGGCCTCTACATGTTTGAGTGTTTTGTGTTTGGAAGCGACAAGTGCCGCGACTGGAACTACCCGTTCGATGTCACCGAGGTCGCCTCGGGCTTTGTCACGGCGTCGGCGCTCACGGCCAACCTCTCGGCGGCCCACAGTCTCCCCAACGGCACGCTGCCCCTCACCGCACTCGTAATATGCGCGGCGCTGCTCACGCTTGTCGTGCGCAAGCGCCTCCAGCCCGAGCGCCACCAGCGGTACCAAATTGTAGTCTAGTCGGTGTAAGAATCGCAGACACCTTGTCCAAACGTACGCTTTTCAAACCCTTGTACGCTGAGAACTGAGCGCACCCGACACGAGGGCGGCACCCGACTGCTGCGACTGGTCTAGTCCAACGGACACCATTCAAGACCTTGCCCATCCGCCTCCAGAGGGTGCCACGTCATCGAGGAGGGGCTGTGTCGTACTAGTACCCGTACGTGTGACACAACGCTGAAGCTGCGGCAGGCGTCAATTGGGGCGGAGCCAGGGCGAAGCTCGTCGTATTAGAGCAATGCTAACGCGCTACTGCCATCGGCGAAGAGTGTTACAGTTGCCCGGCTCCATCCTGGCGTGGGCAATCTTGCCGGTTACACGCTCGGTCCACCTTGATCCTGATCGCAACACGGCTCGCTATGCCGTCGCCCCCGAGCTGTCCTGAGCACCACCTCTGGCAGCCCATGAGCTCGACTACGCCGGGGTTGACGTTGTATTCGGCGTGGCGCTGGACGAGCGGAGCACTGTCGCCACTGTATCCGGTCGTTATCCGTACGTTGCCTTTTTTGGCCTTTTTTCTCCGCACCTCTATCGCAGAGAAGCGGATCCATCAGAATCGGTCCGTCACTGCGATGGTCATGGCATCGCTGACGACGCCGCCCAAGGCGCGCAAGCCGCCGAGCGAGGGCTTCATGGCCAACGTCTCGCTGCAGTTTGAGAACTGGCGCAAGCGCATGCAGCAACCCGAGGGACCGCCGTCGCCCGAAGAGGCGCAGCAGCCGCATCTGCCAGCGTTCTCGGACGCGGCCGAGTGCCACGTGTGCCACGACGCGCTGACGCTCCTCAAGTTCAAGCACAACTGCCGCAACTGCGGCAAGTCGGTCTGTGGCGCGCACAGCAAGAACCAACTGCCGCTGCCCGAGCTCGGGATTCTCAAAGAAGTCCGCGTCTGCGACGTGTGCTACCAGCTCAAGGTCTCGCGCCGCGCCGGCGCGCGCGACCTGCCGCCGCCGACAAGCCCGCTGCCGACGATGGCCATGACGGGGCCCAACCCGCGCGGGTCGTCGCTGTGCGGCATTCTGTACAGCGGTCTCGTCGAGGAGCAGGACGACATGCTTGACGAGATGCTCTACTTGGGCTCGTTCCGCCTCGGCAGCAGGTCGCTCGCGAGCCGCAACTTCAACCCGAACATTGCGATCTGGATCGAGCGGCTCTTCATGCTCACGCCGGCCGAGCTCTTGTGCTTTAAGCCCCAGAAGGAGAAGGAAGACTTCCTCCTCGGCATTGGCGAAGTGCGCACGTCGATCCACCTCACCGACATCCTGCACATTGACGTGGACGAGAATTACCCGCGCATTCTCACGGTCATTCGCTCGGACGGACGGTACTCGCATCGCCCCACGCTTGATAACTTTATGACCGGTTAGCATCTTCCGCATCCGCACCAAGGAGCCCGAGACGTGTGCGCTCATCTACGAGAAGCTGCGCGAGACGATCCAGACCTTCCAGGATGCACTGCACAAGCTCCAGCGAGGTCTTGTGCCGGAAGACAATGCGATCGCGTGCGTCACGGTGCAGCACGCGCCGCTGCTCGACGAGGTCGTCGTGCCCAAAGCCAACGACCTGGGCTACCACGTGTCGCTCTACCCGACGTCGGTCGTCCGCGCCTATTGCCTCGGACCCTCGTCGGTCCACGGCGTCGCTTCCTTTGCCCGCGATGAGATTGCTGCCGCGACGTCCCAGCGCCTTCGCAAGCGGGTCGAGCCGTCCATGGACGAGCTGTACCTTGTGCTGCACCTCGGCGCCCGTACGCAAAAAAATATCTGCTGAAATCGTATGGATCGTGTGGATGCTCATGCCGCGAGCTATGGTAGAACGCACGGTGCAGTACGCGTGGCAAGACGTCGGGCTCTTTGGCCTCCAGCTGCTCGTATGGACGCTCGTGTTTGCATATGGCATGACGCGGTATTTTGAAGCGGGCATCCTGCTCTGGTCGATGATGCTGGTCGTGCTGGGCGTGCGCCTCGGGCCGCACATGCGGCTGGCGTGGCACACGCGCGCGCTCGCGACCTCGTACCGCCTCGAGCTGCCTCAAATTGACTGCCAGAAGCAAAAGACGTCGGCCGGCGGCGACCTCAAGGAGAGCGACGTGGACCCACGCTTCCTTGCAGCGTGCGACAACGACCTCGAGGAGGCGAAGCGCAAGTACATCAAGTACCTTCAGTGGCGCGACGAGAACGCAATCGACACGATCTTGCTCCGGCCGCACCCGCACTTTCACATTGTACGTCGACACAAACTGTGGACACGTTGTCTTATGAAAGGAGGACAGATCAAAGAGTCGTACGTGCACTTGACGCACAAGCAAGACAAGCAAGGACATATGATTTCGATCGAGCTCGCGGGCAACATGAAGAAGGGCATGGCCAACTTCATGTCCAAAGGCGTCGTCGAGGCGGACGTGGTGACGCACCTCGGGTTTTACAACGAGTTTCTATGGAACGTGATTGACCGCCGGCCGGCGCCATTCGGGACGCAGCTCAAGATTCTGGATTTGAACGGCGTGGCGCTGAGCGACTTTGGCGGCGACGTGGTCGCGTTCATGAAGCAGTGCTCGGCCGTCGGCGAAGCGTACTACCCCGAGCGACTCTACAAGGTCTTCATCGTGAACCCTCCGTCGTGGTTCAATATGATTTGGAAAGCCGTGTCGCCCCTCGTCAACCCCAAGACGCGCGAAAAGGTAGGCTTGATTGCCAGACTCCAGACTCCTGAATGATGATTGCTAGATCAACGTGGTCAAGGGCCAGAAGGAAATTCAAAAGGCGCTGCTCGAGTACATTGACCCGGAGAACCTTCCCGTCGAGTATGGTGGCACGTGCGAGTGCGTCGGCGGCTGTCTCACGCACTCGCCCGACGAAAACCTCTTGCGCGAGTACGTCGACCGCCTCAACTCTGGCGAAGACTGCTCCGAGTACCTCCAAAGCCTCATGGACGCGGCCGCGGCCGTCGCTGATGCCACGCATGCGACGGCGCCAGCGGTAGCAGGCACGGATCCCGACACCAAGATGAGCTCGCGCCACTCGGCCACCAACCTTGCACATCTCGACGTCCCGGCAGGTCCAAAAAAACGCCGGGCGTCGCTGGTATGAGACAAGATTTACAAAATCAAGCCTCACATTTGCCGCCTTTGTTATTTGTTCAAATGGGTTCAATGCTGACAAGAGAAGGCGCCCAGTGGTTCTTACGCCACGGGTTGGGCTCGCACCATTCGGTCACGAGTCTTGCCCCCTCGAGACCAACGGCCTGAGGCTATACGACGACGGCGCACAAGACTGCAGGGTAGAATTCGAATGGTGGTTTTGAAGCTATTGCATCCTCACCGAGACAGCAACACCCAGGGTAATCAGACACTTTATTCCCTTGGCAACACTGGACCAAACGAAATTCGCAAAGACAGAGTTATTCGCTTGTCTTGGTGAAGACAACCGCCCAGTTGGACTCGTCGTAGTAGGAGTCGGTGACGGTGGCGTTGCCGCACATGCGCACCAGCCCATCGAGCTCGCCCTAGTTGTGCAATTTGTTCATAAGGCACGATGTGCTTTGACGTGAGTACCTCGGTGAACATGTGGCAGTAGCGCTGGACGACGATCGGCGCTTTCGATGACATGGCGTCGTCCTTGGCGAAGCGCTTGTCGAGGTTCCAGGGCACCATGCAGTCTTGCGTCGTCGCATCAAACGTCCGTCGCGAGTCCTATTGACAGCACTGTTGACGGACCGTTCGCTACCTGGACAGAACGACCTCGGTTTGTTCTTGGGCCCAGGCGTAAATGACGCCTTGGCCGCCGACTCGAAGCACGCGGAGTACTTCCTTGACGGCCTGGAGCCGGTGCGCAAAGGTACTGAGGTGGTGCAGCACGGCAATCGAAATGGCCACGTCAAAGATGCCGGACCGCAGCGGCACGAGAAGCGCGTCGAGCACCATCACGTTCAAGTCGTGGCTTTTGCAGATCTTGACCAAACTAGCCGACCAACCGATTGAACTCAAACCGTGGACACGGGAGAAGCTACCTCTCGCTCCGATCCCCGCCGACGACCGCGCTCTGCGTCGGTGCGATACACTTCATGTACTTGCCGTTGCCGCAGCCTAGTACCCATATATATCCTCGTCAACATGAAAGTGCGAGGGAAGGTCAACCAATGTCGGCGAGGAGGGTGCCGGGGGCGAGCGAGCGCACAAACGTCTCAATGCGCGGCCAGGGCGAGTGCCGCGTGGCGCTAAAGTGGTCGGCGACCTTCTCATAGAAGTCGTGGACGTAGAGCGTCTCGGTTTCGGTGGGAAACATTTTGGCGTCTGCGTCCAACGTCGGGGCTTGCACCCGCGAGTCGCACTGCTCTGGGAACGCGCACGTGCATGGCGTCGTTTGGAGCTACGTCATTAATTCCGTGTCCGACGAGACGATCAGAGTGACAGACTCTGTCCGACCTTGCGAAACGTGATCGAGACGCGGCGGCCGCGCGGCACTTTTTGGCCGTCGATGACGTCAAAGAGTCGCGGCTGGACGCAGTGCGTCCACTGGTAGCGAGACGCGCCGTTCATTATGTAGAGCGACCGCGGCGCGAGGAGGAGGCTCTCGACGCGGCCATCCGGGTGGCGAAAGTCCATGACGCTGCCATGCCCAAGGCTACGTTGATGATGATAACATCCAGCATCAGGAGCTATATACACTTGTACCTCAGGGTCGCAATCGAGCCGGTGAAGGCCGAATGGGTGTCAATATGCGACGCAATGCCTTGGCCAGGGAGGTACTCGTTGGCTACCATGCATCAGTCTTTCGGATGGTCATCTGGTCGTACCTGTGATCTGGTCGGGCATCCCATCAAACGTGGGAGGCATCAGGTCGATGAGGCTCCGGCAAAACGGCGCCATGTTGGCGAGCGGTGTCGACTCGTCGCACTTTCTATCACGCCGTCAATCGTGTGAGCAAGACGACGAAGCGTCGTACTGCGTCTTGTAGTTGAACTCGTAGCCAAAGTGTTGCACTTGGCGCGCGCGAATCGTGCGGCGCCACTCGCCCTTGTCCAGCTCGTCGAGCAAGACCGCCTCGTCGGCCGCCGTGATAAAGTCCTTGTACACGAGGAGGCCGGGCACAAACTGCGACGGGTCTGCGCCCATGCGCGCGCTCTCAAAGTTCGGCACGCGCTTGAACGAGCACTCTTCTTCGTACGCCTTGCGCAGCACCGCAAACTCCATGTGAAAGGTTTTGCCACCAATCGAGGCGATGACGACCCCGTCCAAGGCGTCCTTGGCCGCAGCCGCGTTGTCCGCGGAGGCGAATTCAACAATCGCCGTCTTGCGCGAGCCTGTGCCCATGATGACTTGCTTGACGTCGCCATGCACCGACAGGAGCTCGACGAGCGTCGCATCCGTGACCACGTGCTTCTTCCCGCGCTTGCTCCACGTCAACGAGAGGTACGGCGTCCGTGCCGCTCTCTGCTGCTGCTGCTGCGTGAGACCGGAGACTTCGAGGCCAGACGCGACCTCGAGGTGCTCGAGGCCCGACTCGGTCGTCGACGACGCCTTGAGAAAGTCCGCAATCGTGAGCGCCATGACGCAAAAAAAGTGACTCGAAATCAAATCCAACCAAACTGCACCAACGCCGCGATGTCATTGGCTATCTTTTCTTTTGATTTTGGCCAATCCGGGATGTCAAGGTCTCACTGCGAAATAGTGTGGGATAGCAACAAACGTCTCGCTTTGTATGCTTTTCGAAGCAACATCAAATCGTGTTAGTAAGTCTATTTCCGTACTCGGACCCGATATTCAAACTTGGCAGAGACGACGAGCAGCATGGTCACGGAAGGCGCGCCGGTCATGTCGTGGGAAGAGGCCAAGGCCATGTGCGAAGGCGTCGGCGACGTCTTCGCGAAGAACGCGGCCAAGGACCGCGATCGCCTCCTCAAGCTTCGCGATACCTTTGGCTCCATCCGCGGGACCTTTGCCCAGCGCCAGGCCGCGGCTCGCCGCGCCGTCGAAGGTAGAGATTACTGTCTCTCTTCCTGCATGAATTCTACGTCCGTGCATAATTGTAGAGGCGCTCGCCGAGATCCGTAGAATAGAGCAGCATGAGCAAGGCCGCGACAATAGCGCCGAAATGGCTCGGCACCTCGACGAGCTCGCGCAGTCCAAGGCGCAACTCGAGACACAACTGGCACGGCTCCAGGAGAACCAAGTGGCAACGGAGGCGCACATCGAAGAGCTCATCTTGCAGTACGAGCAAGCACAGCGGCGATACATGGACGAGTGCGCGACGCGCGAAAAGGACGTGCCCCGCCTCCGGTACGCGCCATTGCCACCGGAACTGCCATGCGTAGTGCTCGTAGGCAAAACATGGCCGTGTACGCGTCCATCACTGGCATCAAGTGGGACTTTTCAAGCGACCGCATCGCAGGCTGTACGTCTCTTCTGCTCTGTTGATCGCGTCACCGATTGGGTCCACAGGTATTCACATTCCAGAGCGCAAGTTGCTCTCGAACTTTGACTTGAGCCCGACCCAGCCTCCGTACGAGATGGCCAACGCTCTCTGGAATATCATCGAGACGGCCCACGAGGTGCATCAGAAGTAGTCCACCCTTTTTCTTACTTACATTAACATTGCACTCGTCTTGTACCCTTGGAGGCTGGGCAAATCGCATGTCCAGCTGCTACTGCGATCACGGAGGAGCCAATGCGTCGCAGTCGGGGCTTACGGAGTCGTGTTGTGAATATGCCATCGCTGCGTTGCCGCCGCAACCCAACCTGCCGTGATCTCCCGCCATGGCAATGGCCGCTTCATACTGCAGCCTTGCGTCCACCAACCATAATCGAAGACGTCAAGCAAGCTATGTCACTCGTGTGCGAAATGTCCAGGTAGTCGGTTTGCCGATGCAGCGCTGCCATCCAAGTTCCCGAAGGCCATCGTCGAAAACCTTCGAATGGAGCGCAAGAGACAAGCAGCATCGGTCCAAGACGTTCGCGCCACGTGCAATAATTCTGGGACGAGACAGCTTTGCGGTCTACAAGGCCATGGACAATGTCATTGCGAGGTCGATATGTATCATGCTGTCATTTCTTGAATCGGTGTCGCTCGGCCGACGCGCCCAGATGGATGCTTCAACGTTACCGTGCATCCGGATGGGGTTCGTCCGGATACGGATGTAGCAACGCCGATTTCGACAGTTTGGATTTGGATTGGGATGTGGCGCCGGTCGTTGCCCATCGCGTCTAGCGCGCGTCGCCGCTGGCTCTCGACGCACATGAGCCGCAACAAGGGCGTGGCAAAGCTCCCGGGCCTCGACATGACGCTCGGCGGCTCGCTCAGCGAAGTCTCGGTGACGTACGAGCAGTGGGGCGACCAGACGCTGCCGGACGAACGCACGATCGTGATCTTCCCGTCCTTCTCGCACTCGTCGCATGTGGCGTCCAACCTCGACGACCCGCGCCCGGGCTGGTGGGAAAACATGGTCGGCCCCGGGAAGGCCATCAACACGTCTGTCTTCCGCGTCATCTGCGCCAGTGTCCTTGGCAGTCCGTACGGGTCGACGTCGCCGCTGTCCATCAACCCGGCGACGGGTACGCACTACCGCGCGTCGTTTCCTCAGATCACGCCTGCGGACATGGTAGCCCTCCAGCTTGATCTGGGACCGTATTTCATGCATCGATATGCTAGGCGACCGTGCACTGCATGCTGCTCGATCACCTTGGCGTGCAGAAACCCCACGCCGTTGTCGGTGGCAGCATGGGCGGCATGCAGGTACTGTCTTGACGATTTGAGAATGAAACCCACGCGTTGCCTAGGCCGTGCAATTCGCCTCACTGTTTCCCGACCGCCTCGAGCGGCTCGTCGCGCTCTCGTGTACGTCGCAGACGACGCCGGGCACCGTCGCGTTTCGCCGCGTCCAGCGCCTCGCGATCCTCTCGGACCCAGCGTACAACGTACGAGGCGCTTGCTGCTTGCGCTTGGTGGTTCAAGCTGCTGCTAGGATGGCAACTATGAGTTTGGCGTCGGGCTCGCCGGCATGAAGGTCGCGCGGGAGCTCGGCATGACTTGCTATCGGTCGCGCGAAGAGTTTGACACGCGCTTCGACTGGCAGCCCAGCGGGCCGCGCCATTTCAAGGAGCTCACGTTTGACGTTGAGTCGTACATGGACTATCAGGTACCAACTTTGAAAGTCGGATGTTTATCGAGATGGAGAGATAGGCCAACAAGTTTGCGCGCGTGTTCGATCCGAACTGCTACCTCCTCCTCTCCAAGGCCATGGATTTGACCAACCTCGGGCACGGGTACCAGAACTTGGCCGAGGGCGTCGGCCGCATTGAGGCGGAGACCCTTATCATTGGCGTCAAGCAAGACCTCCTCGTGCCACTCAACGAGCAAAAAACCATCGTACGCGCGTTGTGCTCGACGGTCGACCTCATGCCGCGTAGGTCGACATCCTCGAGTCGTACGAGACGCCGGCGACGCTGTCTGTGATCGACTCCAAGTATGGCCACGACGCCATGTTCCATCCGCAGGTTTGATCCGACTGCCGCATGTCCATTGACTCAGATCTCTCTGGCGCAGATGCAAAGCGTCGTCTTCTCGCCCATCATCTCGGACTTTCTCGAGCGCGACCTCCACACGCTCGAGCACGAGCACCAGCGCTACAGCAGCTTGTAAGGCCGTCATAGTAAATTTCATGGAGATGGGAAAGAAGCATCGCGTTATTCAACGAATGGTAGACGTCTAAGTAGTGGCGCTTTAGGCCTTGATCTCACCGCAGTCGTCGATCGTGACTTCCATGCTACACAAGAATGCGTCAGGTGCGCTCGTTAGGAGGCGTGAGGCTCGTACCGGGTCGCACCGCTGGGGCTGCCCGTCGCTTCCATCTTCTCCAAGACATCCAAGCCTTCGACGACCTTGCCAAAGACGACGTGCGCCTTGTCGAGCCACGGGCAGTCGACCGTGGTCAAGAAGAACTATGCAGAACGATAGCATGACGAAGAGCCGACGCGGTGCATTGGCGCGTACCTGCGAGCCGTTGGTGTTGGGGCCGGCGTTGGCCATCGAGAGGATACCCGGGCCCTGGTGCTTGAGAAGGAAGGCTTCGTCGGCAAACTTTTCGCCGTAGATGGACTCGCCGCCCGTGCCGTTGCCGGCCGTAAAGTCACCGCCCTGGCACATAAAGTTGGGGATGATGCGGTGGAACTTGGAGCCCTTGTAGTGGAGCGCCTTGCCCGACTTGCCGACGCCGGCCTCGCCCGTGCAGAGCTGGCGGAAGTTCTCGGCCGTCTTGGGGACCTTGTCGGCGCGGAGCTCGATGACGAGGCGACCCACGGGCTTGCCGCCGGCGCCGATGTCGAAGAAGACCTTGGGGTTGGCGGGCGAGCTGAAGTGACGGACGAGGCCGAGCGTGCGACGGGTAGCTTGCATCTTGGGCAACGAATTCGATTCTATTCACTGCCACTCACGTGGGGCCAAGTCCAATCCGGATACAACAACATCCGGATACACGGCCCAGCCAACTTCAACATCAGCTTGGCATAAGTTAGCGATGCGGTCATAGTACTATCTACGACGACGCGCCGGTGCCGAGCACGAGGTGCGTCCGCAGCTGGTCTTCGTCGACGTCAATGCGCGAGCCATCAGCGCGCACAAGCTCAAAGGTGGGCGCCGGTACGCTCCCGACGCGCAGAGGCAGGAGCTTGAACCGAAGCGTCGTCTCACGAACGAGCTGCGACGCCTTGCCGGCGCAAGCCCACGCGCTGCTGGCCAGCCGCACGAAGCGCGTTTCGTCGCTCGGTGACACGCCGACTCGGAACTCGACGACCTTGCCAAGGACGAGCCAGTCGCTTTCGCTCAAGCACACGACACGGAGCGTAGCGCGCGGCTGCGGCGGACGGCGCGCGGCTGCGGCAGCGACGAGGTCGGCGGGAAAGTCCATGCACGATGACTGGCCATCAAGGGCGTACGCCACGCGGACCGTCGCCGACGCGTCTTGTGGAACGCGATCCCACTCGACGCGCAGGACAAAGCTGAGGCTAAAAGGCGATCCGGGACGCAGTTGCATCGGGCTCTTCATCCCACGCAGCGGGTTGAAATCGACCTAAGAAATGCGTCTGAGAGGCAGAGTGGAGGAAGCGCGATGGGTCCGACCTCAATCCACGGCAGCCGTTCGCTCAAAACATCGTGGTCGTTGCCGCCGTCGGTCGACACGATGAATGCACAGGCGCGAGGGTCGACCTCGATCGGAGCGACGTCGTTGCAGACAAGCGGCACGTGTAGAAAGAGCTGGTGGGATCGAGGCACACACGCCATCTCGGCGCGCAGCTGCATCGCATGCCGCACGGCGAATGCTTGGTCGACAACCGTCGAGGCCGCGTAGACGAGGCTGCTGTCACTGTGGTGGGCGTACGCATACGAGAGCTCTGCGCAGAGTGTCGCTTTCGAGTCACGTGGTGACGGGCGCACGGCCACGTCAATGGTAAAGCTACGCGTCGAGCGGGGCAGTGTCAATGCCACCTGCTGTACCGCTGTGCGCTGGCCTGTTAGAGGTATCACTGCGTCGTCGCCATCGTACCGCAGCACATGCCCCTCGAACGCGATCGTCGTCGGATCCGTCTCTGGCGACTGGACGTACAGCGCGAGGCTGCCAGACTCCAAGACGTCGTCGTTCAACTCGACGCGGAGGGTCCAGCCGACGGTCGTTTGAGGCGTGAGCAGCGGCACTGCCTGGGCGCAGAGCACTAATGAACTTGGATGCAGCGGCGAGACATTGAAGACCAGCGGCGCGTCCAGATCGAAGCTCACACGTTGCTTGGCCATGCTGCAGGTCAGGAGCGATGCGACGTAGACGCCCGGGGCGAGTGGCGGCCCGTCGTAGCGCAGCAACACACTTGTCACCGCGTTGCCGGCAAGAAGAAGAACGTCGTCGCTGGGCAGCGCAAACCACAAGCGTGCTGCTTCCTCCACCGTCGGGTCACTGACGGTACTGGAACGAAAAGCCACTGCAATCTTCTCGACGGGCAGCGGCCGGAGCAGGCGATTCCGGATCTGCAGCGCCATGGTTGGCTACCAAAATTGCTCAGACAAGACTGGTCACGATATGACGACGCTTACCAGAGCAACCGACGACGCCGGGAGCACGTGGAGTAAGTCGTGCAATGGCACCGTCGTGATGGGCGCCAACGTGTTGAGCCAAAAGGAATGCAGCCCCTTGTCGCTCTCTTTTCGCAGCCGATCGATGGACGGCTCGAGCTGTAGCCAGTGCAGACACATCGTGGCGGCCGCCGCAACGTCGTTGTTGCTCATGTACACGTCGACGAGCGCCGCGATCGAGGCTTCCAGCGCGTCGCCCCACTGGTCGAGCTGCAGCTGGTGAACGTGCTTAAGGTACAAGCTGGCGGCGCGGTCGATCGACGTCGCGTTCGTCACGTCGTAGCGTGCACACTCGGCGCTGAGAAACGCCGCAAAGCGAAGGCGACCCGCCGTCGCATAATGCACCGAGGCCCAGTACGTCACTTGGTGCAGCGCCTCGGGCTGCAAGCAGAGCGTGTACCAATGACGGCCCGGAGTCGGCGACGTCGGTGGCAGCCGCTTGCACGCACGCCGCGCAAAGTAAAGGAGCTCCCCGAGCGGCGCGGCGATGAGCGTCATCTGGGCTTGCTCGGCTTTGGGCCGCGAGACCTGGTACTGCTCAAACTCGGTTTCGCACGAGACGGCGAGGGCGACCGCGGCACCTATCGCCCATTGCAGCGGCAGCGTCGGTGGCAGCAAGCTCGTGCGTTGCAGAAGCAGCAGAAACTGCGGTAGAAAGAGCAAGCTGCGGTCACAGACCGCCACGTAATCGTAGCGCTGGTACAGAATCGCGACTTGGCGGCAAAAGAGATACAGTCGGACGTGCAGCGGCGACGCGGCGTTGACCGCGATCGACATGCGCACGACGACGAGGTCGATCTCAAACTACCGACAAGCACGCGTGAAGCCAGATGGTACATCATGCATGGAGCGGTCGTACGGGCGACGACGAGAAGATGGCGTCGGTGGCTTCCAGCGCCGGCAAGTCGTTCTGCGCGGCGTCGTCGAGCGTCATGAAAATGGCCTCGAGCTCGTCGTACTACGCAGGCGGAGCATGAGCGCATGGACGATGGGGAAGGACGCGGTGTACGTGGCGCAGGGCGTCGTCGTACAGCGATGCCTGGCTGTACAGCAGTGCGAGGCTCTCCTTGACTTGGAAGAACGAGCTAAAGTCCCAGCCCGAGAGCGACCGCTATGTGCCACATGAGAGGCGCGCCGGCGATGCATCGGTACCTTGGCGTCAAGAAGGCGGAGCTCTTCTTCGTACTCGCAGCAGCGCGTCTCAAACGCTTCCATGATGCACGTTTTGAGTTTGAGGAGGAGCTCGGACCACTGCGCTTCGTGCTGCGGCTGCTGGCCGGGCGCGGCGCCGACGACCGTGTTGCCTTCGAGCACCTCGATCTTGCAGAGCCGATCGAGCCGGTCGTTCTTGTCGCTAAAGTCGGCCCGGAGCTTGTCAAAAATCTTGCGGTAGACCTTGGACGAGTCCCGGAACGACGTGCCAAACGCGCTGAGGCCACGGGACGCGACGGTAGCCGCTGCGGCCGTCGACGAGGTGGCTTGCGTCCCAAGGGGGACATACAAGACGAGCCACTCGTTCTTGAGGAGGTTCATGCGATCGACCCACGCACTCAAGGCGGGTTTGATCTTGGTCTTGTACGTCGCGAGGTCCTCGCACTTGACGACAAAGAGGAAGACAAGGCCGGTGGGCGGCACGCTACCCGTCGTCGCTTGTGGCTGCTTGAGCAGCTGCGCCTGCGTGTGCACCTGGTAAAAGTGGATATGGAGGCGGTCGATGGTCTTGTTGACTTGGAGGTGGTTCTTCCACGCAATGTTGCGCAGCGGAAGGCGCTCGTCCAGCGACGGCAGCACAAACTGCCACACGTCGCCGTGGTCTTCAAAATGGACGCTGACGCCTGCAGTACGCCGACGGTGCGTGAGTCCATCGACGCCATGGCGCACGTACCGCTCATGCCCGCGCTCGCCGGTGCGCTCTTGAGCTGCGCCAGCTGCGGAACGCTGCCATAGAACGACCGATCGCCCATCTCGTGTCAAATCTTCGGTGTCATCGCAGCCCGTCCCGTATCCGGTCGACCACTATTATCCGTACATCGTGGATCGGAGCGTATCCGGACATCATGCGATTCATCCGGATATTGTGCCAGAGGCTTTTGAATTTTCGAACGGGCAGCCATGTCGGACATCGCGTCGGTCGCCATCCGCATGACGATCTTCCTGACGTGGCAATGGTGCGTAGAGCGGCCGAGAAGACGCGAGATGAGGTCGCAAACAAGCGTCTTCCGACGCTGGAAGCGGGCGTCGAAGAGGCTCTGGCGGTGATCCGCAACGACATCCTCGAGGTGCGCTCTGCAGGTGCTGAGGATGATGATGATGATGAGCTTGGATTGCGGTCGTAGCTCGAGAAGGCGTTTGTTCTGAAGCAGATCAAGCAGCAGTTCTTTGACGACCTGAGCGCGGTGGGCTCACCGGAGGCCATGGCCGAGTTTGCAGCGAACGCCCAGATCGAGCGCGAGCAGGGCAAGACCATGATGTTGCAGAAAGAAAGGACTTTGCGGCGGCGTTCGAAACTCGACGTGCACTCAACGCGCAGCTCGAGGCCATGCTTGCCGACGTGAATGCTCGCATCCAGCTGCTGACCAAGCGCATCGGCGACACTGCGGCGCGCGCGGCGCTGAACGAGACCAAGCGCGACGAATGGAAGGCGCTGCAGCGACTCAACACGCAAAAGAAGACGGTGCTCGAGCTCACGTTCAAGCTCCAGATGCCGAAAGACATGGCGTGCGCCGAGTTCGTACAGGCGCAGACCCAAGGCATTCAGGAAGACAACGACCGGGAGCGCGTTCTCGAAGATCAGGTGCTCGACCTGTCGGCTCAGGTCAAGCAGTCGGAGATGAACCTCAACGCGCTTTTGCAAGAGGTACACCTGTCGCATCCAGAGGATGAGGATATCGCTCACAATATCACCACCAGTCGGCGCGGCGCACGGAGGACGCGCAGCTGCTCGATCGCGTCAACAAGCACGAACATCTCATCGAGATGGCGCGTTGGTACATCCTAGATGCCGCCACAATGCGATCTTATTGTAGCGGCGTAGGTATGAGCAGATGACGGGCTTTGTCCAGAGCATCTCAGGCATCCATGTGCTTCCGAGCGACGGCGACACAATGCACGTGCGCATCCGCAACTTCACGCTCAGCCTCACGGTTGACGTGATGAACGGCACTCTCCAAGGCGCTGCGGTACGCCATCGCGTCTTCGGGCGCGACTGATAACGTGACATGCAATAGCTGGCGCCCGACACGGTCGACATTGCCGATTTGGTCGAGATTGCAGTGGAAGAGAACGATGTGGCGTTGCTCTTGCGCGAAGCGCGGCACCGCATCGCGAGCCACGAGAAGCTCGAGGCCGACGTGGCGACGCTGCAGCAGCAGTACGAGCATGCCGTCAACGTGGGTGACGCGACAGGGTGACATAGGGGTGTCATGTGCGAGCGCACCAGCGCCGACCGTGTACAACTCACCGTGCGGAATACACTCTACCACGTCGACACGAGCAGCGAGTACGGGCATGTACGTCGTCTATCGTCTCGTCTACGACGACTTGTAAACTGTTGTCGTTAGGACAGCGAGTGGCTCCACGTGCGCTGGATGAAGCCGAGCGACCCGCGCCTTTTGGTATCCCACCCGTTAAGAAATGACCATGACACTACATAAGTGCGTAGAACGCGATCAACAAGGAAGAGCAGTGTGCGACGCTGCCGACGCTGGTCGATCGTCTGCTGCAGCTGCACGCATAATAGATCATCCAACCGTTGAGTCTATTGCACCTCTCGAGCATCGTTTAACGGCCGCGTCGTCAATTGCGGCACTTGACCCTGCGATATAGGTCACTTGCCGAGTCACGCGCCATCGTCCAGCAGGTCATCGCTCTCGTTAGGAACTGGCTCCAGTCGAGTGAGCTCCAAGCGAACGAGGCAGTTGCCGTCGGCAATGTACAGCGCTCCGTTCTTGTGGCAAATGCGCTGGTTCTCGATGGCGGCGGCCAGTTCCGCGTCCATAGCGATCGGTGCGAGCGCCATGTCGCGCAGGTCGAGGCGGTGCAAAATGCCCGCGGACGCCAGCAACAGAATGTCGTCCAGCAGAATCGCGCTTGTCGGCCACGGAGAGAGTGCGCACTGCCACAAGACGGTGCGGCGTTGGAAGCAGCGGGCTTCGATGCCGCTGACCGCACTATAGAGGACCACCGAGTCTTCGTGTGGCGAGAGGAGGGCCCAGGCGTGGGCGGGCTGCACCTGCGGCAGCTTCCACGCGTCCTGCAAGACTGAGCCGTGACCTGTGTACACGTGCACGTGGCTCTTCTGCGCCTGCGACGCCCACACGACAACGATCGCGTCGGCGGCACCCGAAGCGTGCAGCAGTTGGCCGCCGATGTGCGATGGGTTTTGCGATGACAACGTCGAGGCTGCTTGGGCGCCAAAGGGTAATGGCACCCACGTCACGGCCATGGAGGGCAGAGAGAGAAGCACGAGCTGTCCGAGCGAGTTGCCGACCAGTAGCACCGGCGCGTTGCGAAGAAAACACAGCATATCGATTGCGACGTCGGACGTGTACCGTCTCAAAAAGTTCTTGGCTCGAGCCGTCTCGAGAGCCCATGGCTGGCAAGTGGTGCTGCTGCTTCCGTCGCTCGAGAGAGCCCGGAGCTGCCCGTTGGGATAGCCCACGACGCAGCCAAAGGCCGAGGTCGCGAACGCGGACGGCGCGAGGGGAGGCAGCGTTGCGTGGTAACAGCACTCGCGCAGCGTCTTCGAGTCCCAGAGCCGCAGAGTCGAGTCGGTGAGCGTGCCAATGTCGCCAGAAGGGAGGACACCGAGGCGCGTGATTGGTGCGGCGAGCGTGAGGTCGAGTAGCTGCCGTGTAAACGCGGTGGGCTGCACCGACCAGACCGCACCCGTTCTCGTGATGACGACGCCGTAGTCGTCAGTGTCCGAGGCCGCATGCCAAGTCATCGACTCGATGGGTGCGTCAACGCGCAGAAGACTACTTAGTGCGCCACCGGGTGGCGGGACGTTGGTGAGCAGCGAGAGACCGTTGCGCTCCATCGCGTCCAGCGCCAGCGTCTCGCCGTCAGCAGCCAGCGCGAGTTGGTAGAGCCATACGTATGGCGCGTCGGCCGTAGCGACGGCCACAGTCGTATCGTTGCACCAAACCAAATGGGCCAGCGTGGACCGTCGGTGCGCCTGGAGCGTCGCAGAGCATACGATGGATGACGTCGCGGTGTTTAGAATGTGCAGCTTGCTTGTCTCGGCGCTCCAACCCAGCACCAAATCATCGTGTCGACGGGTGTGCAATGACGCGACGAGCCCCATGGATACGTCCGTGCGGATTGGCACCGCAACGATGGCGTTGCCCGTCGTCAACTTCCAAAACTGAACCGGGTGGGCTGTGACGACGTCCGCGGCCGTATGCCCGAGCCACGCGATCTGGCAAGGCACGTCGCTCAACGCTAGGGACGCTACAATCGCCTCGGCATCGACGAGCACGAGGTCGGCGCCAGCAATGCACCAGACGCGACGCGAGGTTTGAAACGCAACCGACCGGACGGACGCATGCACGGTCGTCGTCGTTATCGTCATGGCGTCATGCAGCGACACAAAAGACAGCGATGGGGCTGCGTCCCAGTACACGATCATGTCTTGGGCCGGCGCGAGGGCGAGGCCGAGGACTCGAGACGACGCTTGTATGCACTCGTGTCGGCTTGTTGATCGCGTCTCGACGAGAACGCGGGAGCCAACCGCCCGGACGAGCGTTTGGTGCGCCGCCGACCACACGACGGGCGACGTGGCGTCCATGTTGAAGCCACGCGCGCGCGCAATGCGTGGCGTCCACGGAATGTCGGAGGGGACTATTGGACTTGGTGGCAGCTCCGAGATGGACTTGCGCCGTGTCGGACGCTGCGTCGGCGTCGGTACGAGCTGTCGTGGCACACCGCCGTCTTCATCCTCATCTTCGTTCTCATCCTCGTCTTCGTTGGCGTCGTGAAAGAGCTGATTGTCGCTCTTATGGTGCTCTTCAAACAAAGCGGCTTCGTCGATTGACGCCAGCGCATCATCGGAGAGCATACTGTCCGTGTTGGTCGCGCGCAAGTCGTCCTCGTACCCGAGGAAGCGCCAGAGAAGCAGTGCGGCGCTACCGCCGATGGTTACGACCCACTTGCCGTCTTGTGAGAAAAGCACGCGCTGGAGACCGTGGCTCTGGCCTGCGAACGACTGCGTCAAGCGGAGCTGCTGCGGGTGCTCCAGCATGAGCACCTTAAGCGCACCTCCGTCGCATCGGCCGTGCACAATGTATCGGCCAAATGGACTGTGGGCGAGGTCGCCGACGCTGCCGTCTGCGATCGAGCCCACGCACGGACAACGTCGCCGGTCGACGGCGCCATGAGGAGCAGCCGCTGCGATGCCACGACGAGCACAAGCAGTTGCTGATGGTGCACAAACCCAAGCATCTTGAGTTGCATCGGGGTGCCTTTGCCATCGCAGTACTGCAGCGACCGCTTCCGCCGCAGCGAGTACAGGTCGAGGAGCTCGATCGACGTGTTGTCGGCGCCTGCTATCGCGAGGCACTGCAAGGCCACGTCGACGCAGAAACGGCCGTTCGTGATAGGGTACTCGCACGGCACCGAGAGGACGGTGGACGAGTGGTGCTGGTAGCAGCACACTTGCTGGTCCTCGCCACTCGAGTAGACGCTCTGAAGGCCGTACTGGACATCCAGGACGGGACCCATATGCTGTTGGTACGTCTCGAGGATCGTCATGCTCGGAATGTCAAAGATGCGCAGCATGCCCGAGGCAAAGCCGACGGCGATGCGCGCGGCGCTCGGGTGGTGCGCGATGCACGTGCCAACGCTCGCCTCGGTCTTGAACTCGTACGTCTGCAGCCCGGTGAGGAGGTCCCAGACGCGAATCGTGTGGTCGAGCGCAGCAGACACGAGTGCGTCGCTCTGGGGACTCAGCGCGATCGCAGAGATCGGCGCCGTGTGCGCGCGGTGCACGATGCTGTATGCGTGGCTGCTCACGTCAAGGACACCGATCGTGCCGTTGGCGCACGTCGCCAGCGCTTGGAGCCCGTCGCCCGAAAGGTCGATCGAGAGCACCGCGGCTTCGTGGCTCGCCTCGAGGTAAAAGTCGGAAAAGTCCAAGGGCCACACTCGGAGAAAGCCATCTGCGCCGCCCGAGACGCAGAAGCCCGCGTTCACTGCGATGCAGTGGATCGCGGCGTCATGAAGCTTGTAGACGCAGAGGAGCGCCATGGACGCGTAATCCAGTACCAAGATGGTGCCATGCGACGACGAGACGTACACGGGCAGGCCCGGCGTGCCTGGCACGTCGAACGCAATGTCGGTAAAGTGCGTGTCCCGCGCATACTCGTGCAAGACGACGGGGCAGCCCGGCAGGTGCCCGGCCTTGAGGCGCCAAAATCGGATGTTTTCCCGGCCACACGAGACGAGGCGGTCGCTGTCGTACGGCGAGAAGCGCAAGTTGGAAATGGGGAAATCCGACGTTTGTTTCGCCACGACTGGGAGCGTCGATAACGGTGACGACGATGACGTGGCACTCGCAGCGTCGTAGACGATGAGCTGCGTGCGGTGCTGCGCGTCCTTGCCGACGACGACGAGCCGTGTGCCGCCGACAGCCAGCGCCACAACACCATGCACGTGCCCGCGCAGACAAGCGACGCAGCGCGACGTGGCCATGGACCAGAGGCGCAGCGCTGGCGACGGCCCGTCTTCGCACGTGATGGCCATGTGCATGGTCGGAGATAGCACAAGGAAGCGAATGTCTCTGGCGTGCCCATGCAAGAACGACATGGCCAAGGTGTTCTCGCGACGCTCGGCGAGAACGAGCGTGGCGTCGCTGGCGTAGACAAAAGACTTGGAGGCGTGGCACCACAACGCGCCGCCAGTGCACGTCTGCGAGACGCCCACGATGCGGTTCAGTGCGAGGACGCGCTCGGGCCACATCAAGTTGGCTTTGGGAAGAATCCGCGGCCCGTACTTGCTCGGCGAGTAGTAGAGCTTTGGGCTTGGCGGCGGCGACGTTGGCGCTGCAGACGCGGGCGGTGGGCGCTGCAAACCAGCTCGCTTCAGGATCAAATCGGCCTAGTTGATAATCATGTCGTTTTTACGTCGTTTTCTCTGATAGGTTATACCTTTTGGAGCACGGTGCTGCGATGCGTCTGTAGCTGCGCCTCGTGCTCGAGCTGCGAGAGCGGTACGGGCAGCGGGGTGCTGGGCGCGTCGTCTTGTATTCGCCTCTTTTGTGGAGATGACTTTGCGAGTGGCTACACTCGGTGAGAGGAAGGCACTGGCGTTGAAGTCGTTTACCGATGATGGGGGCAAGTCGCGAGCGGGCGATGCGGGTGCGGGTGGGCGCAGAACGTCCTTGCTTGGATCTGGCGTCGTGGAAGGCATCTCGATGGCTTCAAACTGGTTGCTTGGAAGCCAGTGCCAGTCGTACGTCAGCTCCCACGCATGCGACTTCAGAAGAGGCAGCTCCATGCCCTTCGGTAGCGTCTACAGCGACTTAGACCTTGCACTTTGCGATCTCGTCAACCTCGGGCATGTAGAGAATGTCAGACGTGTAGATGCCGCGGATGCTCATCGAGCAGCAGAGCTGAATACTCTATTCTAGCAGTGCAGAAGCCCGTGATGCATGCGAGGATACCTTGAGGTAGTCGTAACCTTCGCGGTTGTACGCGACGGACGTATGCAGCTCCAAGAGGCGGTGCATGTCCAGAGCGAGCACCGTCCACTTGTCGCCTAGTCTGCGTGCTCGTGAGCTCCTTTGGCTCAAGTCAGCATGTCGTCAACGGGAGAGGTAGGCGAAGGTTCACGCCCATGCTGCGCACGCTCGCGTACATGGTGCTGAACGAGAGGCGCAGCGCCGACCGCTTCTTCGTCACAATGTCCAAGTGCAGCGTCGCCGACTCGCCAGGCAGCCGGTGGAGCTGCAGGTAGATGTAGCGCCCCGTGAGCTGCAAGCTATCGCCCTCGGCGGGCACGGACAGATGGTTGGACGCGGCAATCTTGCCGCGGACGCGGAAGACCTTTCGCCGGATCGTCTTGTCCATGAGCTCGGCCACGTCGCCGCGCGTCGACGCCGCACAGGAGCCTGCGGATACGAGCCGGAAGACGTCTGCGAACGGATGCTGCCACACTACGCCAGTCGTCAACGAGGTCGGCCGGCGGCGCTCAGTCGGCGCACCTGGTGCTGGCATCGCTCAAGATCGCACCGATATGATTGGCTACTTTTCATCCAATGGCATCGCAGCTGGAAGATCGCAATTGTCCAGCGCAGGACCCTCGATGATTGCTGGTTGCAAGCAAGCTACAGTGGCACCACTCCGTTCAACGGCAAGGTTCTGCTCAGCTGGAGACGCCCAGTGATAGCAAATCGCCTTGGCAAGCATCCATGGTTGACGAGCGTTCGACAATCCGCCGCTATCACCTCCCTGGACATCTATCTATCTCGCCCGACGACATTGCCGCCCAACGAAGTGCATGGACACGAGGGCGCACGCATACAGCTACATTGGCCACGCAAATCACACACAGGCTGTTGCTATCTACAAACGAATGTGTTCTACGTGTCGTACGGGCCATTGGCAGCGGCAATCTGCTGCTGCGTCATGAGCGTCTTGAGGAGCAGGTCGCGCATGCGAATCTCGGCTTGCGAGTGCGGCGACGTGTGGTAGCCACCATTGCCGTCGCGTACGGTCGTCGCATGTGCGCCGGAGGGCGGCAGTGGATGCGTCGCCGCCGGTATCTGTGTCTTGGACGCTAAGCGCTCTTCCATGGTGGCCGAGGCGAGTGTCGCGAGGCGCTCCATCGTCGCCGCGCAAGTCGACCCGAGCGACGTCCGCTTGCGCGTGTCGGCGACGCAGATGTAGCCGAGGTGCTGCGCGTTGCGACCGAAGATGGGGCACCCGGCAAAGAAGCGGACGACGGGAACGCGGTCAAAGATTGCCATCGTGCTTGGGTCTGCACCCGCGTCCAGCACAACGATCGGCGAGATGTCCATGACGCGGTCGATGAAGATCTGGATCTCGCTCTTGAGCGCGTGGTTCTCCAAGCCGAGCGTCGACTTGAGCTTCTCGCGGCGCACGCCATCGGCGTCCGTCTCGAGGAGACACACGATCGCGATCGGACAGCTCAGCGTCTCGCACGCGAGGTCGCAAAGCAGCGCAAACATCGACTCGCACGAGGTGCCCGTCGCGATGAGCGGCTCGAACGCGTCGAGCTTGCGGCGCCACTCGGCGATTTCGGGTTTCTTGGCCTTCTCGTCGGGCCGCGAGAGCGACATGCGGATCGCATCGCCGCAGAGACCCTTCGTGGAGAAGTTGTCAAAGTTGCTGCTGGCGTCATCGGGTTCGGACGACCGGTGGCTGCGCGTGCTCTGGCTCAGCGCGGACGGGCTCACGATGAGCTGGCACTCGAGCGGACCGGACGACGTCGAGCGCAACCGCTCGGCATCAAAGTCGGACGACGTGAGCGACGTGACGGACCGAAGCGTCTGCGGCGTCACGGGGCTCGTCTTGGCGCGCACACAACACACCTTGCAGAGCCGGACCTTGTTGGCGCCGACGACCGGGAGGTCCACGGCCTTGATGACGCTGCAGTCGGAGCAAATGACTTCGCCGCACATGCGGCAGTGGTGCTTGCGCCGGAGCGTGTGGAAGTTGCGCATGCACAGGAGGCAGCTCGTGCGCTCGTTGTCGCGGACCCACGTCGAGTGATGCGCAAAGTGCATGTAGCTCAGTCGGAGCTCCTCGACCATGTCGCTGAGGCGCCCGAGGCCGAGGAGCACGGCGGTGCCCGCGGCCTTGGCGGCCTTGCTCTTGAAGCTGCCGCAGAAGACGACCTCGACCTCGTCCGGCGCGGTCTGGCGCCAGAAGAGGCCGGCGCGCGTCAACGTCGTGCGCGTGAGGTTGTGCGACTCCTTCATCGAGAGGCACCCGACGTTGTTGCCGTCCGTGGATGTCACGCACCACATGTAGAGCGGCGCGCGCTCCGGCGTGTTGGGCACGGTCGTCTCGCCGAGGAGGTCGACGACGACGAGGTCCCGCCGCGCGCCCATGCCAATGTCGACGACGCCCCACTTGACGCTAATGACGCTCTCGTCCGCGTCGTCCGGCTTCGCGTCGTTGTTGTTGTTGTTGCTAGTGAGCACGTGGAGCACGATCGCATCCACGTACGACCGGGGCAGGAACTTTTTGAGAAAGCTCCGGAGACCGTCCGTGGTCGGCTGCGAGACCAAGGTCGACAGCTCGGACGGGAGGCACTTGACGACCGTCGCGCAGCGCAGGAAGCGGCACGAGACGAGCATGTTGGACGTGTCCTTGCGGTACTGGACGCCGTCCTTCTCGGGCGGCACGTAGCGCCAGTTCTCATTGTACGCGGTCTGCACGAGCGACGCCGCGTTCTCTTTGGCGGCGGCGACCAGCGACTTTTGCACGTCTTCGTTGAGCGGCGGGCCGCGGAAGAAGGTCGTGCGCAGCGGAAAGGACTGATCCATGCTCCGTCCAGTTGGCAAGTGACGAGTTGGAACGGCAAAGTCGCGCACTGCTACAAATGCGTCGGGCGAGATGGGCGACGTTCTTGACGGATGCCTCCACGCGCCGAGGTGGCGAGGGTTACTACCCTGGATCGTCGCCGCTTCAAGTCCCACTCTGCCGTCTCATGGGCGGCTACAGTACTCGGCTCGGCTATTACATCGAACTCGGCTCGGCGACAATGAACTCGGCTCGGCGCAGGAAGAGAGGGACGTGGGTGGTGGACTGGCCTCCATCGCTGGCGAAGCTTGGCGACGTCGAGCGGGCCACGTGCTGGATTCCGACCTCCGGGTGTAAGTTCAGAAAGGCGACGCGTTCTCTGCTATTTGTGCCACTGCAGCTCCGAGTGGCGACATTCCTTCAATGCAAGGCAGCGAGTACCAAGTGCGAGCGTGAGATGGACGTCTCATTCGCGCGTGATCCAGTCTTCCCAATTCGATATATCCAATATATATCGATGAATCCAATATATTGACGCGCTATTGATAGCGCCCGTTGCAGCCATGTACAACTGGGCCGACCCGCGCCGGAACTCGTCGATCTCGGTCAAGATGATGTAAGAAGAGGATGGAGCGCTCATGGCTCCTGACCGCGTCTCGTAGGGAGAAGGCTGAGGCGGCGCGGAAGCAGCGCCTCACCAAGGTCCGGCCCACGGTCTCCAACCACCTGCATCCGGCGGTCGAGAAGAAGCTGCCGAGTATATAAACACGAGGGCGCCGTCGAAAGGCTCACGGTTGCGACTAGAGAAACATGAAAAGCTGACGGCCGCCGAGCTCTACATGGGCACGCTCGGCGACTCCAACCAGGAGGAGAGGTACTACCTCTAAAGCGTTGCACACCTGACGACCGTGGTACAGCCCCTTCTCAGTGCACAACGTCGTGGCCACCGAGAGCTCGTTCCATCCCGAGTCGACGATTGAAGCCTTCCAAGGCCTCAAGAAGGCCAAGCCGCACGGCGACGAAGACCCGGCGTGGAGCGATCTCAAGCCCCAAAGCCGGTTGACCAAGTCCCGCGTCAAGAGCGAAGACAAGCTGCCGTCGTTGCAAAAAGCCTCGCATCCTCACGCGAGCAAAGCCCGGACGTTGGCGACGACGCGGAGCGACCCCGAGATCTCCAACAGCCGCCGGCCGAACCAAGAACCGTCCCTTGATGCCTTGGATATGTACGACGACGGGGATGACGAGCTTGATGACGACGACGACGCGACCGAAGAGCACCCGTATCGTTTTGGCTCTACCGACGACATGCCGGCTACCCACGCGTTATAGGTGCACGGAGGCCGCTGCGGTCGTCGCCGGTCCCGTGCCCAAGCTCGACTTGAAGCCACTCTCACGCAGGTCGGAGCGCAAGGACGACGCCAAGCCCAAACTGGACAAGAAACTCAAAGCCAAAAAGGCACGTTGACATTCAGAAAGTGCAATCTGACGACAGATGCGATGGGCAGGAGGGAGGAGCGAGTCTGAAGGCCCGCGGCACATCCCTCGCCCAGCTCAAGGACGAGCACCGTGCGGCACTCGAGCTGCTCAAGGAACTCGGCGGCGCGTACCCGTCGGACGAGAAGGACCCACCGCTCTCGTCGCGCTTTGGAGCAAAACTGCGCTCGACCGTGCACAGCAGCCGCGATGTCGAGACACACGAGGTGCACCGAAATATATGCCAAGAGCTCAGTCGTGCGTAGACTGTCAAGGACGTCCCATCCTCATCCTCGTCCGCGCCAAGCACCAGTCGGTGGACCGACGACGCGAAGGGCGACGGTCGTCACCACTACACGAACGAAGCGGAGGATGAGGAGGAAGTGCGGCCACGCTGACCACTCGGTGACGACTGACGTGCGCGGTAGGTGCCGGAAACATGTGGCGGCGATGACGCGCCGACACCTGAGAAAGGGTCCGAGTTTTCGTACGGCAGTGAAGAGTTCGAGACCGACTAACGCCCTTTCAATCCATACGAGTATGCATCTGCGCTTTCTTAATCCGCAATCGCAGCCTTGAGCAGCTTGCGACCGACCTCGGCCATGTAGAGCGTCGCATCGTCCGGCTACAAGGTAGCATTCCAGCGTCCGAGTGCTACAGTCGCCCGCACCTTTTTTGGGACAGCTTGAGATCGCGTTGCGTGGTGCTCGGGTGCTGGCAGCTGTGATGCGTGGGCTGCATACTCGAGAAAGTCGAGAACGAGCTCGGCGCTGGGCTGGTCAATGAACGGTCGCGCCAAGAGCTGTTGCGATCGATGGTGCGCGGGTGAGAACGCAGGCGTCGCGTACCTGCTGCACGTATGCGTCAAAGGCGGCTGTGCACACCTGTAGAGACGACGCCGACAGGCGCTGCGCCAACGAGACGGCCGCGTGCACGGTGGGAAACGCCAGCGACGCCATCTCGTCCGCCATGACAGAGCGGAGGTGCCTACTCATCATAAAAGCATCGTCGTACTGTGTAGTAGTAAATAGATGAACGAGGATGCTTCTGGATCTTGTAGTAAGATTACAGTACCCATCCAGCGCAGCAAAGTCACTCCGCGTATGCCACAGAATCCACGAGCACTTGATCTCTTCGAGGCCGTCCGCGCACGGACGGACCACGGACGCTTCGCAGTGCAGCTCATAGACCTACTGCATCCGTTAGTTCGTCGTCACGTATCGAGTTGGCGTGACTTCGTCTGCCGTCCCGATCCTGGCGCTGACGACGGTCGCTGAAAATGGAGTGTTGACGGCGGCCGGCAGCGCATCGAGGGACGCGGCGCGAATGCGGGCTTGGATGCAAGAGACCCACGCTGCTGCGTTGGCGCGACTGGCTACGGAGCCGGTCATACCACCGACGCCACCCGCAGCTTCGCACCGTCCGAGCCGCCCGGGACCTCGGCGCACATGTAGTACGCCTACGCGTGTGCGAGGCGCAGTCAAGACGTTCAATTATACCACGTGCGACGACCCGTCGACGACGCGAAAGACGAAGCGGCGCTCGTCGGCAGCGGATGCGACGCCTTCGCCGAGGCTGCCAATGGCAGCGCCGTGCGCGACGGTCGCGCCGACCAGCGCAATGCGACCGCAACGCTTGGCGTCGTGGCGGTGGCTCTACGGACAGCGGTAGGTCGAGGAGCGCTCCGAGCCATGTGTTTGTACATACGTCAAAGTACTCGAGCGACGCGCCAAGGAGGCGAAAGAAGCGGCGTCGCCAGTTCTTGACCACGTGGCCCTGCTTGAGGAGGTACCCTTCCATCCGAGCCAAAGATCGCAGCTTACGTCAGCACCGTCCGTGTCTGCATCGATGTATCAAGTCGAGATCTTTCAACGTGCGCCAATCGATTTCCATCGCAAGACGCCAATCAAACACGAAACGCAAGGGAGAGATTCGCGTGGCATTAATGAAAGGGTTAGGTATCGCCACGAAAGCGGGCTACTTCTTCGGGCCGAGGCGGTCCAGGACCGACCGCTTCTTCGGACGGTCGTCGTCCTCGCGCGACGAACGCTTGCTCCGGTCTCGGGACGACGGGCGCTCGCGCGATCGACGCTTCTCGTCACGACTCGATCGACCACGCGACCGGCTACGCGACTTGCGCTTGGATGATTCCTTGCGGTCCGGTAGCTTACGATCCAGCGCCGACTTGCGGTCGCCCTCCCGGCGTCGGTCCGTGCTCCGGCTCCGACGACGACTGTCGCTCTCGCGCTTACGGTCTTTGTCACGGTCATTCGACTTGCGGTCACGGTCGTCCGACTTGCGGTCACGGTCGTCCGACTTGCGGTCACGGTCGTCCGACTTGCGGTCACGGTTGTCGGTCTTTCGCTCGCGATCGCTGGCCTTGCGGTCTCGGTCGTCCGTCTTGCGGTCTCGGTCGTCCGTCTTGCGGGAGTAGTCGCGCGAGTCGCGACGAGAAGGCTTCTCGGAGCGCGGGTTGTCGTCGCGACGCGTCGGCTCTGACTTGACGGGCGGTGCCGAGATGTCATCGTCGTCATCGTCGTCGTCATCAAGAAAATCCAAGTCGATCGCAGGCGCGTCCACCTGGAGCTTCTTCTTCTCTTCACGGACAACCTCCTTCTCCTCGGTCTTGACGTCGACCTTGGCTTCCACTTTGACGCTCTTGGCTTCCACCTTGACGCTCTCCTTGGTGTCAGTCTTGACAACCTCCTCCGTCTCGCGCCGCGACTCGGACACCTGGGCGTCACGCTTGTCGTCGCGCTTGTCCCGGTCGTCGCGCTTGTCCCGGTCGTCGCGCTTGTCCCGGTCATCACGCTTGACATCACGCTTGTCTCTGTCATCACGCTTGCCATCACGCTTCTCGCGTTCATCACGCTTGTCGTCACGCTTGTCACGGGACCGGCCGCGACGGCTACGGCTGCGGCTGCGGCTGCGGCTACGGTAGCGAGACTTGCGGTCGCGACTGCGGCTGCGATGACGGTCGCGGCTGTGTCGGCTGCTCTTGCGGCGATCGTCCGAGTCGGCGGCCTTGTCCTTCTTGTCGTCGTCGTGGTGCGGACGACCGCCAAACGAAGGAGGCCCGCGCATCATCCACGGCGGCGGCGGCCCGTTGTAGTATTCGCCGTAGAACGGAGCGCCACGAGGCGGCGCACCGCGGGGTGGCGGGCCGCGCATTCCGTACGGTGGCCGGGGGCCGTTGAACCACGGCGCGTGGCCACCGTCGTACCAAGGACCCGGCGGCGGGTGCCCTTCGTGCCACGGCATCATCGGCGGACGGGCGCCCCACGGCTGCATGTGCGGTGGCGGCCCGTGGCCAGAGGTCGCCGCTTCCTCCGTCTTGGTGGCCTCGGACATGGCGGGCTTCTCGTCATTGGTATTGTCTTCGGCCGCGGGCGCCTCGGGGGCTGGCGCCTCGTCGTCGTCGGGTTTCGTCGAGATGTCAATCGTGTCGTAGACGTCGCCGCCAAAGCCGTCGTCTTCCTCCTCCTCTTCCTTTTGCTTCTTGGCAATGTCGAGGATCGCATCGGCGGTCGGGCCCGCGCGCTTCGCGGCCTGAACTTCCTCGAGCTGCTTGCGCTTCGACTGCTCCTCGACCTCTTTTACGATCTTCTCGCGCTCTTGCTGCTCCGTCTGCGATCGCCGCAGGAACTCGTCGACCGACGTCCGCGTCGCCTTGTTGGGCAGTAGCTACAAAAATCTGTATCCGATTGTCCGATCCAAGATGCACGCTACCTGCTCGGGGGTCATGTTGGCGTGGTGGCACAACGGACACTCAAAGTTGTGTCGAATGAGGCGGTCGCGGATGCACTCGTCGCACGCCGTCTAGTCACACGAGTCAGTCGTGAGATCACTGGGAATCGACGCACGTCATTGCAGCAAGGAATCAACGCGGCGTCCTGGAGGAGGCGCTTGCAGAGCGGACACGCGAGGTGCTCGGGCGGGTTCATGCGCAGCTGCTCGAGTGCGGCGCCGCCGCCGGAGAGCCCAATGAGCTTTGTAAAGTTGTGCGTCTGGGGGCCAATGACGGCAAGGCCGCCCTGGGGACCGTTCACGACCGTGATGCCGGCGCCGACAGCAACCTCTTCCGAGTCCTTGATCGGCTGCATGAACGTCTTGGGAATCCCCGTCTTCTTCGTGACCTTGTGCTTGTCAAAGTTCGGGTCGCCGTTCGTGGGACAGTTTTGGATAAAGTGGCCGGGCACGGCGCAGCGAAAGCAGAGGTAGTCGCGCGGCGGCGTCTGGTTGACGCCCATGTCCCCGCGACCGCCCATCATGCCGCGACCGCCAGGCATACCGCGGCCACCAAGCGCATCGCCGCGGCCCCCGCGGCCGCCCATCGAGCCATAGTAGTTGCCGACGCGGTGGGCATTGCTGCCGCCCGCGGCCGTCCACGTCTTGTTGCCAAGGCGCGTGTTACGCACCTCTTCTGCTTCTTGCTGGATCATGTCGAGCGCTTGGAGTTCATCTTCGACGGTCTCGGCGCCGCCAACGTTGAGAAGCGTGGGCTCGGCGGCGTCGGGGCGTGCGAGCTACGTGCTGTCTCGTTAGCTTGAAGCGAGGAATCGGAGAGTACCAGTTGGGGCGAGACCGTCGGAAGCAGAGGCGGCGGGGCTCTACGGGGCAGAATCGTGCGTGAAACACTCTCCAACGACGATCAACAGCATGCAGGAATGTATAGGAGGACGAGGACGCAGAGGCGTAGAAAGAACGATATTAACAACGACCATGCTCGTCCTCAATGTGCAGCCAGAAGACGCAGAAAGATGCAGAAAGGGTACGCACGAGGCCTGGAGCTCCGCCTTGATGCGCGCGAGGAGGCCGTTGTTGTTCTTCGCCGGCACGCGCTTGACGATGACGCTCGTGTTCTTTGGCAGCTGCTGGTTGTCGTCTTCGTAGACTACAAGAGCAGCGGCGTCAGCGCCCGACATGGCCGTCGCCGCCAAGGTACCCGTGTTGTTGGAGGCGTCCGTGATCACGAGCTCGAGGTCGAGGCCCTTGTTGAGCTTCTTCTGCTCGATGATGGCCTTCTTGAGGTCGATGACCCGGATCGCGGTCCCCGGGAAGTTGACCGTCCCGAACTCCTTCTCCGACTTGAACTTGAAATGCACCGACATGGCAAATTCGCGACTACTTCACCACACAACGGCCGGCATCGAGTTTCCGAGGTCCACTATGCGTTTGTAGAGACTTGTACACCGGGTGCAGGCAAGAATCTGTGTTTCCTCCTCTGTGCCCCGGGGTCCGGCGACCGCGTGATGGGAGAGCCCGCGTGGTTGCGATGGCCTAGTACCGTCCTGACACGAGTCGCAGTCTGGCGCTCGATTCACGAGGTCCGCGCTGGAGCTTCTACATTTAAATTTCGCGCTTTTTGGGCAAGCCATCCGGGAACGATGCTTCTGGAACGATCGCCACGGCCATCGGAGCTCGAGATAGGCGGGGCCATTTTCAGCACTAGTCAAGTTACTATTGTACCCGTGTTGAAGTCGCGAGGACTGGACACTGGCGCACTCGTGACCACCATCAAGGGATCAATATATGTTTTAGATGTACAGCTCCCTTTTGGACCGTTCGCGCACGTCAGTGGGAAAGCCTCGACTAGCGGTCGGTCAAAACACGAATTGATGGCCTTTATGGGCGTTGGAGTCGAAGGAGCTCGTAGTCGTCTTCGAATCGGGCCGTGATCAGGGTCTTCGGCACCATTTCTACTTGACGACTGATGCTCGAGGCGACTCGAAACGGTTATGGCGCACGTCCAGCGGCATGGCCCCGAAAGACGTCGTCTTCCCACGCGCATTGCATGAAGATCGGTTTGAGGTGCATGCCAACTGCTAATACCTAGGCGCTCTACTTGCGTTTGGACCGTCCATCGATCTCCGATTTGCACCCTTTCCGACGCCCACGAAACGCCACATGTCCCGCGGGATGCACGCCGTACCACAACAATGTGTGCACGTTCCAACGGGCCATATTATTATCCTAACAACCCTACTCCTCCCACCGCCCACGGCACCAACTAGGTAGTGAATCCCGGGTCCCACTGAATCCCGAGGCTTGGCGCAATGGTGCACGGTGCCGCCGTGTCCCAGCATACGTGGCAGCGTCTTGCGCAGCCTGCGGCAGCGACGGCTCCAAGCGACGGCCTGCAAAGGCCAGGGCACGTAGGACGCAATGCGGTGGGTCGCCCATGCTTTCTTGTCGGGCGCCTCCGACGGCAAGACATGGAAGCATCCGTAACGAGTCACGATCTTCAACGATTGCGCATCGGTATCCGGATGAATCCCTGGACATCCGAGGGAAGAAGATGTGGTGGCATTTCCAAATCGCACCCGGACCAGCATGATGCAGTGGCGCCGAAGCCTCGCGCGAGCCATGAGCTCGACGACCAAGAAGGAGGTCAAGATCAACAAGTACTCGGCGATCCTCACGGAGCACAAGAGCCGCGGCGCAGCGCAGGCCATGCTGTACGCGACCGGCATCAAGGAAGGCGACATCACCAAGCCGCAGGTCGGCATTGCGAGCATGTGGTGGGAAGGCAACCCGTGCAACATGCATCTGCTGGACCTCGCGATGGAAATCAAAAAGGGCGTCCAGGAGCAAGACCTTGTGGGCTTGCGCTTCAACACGATCGGCGTCAGCGACGTTATCGCGCAGTACGACGTCCGATCCTCTTCCTCGCGCACACTCATGCGAGCCATCGCGTAGGGGTACGGCCGGTATGTCGTTCAGTCTGCCGTCGCGCGACCTCATTGCCGACTCGATCGAGACGGTCATGGGCGGCCAGTGGTACGACGCCAACATCCTCGTGCCCGGCTGCGACAAGAACATGCCGGGCTGCCTCATCGCGATGGCGCGCCACAACCGCCCGTCGCTCATCGTTTACGGCGGCACCATCCGCGCTGGCTGCCGCAACGGACAGACCATCGATGCTCTCTCGGCCTTCGAAGGCTACGGCGAGTACTTGGCCAACCGGTACTACGTCTAGCCATATCCACGCTGCTTCCTCATCCGTTGGCGATGGTGTAGTATCACGGACGACGACCGCAAGGATATCATTCGCAAGGCGTGCCCGGGTCCTGGCGCTTGCGGCGGCATGTACACGGCCAACACCATGGCGACGGCGATCGAAGTGCTCGGCCTCTCGCTCCCGTACTCGTCGAGCTACCCGGCCGAGTCGCCCGAGAAGATGCAAGAGTGTCGTGATGCTGGCAAGGCGATTCGGTACCTCCTCGAGCACGACATCAAGCCCCGCGACATTCTTACCCGCAAGGCTTTTGAGAACGCGATTGTGCGTCGATACCTTGCCAAGATGTGGATCTGAGCGTGCGAGTAGGCGGTGACGATGGCCCTCGGTGGCTCGACGAACGCAGTCTTGCACTTGATTGCGGTCGCCCGCGCGGCCGGCGTGCCGCTGACGATCGACGACTTTGACGCGATTGGCGAGCGCACGCCGTACATTGCGGACCTCAAGCCGAGTGGCAAGTTTGTTATGGAAGATTTGCACAAGTACGATTAAACGCGAGCACAGACGGGACCTCAGCATGGTTTTGTAGCGTTGGCGGCATCCCCGCGGTGGTCAAGTACCTCCTCGAGAAGGATCTGCTCCAAGGCGACGCGCTCACCGTCACGGGCAAGACGCTCGCCGAGAACGTCGCGAACCTCCCGAGCCTCTCGGACAACGGCCGCATCATCCACGCGGTCGAGACACCCATCAAGGCCTCGGGCCACATCCGCGTGCTGCGGGGCAACGTCGCGCCGGAGGGCGCTGTGGCCAAGATCACGGGCATGGAAGGTCTCCACTTCAAGGGTATTTGCAAGGTACGGTGCCCGATTGTTTCCAGCCGTAGTCAGCGTATGTACAGGTCTTTGACAACGAAGAAGACATGCTCAAGGCGCTCGAAGACGGCGAAATCACCAAGGGCACGGTGATTGTGATTCGCTACGAAGGTCCCAAGGGCGGGCCGGGCATGCCCGAGATGCGTACGATGCGACGAGCTCTCGAAGCGACGAGGTGCTGATGCTATTACGATGGATAGTCACATGCACGTCGGCGCTCTTTGGGGCTGGCCTCGCCAACGATGTCGCCATGCTGACGGACGGCCGCTTCTCGGGTGGCTCCCACGGTAGAGCTGACGGCGCAGGATCTTGAGAGCAAACAGCGATGTAGGCTTTATCATTGGCCACATTACGCCCGAGGCCCAAGTCGGTGGGCCCATTGCGCTGCTTCAGAACGGTGACGTGGTCACGATCGACGCTGTCAGCAACCGCGTCGACGTCGACTTGACGGAGAAGGAGCTCGCGGACCGCGCCAAGGAATGGCGCGCGCCGCCGCTCAAGGTCAACCGCGGCGTGCTCTACAAGTACATCCAGAACGTGTCGTCGGCGTCCCATGGCTGCGTCACGGACGAGTAAGATGCATGTATTAGTAGTATGTAGTAGCGGCATATTGCCATGGACCGCCTGAGTATAATATGGGTTTGACCGACTTCTCGCACGCACGGAATATTGAGCGCTCCCTCCATCGCTGTCCAGGATCCACGCAGTAGATGCAAGCAATTTTACCCATGCACTAGCTTGAAAGCCTTAATGTGTTGGTACAGTCCTCGTCGCGCGCAGGTGGGCTGTGCAAGCTCTGTCTACTTTCCTAGTTCTAGGGCTAAGGAATCTCCGTTGGTCTGCTTCGGTTGCGAGACCCAACTCGAAGGCGTGATTACAAACCCAATTTCCAGTGGTGGCGACGCCCATGCGGCGGCCATCGCCACAAGCGCGAGCACCGAGAGCACATGGCGGTGGCGCTGTTTGGGCAATCACGTCGGCGCCATGAGAATAAGATCTTGTTTGTGCAACCACGTTGCAGTGTCTGGCCGATCCGGATACGCAGGAGCCAATGAAACGGCCGGACGGGGCATCCTTGGATACGGACCACAATTCAACTTTAGCCACCGACGCAAGATGTGGAAGACACTGCGCCCGGTAGCCCGCGCCATGAGCACGACGGCCAAGAAGGAGGTCAAGATCAACAAGTACTCGGCGATCCTCACGGAGCACAAGAGCCGCGGCGCGGCGCAGGCCATGCTGTACGCGACCGGCATCAAGGAGGAAGACATCACGAACGCGCAGGTCGGCATTGCGAGCATGTGGTGGGAAGGCAACCCATGCAACATGCATTTGCTGGACCTCGCCGGCGCCATCAAGAGCGGCGTTGAGGCCGAAGGCCTCGTGGGCCTGCGCTTCAACACGATCGGCGTCAGCGACGGCATTAGCATGTACGGTGTAATCATTTTATCGCTTCTTGTCGCTCATGCAGCGACCATAGGGGCACGGACGGCATGTGCTACAGTCTCCAGTCGCGCGACCTCATCGCGGACTCGATCGAGACGGTCATGGGCGGCCAGTGGTACGATGGCAACATTTGCATCCCGGGCTGCGACAAGAACATGCCGGGCGCGCTCATCGCGATGGCCCGCCACAACCGCCCGTCCATGATCGTGTACGGCGGCACCATCCGCGCCGGCTGCGGCGCCAACAACGAGAAGCTCGACATTGTCTCCGCCTTCCAGTCGTACGGACAGTACATTGCCAAGAGCATTACGGAGGACGAGCGCAAGGACATCCTCCGCAAGGCGTGTCCGGGTCCTGGCGCTTGCGGCGGCATGTACACGGCCAACACCATGGCCACAGCGATCGAAGTGCTCGGCCTCTCGCTCCCGTACTCGTCGAGCTACCCGGCCGAGTCGCCCGAGAAGATGCAAGAGTGCCGTGATGCTGGCAAGGCGATTCGGTACCTCCTCGAGCACGACATCAAGCCCCGCGACATCATGACGCGGGCGGCCTTTGAGAACGCGATTGTGCGTCTATACCTTGCCAATATGTGGATCTGAGCGTGCGAGTAGGCGGTGACGATGGCCCTCGGTGGCTCGACGAACGCAGTCTTGCACTTGATTGCGGTCGCCCGCGCGGCCGGCGTGCCGCTGACGATCGACGACTTTGAGGTCATCAGCGAGAAGGTTCCGTTCCTCGCCGACCTCAAGCCCAGCGGCAAATACGTCATGGAAGATCTGCACAAGTACGTTCCTTGTCGATCGTGCCCATAGGCTCAAGTATTGCGGCGCGATTAGGGTCGGCGGCATTCCCGCCGTGTGCAAGTACCTCCTGGAGAAGGGCATTCTGACCGGCGACGTGCTTACGATCACGGGCAAGACGCTGGCCGAGAACGTCGCCAACGTCCCAGGTCTCTCGGACAACCACACGATCATCCACCCGGTCGAGTCGCCCATCAAGGCGTCGGGCCACATCCGCATCCTGCGCGGCAACATGGCGCCCGAAGGCTCTGTCGCCAAGATCACGGGCAAGGAAGGGCTCCACTTCAAGGGCGAGGCGCGCGTCTACGACTGCGAAGAAGACATGTTGAAAGCGCTCGAGGACGGCGACATCACAAAGGGCCACGTCATCATCATTCGCTACGAAGGCCCGAAGGGCGGCCCGGGCATGCCCGAGATGCGTACGTTGTCGTCCAAGTGGTTGGAGAACTCATGGGTTTCGACTAGTCACGTGCACGTCGGCCATCATGGGTGCTGGTCTCGGCAGCGACGTTGCCATGCTCACAGACGGTCGCTTCTCGGGTGGCTCCCACGGTACGTCGACGACCATCTCCAAGCCGGAAGGCTCATGGTGGCCCTCCAGGCTTTATCATTGGGCACATTACGCCCGAGGCCCAGGTCGGCGGCCCCATTGCGCTCGTCCAGTCGGGCGACATTGTCGAAATCGACGCGGTCCAGAACCGCATCGACATCACCGGCGTCTCAGACGACGAGATGGCGCTGCGGGCAAAGGCGTGGCGCGCGCCGCCGCTCAAGGCCACGCGCGGCACGCTCTACAAGTACATCAAGAACGTCTCGTCGGCGTCGCTGGGCTGCGTCACGGACGAGTAAGCACCGTATATAACGCGTTGAACTATCTAGTTGCTTGGGGTGTCGACGATCCAGAGCCGCAGCACCATCTCGTGCGGCGCGGCTTCGTCCGGAATCCACTCGGACGCCACTTGAATGTCTTTTCGCAGCTGCATGAGCCGCGTGAGTAGTCTAGCGTCGAGTGAGTTGTAGAAACGCGCCGAATCCGTCGTACGTAACGAAGCGGTTGCCGACGTCGGCCTGGAGCTTGGTGATCTCGAGGGCGCGCGCGCGGAGGTCAGCCGACGTCTTCCCATCGAGGAGGTGGCCGATCCACGTGAGGCAGAACGAAAACTTCTTGAGGCTCATCTTGCAAATGTCATGGCTACGACGAGGCTCCGAGCCACACATTTAAGAGAGAGCACGCACCGCAGCAAGTCGAGGAGCTCGTCTTCCGGCTCCAGGCGCGGGTACTGCGACAGCATGCGCTGGAGCACGCGGTCAAAGAGCTCTTCGTCGTGGTCGTGGCCGTGCACGCCGTACGCGTAGCACTTGTCGCAGAGCTCGACGTGGGCGCAGCTCCGGCAGACCCACTTGGGTCCAACAATGGGGCTGCGCTGGCAGCCGTCGCACGTCGCCTTCTCGTGCACGAACCGGGTCGGTGTGCGCTGCGGCGTCGACGACCGGGAGCTCAAGCCCATGAGCTTCTTCGCTTTGGACGAGAGCGAGTTGAAGCGGGTTGGGTGGTGGGCGGCGTCCGGCGACGGCTCGCCACTGACAACGTACGGACTCGTCGGGTGGTTCATCATGGCGCTCGTCGACCCACCAGAGACGCGGTTCATCGGTGGCGTCGGCGGTGCTTGGAGCGCGCGCGAGACAAAGTACGGCTTGGTCGGATGCAACTCTCGTGGTCCGTGGAGCACCGCGATGGACGCGTCGCCCGAGTCGTGGAGGCTAAAGAGGTGGTCGGCGCCATACGGGTTGGGCTTGGACTGCGACGAGATGCGCTCGCGCGGACTTGGGAGGATGTCGTGGAGCGACGCGGCGGTGCTTCGGCGCTCGTGTTCGTCGTCGTGCTCGGAAACGATGCGGGCGTCCGTCACGATCGACCGGCGCATGCGAGTGTACACCTGGACCTGCCGGCCGTGACGCGAAAGCACAGGCATCAAGCTCACGAGGAGGCCGTCGAGGGCCTCTGGCGGCAAGTTGGGTAGCACCTCGTCGATATTCACATGCGCACCACCGACGATGGGCTCGATCATCTTTAGCAGCTGCGACCGCACTGGCGGCGGTAGCTTGTTGAGCTCCCGGTAAAGCGCCGACGTATCATTGCCGTCGTCGTCGTCGTGGGCCATCGGCGTCGTGTACAGGATCCATCCCTTCTCCATCTCGGAGGACCGTTGGAGCGAAGGCCGGTCTGTGATGGGCGGCGCTGCCTTGACTTGGACGTCGACGCTTGACAGCGTTGCACGCCGGATGTCGTCGAGCTCGCCGTGCACCTGACGCAGCCGCTCGCGTGCTTGCCGAAGGTTGTTGCTATGGACATTGATGTCGTGGTCCTTCAACGCCATCAGCTGCGTAAGATGCGCGTTCTCTTTCTGCGCTGCGAGCAGCTGCGTCCGAAGCAGTTCGTTCAGCCGCGTCGAGGAGCTCGCAGCGTGCGTCGATGGAGGCTTCACCTTCTCTTGTCGCTGTTCTGAGCGCTTCCGTGCGTCTTGGGCAACGTCGAGCATGGCACGCAGCGCCGTGGCTTCGCTTGCCCTCACCGCAAGCTCCCGCTTTAGGTGCGCGACTTCGGTCTCGAGGCTCTGCGCTGCGTGCTGCGTCGCAACCAGCAGCTGATGAGACGACGAGAGCGATGCTACCTGCTTGCGCAGCGCCTCGATCTCTTGCCGGTGCTCGACCTTGGCGGCCATGGGCCCATGGTGGTCCATGACACGAAATCCTCAACGAAATGACGGCGCCGTCCAGGACTTGGCCTCGGCCTTTTTTAAATTAGGCTATAACGCCCTACAATTAGGGGCACGCGTCCTTGTTAACTGGTAGCTCTAATTTGAAGTCAATGACGTGGCGCGCGGAGTCGTCTGCACGCGACGCGCACGACGCATCACAAGGTCGATGTCTTTGGCAGACAGTTTTGCTTGAGCCCCAGTAAATTGAGACTAGCGCCTCTCAATCTGCTACTACTTGTCGATTGGAATAAGCCCGACGACAAGAGATGTACAACTCGTTCCGTTGGATTCGAAGCGAAGGGGCAGCATCGCAGCGGAAGAGTCCGAGACGCCTCTGTGGAGGCGACCAATGTCCGCCGGATGCATGCTTCAGTTCGCAGGTGTGACGTAGTGCCCATAGAGCTCATTGTGTAGCTTGACGGACATACCAACACCGGCCTTGGCTGCTTCGGAGCCGCAAAGGGTACTCCTCGTCAATCCTGCACGCTATCCGGATTCTCACCGGATACCGTGGCGCCATTCGGTGGCACAAAAGACATGGACGAGCGCTTGGCCGTGGTGCACGTGGAGGCGACGCAAGTCGACCGGTTCCGCACCAGAATCAACGCTCTGGGCGGCGCTACCGTCGCCTCTGTCGCACCACCGCTTCTCTATGTGCGCTACGCAGCGGCCCAGTGGCCATTGCTCCAGGATCTCTGCTGCGCTGGGCGCATCGCCGCCCACCGCGTGTACGAAGTCGACGCGACGTGCCGGGACCCTGGCTGGATTCCATACAGTGCAGCGATGCAATCGACGCGACGTGCGACCTTTCGTGTGGTTGCGTACCCGAGCTCCCTCCAAAGTGGCCTCGTCGCTCTCCTCGCTGAGCAAGGCATCGCGACGGACCCCAAGCGCTACACCCACGAGCTCCACGCCGTGCACGACGCACCGGTCTTCCGCTTTGGTGTCGTGCCGCGCCGAGTCATTGCGGAGGCTCCGCTGGCGGATGCGGTGCCGTGCCGGGCCTACCACAAACTTGCCGAGGCGCTTCTCGACCAGACGCCGTTTCCGACTGGCTACCGAGCGATCGACATTGGCGCGTCACCGGTGCGTCTTGCATCAGCCGACGAGCCACTCTTCACCTATTGAGTACTAGGGTGGTTGGACCGAGTTCTTGTCGTCGGCGGGAGCGGCTGTCGTCGCCGTGGACCCCGGCGAGCTCACGGTGGCGCACCCGAACGTACTGCATTTGCCACTGCTCCTCGAGCATGCGCTCGACCAGATTGCGGCCATGGACAAGTTTCACGTGTGCGTGTGTGATATCAATATTCGCCCGCAGCTCATGGCCTCGCTGATTGCGTCGGTGGCGCCGCATTTGCATCCGCACGCAATCGTCGTGCTCACGCTCAAGCTCAGCAAGCGCCCGACTGACGCTGCCGTCGACCAAGCGATCCACGACGTCTGCCTTGCCCTCGACGACGAGTTTGAGCACTTTCGCATCGAGTGGCTCCACGCCAACACGGTCAACGAGCGCACGCTCTTTGCCCGAAAGAAAGCGATCGCCGACGACCGATCCGCGGGCGACCTGGCCGCGCACTAGCGCAGTACGCGCCGACATATATATTACATGTGCATGCCCCAGAGCCGACGCCCAAATGACTTGTGAGCACACTCGCACCTCTGTTGGATCGCAACAAATAAGTGACCGTTATCCGGTGGGCGGTGGTATCCGGATGTTGGGCATTTGTGGGACGCAAGCCCAGACGAGTGAGCAGGAGCATGCAAGAGTCCATGCGCGAGTCACTCCGAGCGCAGAATAGCGCGTCCGCCTGCGCGGAGATGCAGAAGGCGATCGCTATGGGAAGCTTGAAGCTCAAGAGCGACCTCAAGCGCTCGAGTGCGTTCGTGAAGAAGCTCAAGGTACTCACGGACGCCAACGTCGCCGCCTGCCTCAAGGACGTGGCCGAGCTCAATCTAACGCGGTACTTGAGCGAGTGCGTCGGCGCCCTCGTTGAGGCCATCGTGACGCTGAAGCCGAGCGAAGTGGGCTCGCACGTCCAAGTCATCAGCGCGCTGCACCAGCGGTATGGCACCAGCGACCTCACGGACCCCCTGATCGCCGCGTACGTCACGGCGGCGTTCAACCCGCCGAATCCGCCCGCAGACGCCGCTGCCAAGCAAAAGCACAGCAAACGGCGCCTTGTCACGTTGCGTGTGCTCACGGAGCTCTACCTCGTGCAAGTGCTTGTGGACATCCAAGTCATCTTTGGCATCCTCCAGCGCGTCGTCGCGCGCGAAGACCCAAACGCCAAGGCTGCTGCCAAGAAAGGCGCGCCGTCGGCCAAGGCGCCGCCGCTCGACGTGACGCTGCTGGTGAGCTTTGCCAAGTACGCCGGCGCCGAGTTCCTCGGGCCAGGCATGTCGGTGCTCGTGCCGCAAACGATGCAGAACCAGTTCCGCAGCGTGTTGGACCAAGCCTTTGAGCTCATCGGCGGCATGTACATTGCGCAGCACCAGACGGTCCGTAAGCTCGAGAAGCGCAACTTGAAGGAGGAGGCGAACCGCGGCGAGCTCAGTGAGGAGCACGCGGCCGAGTTTGCGGCGGCGACAACGCTCTGCGAAAAGCTTACGTCGAGCATCACGACGCTCTCCGAGGCGCTGCAGAAGCCCGTGCCGGCGCTGCCCGTCGACACCTCGGACGACAATGCGCTCTCGCAACTGCTCGTGTGGGACGGCAACGAGGGCCGCGCCGAGCTCCACGCGGACGGTCCGTTCGACGACGAGGACACGCGTTCGTTTTACGAAGACCTCCCGGACCTCCTCGAGCTCGTGCCCGCGGTGGTGCTCGGTCTCTCGGAGGCCGAAGTCGCTGAACTCAAGGCCAAGAAGGCGGCGCCGCCAGTTGAAGAAGCCGATGAGTCACCAGCCGACGAGCCGGATGCGGACGCGGCGGTGGAAGACATGGTCGACGCGACCGAAGCCGCTGGCGATGACGCACCGGCGCCGGCGCCGACCGTGGATGACGAGAGCGAGAAACCGAAAGACGCCAAGGCCGTCTCGTACCACCACCAGATGGACGCGTACTTTGCGACGCTCGAAGACATGGTGAACCGCGACCGGTGCGACAAGGCAGCCGTTGCGTTCTGCTACACCAACTCGAAGGCGGCGCGTGCTCGGTAAGCTGACGCTGTGACAACAGCAAGCTCGACCACTTTGCATAGGCTGGTGCAGACACTCTTCAGCGTGCCCCGAACGCATCTGGAGCTCCTCGCGTACTACTCGCGCCTCGCCGCGACGCTGAACGGCGTGCTCAAGGACAACATTGGCGGCAGCCTCGTGAAAATGCTTGTGCAAGAGTTCAACTACTTTCAAAAGAAGAAGAACCAGTACCGGCTCGAGTCCAAGGTCAAGAACATCCGGTTCCTCGGCGAGCTCACCAAGTTCAAGCTGTGCCCGCCCAACACGGGCTTTCGCTGCCTCCAGCGGCTCTTTGCCGACTTCCAGGGCCACAACGTCGTGCTTGCCACCACGTTTCTCGAAACCTGCGGGCGGTACCTCTACTGCAACAAGTACACGCACGCGCGCACGGCCATGAGCCTCGACATTATGATGCGCCTCAAGACAGCCAAGCACCTCGACCCGCTCGCGGAAACGCTCGTCATGAACGCCTACTACATGTGCAAGCCGCCCGAGCGGGTCGCGCGCGTCAAGGCGCCGAAAGACCCGGTGTACCTCTTCATTCTCTCGCGCCTCGCGACGCTGCGGCCGGACGGTGTCGGGCGTGTCGTCCGCGTCTGCCGCAAGCTCAACTGGGACGACCCCGTGGTGGTGCAGTACGTCGTCAAGGCCGTGCTGCATGTCGCCAAGTCCCAAGTGCTCCAGCTGAGCCTCGTCTGCGACGTGGTCGCGGGCCTTGCGCGGTACGCAGCGTATGCAACTGATTTTTGTGTTTTAACGCTGCGTAGCATGCACGAAGAGCTAGGTGTGCACCTTGTGGACACGACGATCGAGATGCTTCGTTTCCTCTTGACGCTCAACAGCTACAAGTACCACCAGCGCTGCCTCGGTCTCATCAAGCTCCTCGGCGAGCTCTACACGCACGGGCTGGTCAACTCGGTCGTCATCTTTGAGACGCTCTACTGGCTGCTGCAGCACGGCCACGACACGACGGCGGGCCCGATGGAGACGCCGCTGCCGGACGACGCGCTGCGTCGCCTCGAGCTCGTGCCCGATATGAAGTAGCTTCTGTGACGTTTCTTGGTCCAGTGCCAATGCATCTCGTCGTCGTAGGTACGACCCGCGCGTGCCGAGCGAGGTGGACGACGACCGCAACGTCTTTCGCATTCGCCTCATGTGCGCGCTCTTGGAGACGTGCGGCCAATCGTTCGACCGCGGTGTGACTCGGAAGAAGCTGGACCGGTTCCTCGTCTTCTTCCAGCACTACTGCCTCGCCAAAGCCGAGATCCCCCTCGAAACGGAGTTTGTCGTGCTGGACTTGCTCGAGCTCTTGCACCCGAAAGGTACCACCGGTGTGTGCTGCTCGAAAACTGACGTCTCGTTGCAGAAAAACCGCTGCGCTTTGCGACGTTTGCCGAGGCCGACGCTGCCGTCCAAGCCATCTTCGCGCTGGAGCTCCAGGTCGCAGAGCGCACGCAGGCCAAGAACGGTGTGCTGGCTTCCAAGGGGGCCATCATGTCGATTGCCGAGGACGACGACGACGACGAGAACGAAAACAACGAGAACGAAGACGACGAGAGCGGCGACGAGAGCGACGGCGATCTGGACGAGCATCGCGACGATGCGCCCGAGAGTGGCGAGAGCGAGAGCGGTGAGAGTGCCGAGAGTGAGAGTGAGAGCGAAGACGAGCAGATCATTGTCAAGCACCAGCAGCCCGTGACGACACCGGAGGACGACGAGTTTGACAAGGCTTTTCGCGCGCTCATGCTCGGCGGCTCGGACGCGCGCAAGCTCGGACCGCGCGGCAATGCCGACAAGATGGCGATTCCGACCGTCGTCAAGACGACGCACCACCTCGAGACCCCGAAGGACGACTCGTCCGTGGTGTTTCGTCTCCTCAAGCGCGGCAACAAGGGCAAGCTCGAGGCCCGCGAGATCCTCGTGCCGCAAGAGACGTCGCTTGCGCAGCACAGCCAGCGCCAGGAAGCGTCCGGGAAGAAGGAGCAATCGGAGCTCAAGCGTCTCGTGCTCTTGAACGTCGAGCGCGACGAGCTCCTCGCGCAGGACGAAGCGCTCGCGTCACCGACGCACACACCCAACCCGACGCAGCAGTACCACGAGAGCCGCCGGCGCCAGCAGCAGCAGCGCCGGGACGGCGACCAGTCGTACATGTATGCCAACGCCCACGGGCGCGGCGCGACGTGGGACTCGCTCGAGTCGTTCCTTGGCGGCAACCGCAACACGGGACCTCCTGTGCAGATTCTGCGTCCGCGCGGGCAGCAGGGCGGTCGCGGCCGCGGCAGATAAGAGGCGAGTGGATCCTGCTACTATCGTTCGTCCACGCACGTCGACGCTGCGGAAGGAGGCGGCTCGCCGGCGCAGAAACATCGCCCTCGGAGAAGACCGAGCCGCAACGCGTAGGTATCAACTACTGTAATGCATTCTTCTTTACATGAGCCTGCACACTTGCGACGTGACGTCGAGCGACTTGATCGCCGCGGCCTGGACGCGAGTTTTGAGCTTGAGGTACTTGTCTGGTCGTTCGTCCAGAAGTGCTTTCTTCTCGCGCTCCAAGTGCACGATGGTGTCTTTGAGCTCGAGCTTCTCGTCGTCGGCGCGCCGAGCCGCGGCCTCGAGGTCGTTGTTGATGTCGGTCATGTGTTTGATCTCGGCCGCGTGCTCTACGCAAGAGGCAGCGCAATTCGATCGCAGAAGGCGCACCTTTGAGGCGCTGGAGAATCCAGAGCACGAGGCGAGAGTTGTCGCGGAGGGACTCTGGGATTTGCGCCAGGTCTTTGTTGCCGTCGCAGGCGAGTGTCGTGAGGCGCGGGCAGTCGCTGAGCACGGGCGGGAGGCTCACGAGCTGGTTGTTGCGCACATCGATGGTCTGAATTTCCGGCAGCTTGCGCATCTCGATCGGAAGCGTCTTGAGGTTGTTTTCGCTCGCGTCGAGGAGCTCAAGGCGCTGGCAGCCTTGGATCCCTGCACAGGATATTGAGTCGAGGACGCTGGATACAAGGAACACCTTTGGGTATTGCTTTGAGGTAGTTGTGCTGCACATGCAGATGCAGCAGCTGAGCACAGTGCCCGATCTCGTCGGGCAGCGTCGTGAGGCGGTTCGAGGCCGCGTTGAGGACGCGGAGTAGCACGAGATTGCCGAGCATTGGCGGCAGCTCCAGAATCTGGTTGCCCTCGACGTTGAGCACGAGAAGGCGTTGGCCCTGCGTCCAGATGACGTCATCGAGGCGAATCCACGTGCCATGGCTTAGGTGGATCTCGCCGTTCGCGTCCGCGTGGAGCGCTGGCTCGTCGTCCAGATCTTCCATCGTGGCTCTTCAAAGCAAAGTTCAAGTTGCACTTGCATCGGAACCTCGCGCATGCAAACGCGTATGCGCCAGATTCCATACAAATATACAGTTACGTAAAACGTGTGACATTGGATTTGTGAGTCAGATTCGGAGGCCCAAGCGCACGCGGCGATGCTCTTTCAGGATGTTTAGGATGTGATCGCCTAAACTTCGCCTGGGATTAGGCCAAGGGGGTAAATTAATCATGAAAGAGCTTGTGAAGGACATGAAGTTGGCGGCAACTTCAACCACACCTGCAAGAAGGGCACCCAATACGCTTACCGCGCACATGGGACTCGAAGCAACGCTGGAGGTGGCCTTCAACGCTGTGTTGAACATGTCCGATAAATGTCGACTTCAGGGCGCTGCGTATTCCACACGGCTGGGGAAGAAGCAAATCGTGGCTTATGTGGCGGTAAGGTAATCATCGCCGTCAGCAGATGGTCGCGCTGCTGTGGTTGCGCCGAGCGCCACATCCCTGATGGCGTGCTTGAATTAGGACATGCGCAGAAATCAAGAGGTCTCAATTGGTTAATTCTCTCAGCATCGTCCTATTTCGAGATCCCAAGAACCACTTTCGCCACTCAGGCCATCATGCTTCGCCTCAAGTCGCTGGTCCAGAAGCCTGCGCTGCGGCGATGGACGTCGTCTGCCACCTCTTGTCATGCTGGCGCGTTGCCGGCGGCCAGCAGCGAGCACGTGAAGCAATGGTCGCCTGCGCTCCTCGCGTCCGGCCTCGGGCTCCTCGGGCTGTCGTACATGCTTTCGGACGCGACGCACCTCGAGGCCGCCCTCGCCAAAGACGAAGATGACGCGCCCGCCATCGTTCCTGGCCTTTACAAGGAAGAGTTTCCGACGTACTCGCTCGCTGACGTCGCGACGCATGTTAGCGCCAAAACTGGTGGCATCTGGGTCGTCTACAAGCACGGTGTGTACGACGCGACGGACTTTATCAGCGCGCACCCGGGCGGCACGAAGCTGCTGCTCGCGGCTGGCAAGTCCATCGAGCCGTTCTGGCAGATCTACGCGGCGCACAACCACGGCGATGTGCACAAGATCCTCGAGAGCCTTCGCGTCGGCAACCTCGCCGAGGCCGACGTCAAGGCGCTCGAGGACGAGCGCAAGAAAAAGTTTGGCGACGGCCCATACGCGAATGACCCGATGCGCCACCCCGCGATGAAGGTCAACTCGCACCAGCCGTTCAATGGCGAGCCGCCGGCCGAGCTCCTCATGCAGTCGTTCATCACACCCAACGACCTCTTCTTCGTGCGCAACCACCTGCCCGTGCCAGACGTGGACGCGGCGACGCACAAGCTCGAATTGTTTAGCCCTGGTCTGCGCACAGGTACATAGTAGTGCAGGACCAGCGGTAGTCGTGCTGACTACTTGGTGTAGACGACGGCCAGGATCGCATTGCGCTCTCGATCGAGGACCTCAAGACCAAGTTCAAGGAGCACCAAATCGTCACGACGATCCAATGCGCTGGCAACCGCCGCGCCGAGATGTCGCACATCAAGCAAGTCAACGGGCTCAGCTGGTACGCGACTGCTGCGAAAGGGGACGAGGAAGACATGCTTGCAACTTGTAGGGACACGACCGCGCTCTCGACGGCCAAGTGGACCGGGGTGCTTCTCTCGGACGTGCTGGCGTACTACGGCGTTTCCGACGACGACGGCGTCCTCGCGCACTGCCACCTCGAAGGCCTGGACCGTGACATCACCGGCCAGGCCTACGGCGCGTCCATTCCGCTCGCGACGGCGCTCGACAAGCGCAAGGAGGTGCTCTTAGCGTACGCGATGAACGACGAGCCGATCCCGCGCGACCACGGGCACCCGCTGCGGGCGATCGTGCCCGGCACCGTCGGCGCCCGCAACGTCAAGTTTCTCGGACGCATCGTCATCTCGGAGGACGAGTACGGTGGCTTTTGGCAGCAGAAGGACTACCGTGGGTTCCCGCCCAACGTCGATTACGCGACCGAGGACTTCCACCGGTACGCTGGCGCGTCGATCCAGGAACTGCCGGTGCAGTCGGCGATCACCGAGCCCAAGAGCGGTCGACCGTGGCCCCTCGACGGCTCCGACGAGGTCGATGTGCTCACGGTGAAAGGGTACGTAACGGGCTTGCCGCGATGATATGACTCCAGTGGCCTATAGGTATGCGTGGAGTGGCGGTGGTCGCAACATCCTTCGCGTCGATGTGTCGCTGGACGGAGGCCAGACATGGCAAGAAGCGACGCTTGCGCCCGAAGCCACGGCGCAGCGCTACAACCGCGCGTGGGCGTGGACGCCGTGGACGCTCGATGTCGATGTGGCCGACGACACGAAGGAGCTGCACATTGTGTGCAAAGCTATTGACTCGTCCTACAACGTGCAGCCCGACACGATCGCGCCGATCTGGAACATGCGTGGCGTGCTCAACAACGCGTGGCACCGCGTGCATGTGCCGATCGAGAAGCCTCCGCGGGCGCCAGAGGACGTGGATGCGTAGAGAGGAGCTAGCCTGCTAAGCTGTGGTATGTGTCTGCTTCTCTGTCCACCCACCTCGCCCTGCTCGCTGCGGGCGTGTAACATCACGCATCGCAAGTATTTCCGTTGCTTGTGGCGGCGCGAAGACGTAACTCGATTACAGCTCCGTGTCACGAGCTGGCTCCCGCGATGCTCGAAGCACCGCATGAGGTTGGCGACGACGCTTGCGCCGGCGGTGCTCAGGCCGCCATGTGGACGGGCGTCGTCGCCCGCGTCGCAGCGTGTCATGGACTCGCGACATGGGCGGCGCTGGATATTTCGCTGGCAGAGGCCAGTCGCCGAGCTGGTCTATCGGCGTTGTATCCGGATGCCATCCGGATACGGACATTACGCACCGTGTTTCGCTCTGGCGGCGAAGCTACTGTCTGATCTGCGCCTGGCATGACCTACGTCCAGCGCGCGTCGAGCTACCAGCCGCCCAAGTCGTCGCTCTCCGTGTGCTCGGACGCCGACTCGGACTACTATGCGGAGCTGCGCCACACGACGCCGGCCATGAACCCGCGCCTCAAGTCCAAAGTGCTCAGCCTCGAGGACCTCCGCGCGACGACCGCCGTCGACGACATGCCGTCGTTCCAGAGTGGGCCCGACGCGATCCCAATCCTCGAAGAGTCGGTCACATACGACGTCAACCTGCGCCAGAAGGGTGTCATCTACTCGGGCGTGTTGTACCGGCGGCGGCGCGGCCCCATGCAGCACTGGCTCGAGCGCTGGACGCTCAGCCACTTTGTGCTCACGTGGAACTGCCTCCGGTACTACAGCCAAAACGGCGAGAAGCTCCGCGGCGAGATCGACCTCTCGCACTGCAGCGAGCATTCGATCGAGGTGCTCCCCGTCGACTCGGTCTTCAACGGCCGCCAAGCGACGCTGTGGCGCTTCGCCGTGCGCACGCGGACGCGCCGCCTCATCATGTCGGCCATGACCGAGTTTGAAATGAACGTGTGGGTCAAGCACCTCCTCCTTGCGATGGGCCTCGACGCGTCCAAGCAGGTTGCGTTCTTCAACCGCATGAACCGCGCCGACTCGGAGGACGTTCCGATCGCCGACTTTGCCGCCATGGACACGGCGCAGGCCTCGATGGTGCTCGACGAAGACGACGGTAGCAGCGAACATGACTCGTCTCGGGACGTGAGCTTCTGCTCCGCGGGCAGCGTCGTGCTGGCCTCGGACGTATAGAATTGGTTTTTATATTAAAATAATTTCGGCGCTGTTTTATTCCAGTTTGGTCACTCATTACACACTGCGATTCATTGCGCCTCATGGCAATGACGACGCCACTGCTGCGCGGAACGCTGCTCGTCCGGAGCGACCATGATGTACACGCAAGGGCTGCGCGATTGGCCTCATGGGCGCGAGTAGGACTGGCGGCCACGGCTCGTCGAGCTCGACGCCCATCGGCTCATTCGCGTGCTGCGCATCGCGGATGTCCATCATAACGTGGCGCAAGCAGAGGTAAAGACAACCTGGATGCTGACCATGACGATGTAGCAGCGATCGCATGGCTAGGTGGTCTTGACAGACCGCGATGCGTGGATACGCGTCCAAGATGCCAGCGTACACCCGCATTGTAAGGCGAACCATCGCCGCCGGAGCGCACTGACGCCGTTCTAGGCTTTGTGCTCAAGACGAAGGACACGCGCATCCTGCTTGCAGCGACGAGCGACGACGGCATGTGGCGATGGATTGACTTTTTGCTCGAGCACCATTGCGCGTCGCTAGCGGTACGAGAGTCTCGTCTTGCGACGGCCACGGGCGACGTGCGTAGGGGGTCGACGACACGACGCGGCCATCGCTTGTGCTCTGGCGGCAGTCGTCGCTCGACGAACGCATGACGCTGCGCGAGTCGACGCTGGATGTGAGCCAGAGCGCCCATTTCTTGCCACTCGAATCCGACTTGGCCGCGCTCGGCGCCGAGGTCCAACGCATCATGACGTCGCGCCTCGGCATGCAGCGGTTGTCGCTGCCCCACGAAACCGCGCTCTCCAAGTGCCACGTCTTCGTGTCGGACGGCTGGCAACGAGTTTCCAAGGTGACGCCTTGTGCCATCCTCAACTCACGAGAAGATCTTAGTTGCTCCTTCTGATTGGCAATGCATGCCCCCACACGCCGCCGGGCATTTGGAGTCGCCACGGGTGCACGAGGCTGGGCACCGAGCGCGGTTCGATGCTTCCGTACCTCGAGCGAGCACATGCAAGCGGTACGTCTTGCGTTTCTAGCGTTGCAACTCTTGGAGAGCTGTAGGTTTTGGCACCATCGTGCTGGACATGGGCACGCACTCCAACCTCTTTGCCACGGGACATGGCCGCGTCAAAGTGCCGGTACGGAGCCCGCTTGACGGACTTGATAAAGAAAGCCAAGTGCACGGCTAGGTCAAAGGCAATGAGACGCCCGAGGCGCATCTCAAGTACGTCTGGACGCAGCTGCTACCGGCGACGACGGCGCGGGACGTCGTGGCAATTGCGTACGGCCACGGCGGCACCGCGGTCCACGACTTTCTCCATTTGCACCCGCCGTCGCTTACGTCCTTGCGCGCTGTCGCGTTCCTCGACTCGCGCCACAAGCCAGAAGACGACGTCGTCGGTCGGTTTCTGCGCGCGCGCAGCGTCTCGTGGGAGCGCTGTGGCACCGTCGTGGCGGGCGCCCCGCTCTACAAGGTGCCGCCGATGCGCCGCTCCGAGCTCTTTGACGCGCAAGTGGCGGGGTGGCGGCTCTCCACGGGCGCCGACGAAGACGCGACGCCGCTTCTTGCCCTCCCCATGGTGCTCGACTACCTCGAGTTTTGCTTGGACGTGGACGACGACGAGAGTCCCGGCGTGTGCTCCGACCGCTGGGTCGCCATGCGCGTCAACTAAAAGAAACCGTGTTGCTACTATGGCACATTATTGCTACGCCCCGTTTGGCGACTATGGCGCACAGCCTCGAGAGGTCCGACGGGGATCTGGATCGAGCTCACGTCCGCTGCTATTTCGTACGGCTCGGGTTCGAGCCACTGGAGCTCGTGCAAATCGACGTCGGCGGGTGGTTGCCACTGCTGCCGCCCGGTCGGGACATGGACGTAGCACGTTCGGTGGGTCGCAGGGTCAATGTGCATCTTCCACTCGACCTCCTTCTTGGACGTGCTAGCGCTGGTGGACGCGCGCCGTTGCAGCGCGAGCGGTGTGCGCTGCAGGCTGCGCGTAAACGACACGGCGCGGCGAAGGAGCGAGGGCCGCGGCGGCGATGGAAGCACGTGTGCGGAGCTCTGCGCGCGCAAGAGCGGCGGTCTCGTACCCTTGGTTGCGACTTCTGGGCTCTCGGGGGTTGCTTCAAGGTCTCTTGGGAGCCGGACTTTGACCTTGGTCGTTGCGATGTGCACCCAGTCGGTGCGGCCGCCGTCGTAGCGGATCTGCAGCATCTTGGTGGACGCGTTGGCGTCGCTGACGCGCCCCGTGTCGACGCGCCGGGACGCTTTGACGAACACTTCGACAACGTGATCCCGAAAATGTGCCAGGTCGGCCGACGGAGGGATGCGCACTTTGCACTTGGCACGAGCCAGGTCGAGGCGGAAAAGGGCGTCGGTCCGGGCCTCGCGGACGTCGTAGACGTGTGGCGCAGTCGTGGTGGCGACCACCGAGCATTTGCAGTAGCTTCCGTCGCGGTAGACATCGACGTGCGCGCCAGGCGGCAGCGTCGGGAATGAAAACCCGCGCGGAGACAGGAGGGTTGTGACGGGGCGCTGGCCCGGAAAGAGCACGAGCTTGAACGTCATGCTCGAGAGGTCGACCCACTCGAGGGTGTCGCTGTCGAGGAACCGAAGGGGTGCGAGCGCGCCTTGCGCAGCCCGCTTCAACACGTGACCTACGCAGAATATCTTCACAGCGATGCGCTTGCGGAAAAGATACCAATGCGGAAGGTGCCATGGCTGGCGCTGTACACGTCGACGCAGGACCCCGCGGGGATATCGCGCCCGCCGTGGAGGCCGTGGAGCACGACCTTGTGCGGCGTCGTTGCGGGATGCATCTCAAAGGCCCCTCGACTGCTGTTGTACAGGCTTGCGGTCGCGCCAAAGTGCCGGCAGACGACAGCGCCCTCTTGAAAGGTGTGCGGGGCGCCCAGCGAGTAGAGCTCGATCTCGGCGCCGGCCACGTACCACGGTGACGGCGCGCTCGCAACGCAGACCTTGAAGTGGCACGTGGCCAAGTCCAGCCACTCTTTCTTGCCGCTGTCGTAGCGCACGAGATGGCACTGCTGCGCTGCATCAAACTGCTTGACGGCCCCGCGCATCGTCGCGCCGTCGGGTTGCGAGACCTCGACGTCGGCGCCAACGACCGACGCGGCGTCTTGTAACAGGAAAGCCCCGGGCGTGTAAACCACCTGCAGCTCGACTCAATCGAGAAGACGCCAATCATCGGTACCTTGAGCGACGTGACGGCCACGACCGACTGGTCGTCGTCGAAGCGAACGCGCGTGCTGCGGGGCGTTGCTTCGACCACGTGCGCAGAGACGTCGACGCCGTGAACATTCGGCACATGCACGAGCTGCCCGGGAAGAACGGACAGCATCTCGCTTTGGCTTGTCTGCAACCAGAGTGACGGATGATAAATATAGCACATATTGCACGCACACCTCGGTGCCGACGCAAGCGCTCGGACAGCGTCTCGCCCAGCGGTCCTCCTCGCCCGTACCTCCGAGTTGATCCCAACGCGCATAAGCTCTCACCGCACGCAGTCGCGCCGCCGCGACGGCCGCGTCGCACGCAGCCCTAACCCTTTTGTTTAAAAATACCTCGTCGTCATCATTCGAGCATCCGCCATGCAGACGCCCGACCAAGCGTGCGTGGGCAGCTACCGAGAAGACGAACTCACGGCAGCGTAGGCGACTCAACATGCCGCAGACGCTGACGCTGGACCACGTCTCGCCAGCGACGCGGCTGCTGGAGAAGCGACGGCAGATGTTCGAGGTCCAAGAAGCGTTGGACGCTCAGAAGGAAGAGTTTTCCCGGCGCGAAGTACGTACGACGTGCAGCTACAGCACTTGAAAGCGCATCTGCAGGACGCGTTCCGACGCCGGGAAGAAGGTCTGCGGAAGAAGGACCTCGAGCTGCAAGAGTCGCTCATCAAATTCAACAAGTTTCTGCAAGAGAACGAGTCCAAGCGCAACCGCGCCATCAAGCGCGCGTCGGACGAGATCAAACAACGCCTCGCCAAGGAGCACGACGTCGCCCGGCTGCGCGAGTCCCTCGACCGCTTCAACGAAGAGAACGACAAACTCTCCAACGAAGTCGCGACGAGTGCAGAAGCGCAGCTCAATCGCGTTCTGAGTAGGTCAAGACCAATCTCAAGTACACGCGGTATTTGGAGAGCGTCCAAGAGTCGGTGCCGGAAGACTACCCCGAGATCACCGACCTCGTGAACCGCTATAATACGCTCAAGGACGCCAACCGGGACCTCTCGGAGAACCAAGCGCTGCACGAGCGCGACAACGAGCGCAAACGCATCAAGTTTGCGACCTTCACCAAAGAGCGCACGAACGACATGCTCAACTTCAACAACGAGATCGCGTCACTTCAGAAGCAGCTCGAGCTCCGCGAGTCCAACGCGATCCGTCTCCAGCACGAAGTAGACCAGTGCGTCCGAGAAATCTTCAGACAGATTGTCCTCATAGGTGGACACGACGATCCGAAACACGTCCGACAAGACACTCGAGGTCGGACAGATCCTCATGGCGGTCGGAAACCTCCTCCAGCGCTCGACGAGCGGCATCCACGGCTCGATCCTCAAGCACATCGAGGTCAAGGACGCGAGCGACGACCACGGCAGCAGCGCGGAGGCCAAGACCGAGGACCTCGAGCTACTCCAGAACGGCCGCAAGGCCATCGCGGATCTGGACGTCATCGCGTCCTACATGGTCGACTTCACCGCCATCGTACAGGCCCGCGCCGAGGCTCAGCGTGCGCAAAAGAAAGCGGCTGCTGCCGCTGCCGACTCGCCCGCCAAACAACCTGCGTGAAACATGCTTCGTTTCTGGATTAGTCGGTGGTTTCAGCGTTGGCGACCTTGCGCTTCCGGCGTTTGGTCGGCGCCTGCTTTTCCAGAGTCTCGTGGATGTCCTGGACGACGGCTTGGAGTCGCTTGCTGCGAATCTATCATCGAGATGACGGAACGCATGGTCGCTGTTGCGATCGATACCTTGGCATACTTGACGCCGTCCTTGTACGAGGTGAAGTAGCTGTCGATGCGTGTTTGCGTCTTCGACCAGCCGCGCGTCGCCGCCTGCACGATCGGCAGTAGCGTCGCGTTCACCTTCTCCAGCGGCCACCCAAACGTGCGGCCGCAAAAGATGCGCAAGTTGGCAAGATCCGGTGTCGACCAGGAGAAGCGCGCGTCCGATCGGTCCGTCTCGGGCTCTTGATACGCCTTGATGACGTGCGCGTTGGGAAAGGCGTCGGCAATGTGCCAGTTGCGCCGGACCTTGTGATGCGTGTGCTTGAAGCGCTCGAGAGGCGAAAGCGCCTTGAGCTCGGCTTCCGATAGCTTGGGTAGTGGCTTTAGCTGCGCCGCAAGGTCGAAGTCGTGCACCCATGCCTTGAACTAGCACAAACAATGAGTGTGCGTCGTCGGCATGTGTAGGGTACCTCGCGAAGGCCGTCGAGACCCGGAAATGCGTGGACGATCTCGGTGGCGTTGACAACACCGACGCCATGGATGCCGTCCGTGTAGTCACTGCCGAGGAGCAGCGCGAGGGCGATCTATGCGGATATCGCAGGAGGTGTGCATAGAGAAGAGGAGCGTACCATGCTCTCTTGGTCGAGCCCGAGTTCGCGCTCAATGTCGGTCATCGAGAAGGCTTCGACAAACTTGGAGGTTTTGAACATGTTTTTGTAGACGCGTTGGCCGCCAAACGCGAAAATATCACTAGCCAAAGACCATGTGGAGGCATCCAGAACCGGTCCTCGAACCTGTCGTCCGTGATGACGCCCGTCACAAGACCGAGCTTTTCGAGCGTGGCGCACTGCGCCTCGGCCTCCATCGGCGCCACAATGAACGGAACACCAAAGAGCCGCAGCAGCTCCATGACGTCGTTCTGCATCTCGTCCGTGACGCCGTCGACATCGCGCATCTGCTGGTTCCGCGATCGCTTGAGCTGCGCGTCCGTCTCACCGCCATCGTCTGCAACAAGGAACCGGCCCGAGTCGACAACGACGGGCGCGGGCGGCTCGGTTGGCGTCGTCCGCGAGAGGTACCGAGGTGTCGCGTCGTCCTCAAGCGGTTTGCCACCATGCTTTTGCTGATGGTCCCGGATCGCCCGCTTGATGGCGCCAGCAGCCCATTGCCTAGTACATATGTTATTGAACTCTGGCTAGCAACATCGCTGTACGTACGTGAGGTTGGAGGCCGTCGTCATGACTGCCTGCAGCGCATCGTCGTTCCGGGCCAGTCCAAGCGAGACAACGTCATCGTCGTCGTCAGCAGACAAAGCCTTGGACACGCGCCGCTCAAAAAGGTTGTCCTCGTCGTTCCAGGCGCCGAGGGCGTCTGCGTCGAGCACGGTCGCCGACGGTCGGAGCACCGGCGACGATGGCGGTGTCGCCTCCGCGTTCCATGTCGCTCGTTCCAACGCAGCGTCAGGTACCACAAACGCGGTGGCTTTCGGACTCCCGACTCCCAGAGGCTTCTCGACCTTGGTCGAAGGACGTAGCGTATCCAGCGGCGTCGGACGTGGCGCAGCAAAGGCCTCGGGCGGCAGTACGTCCTGCCAGTTGTCTTCTACAGCCGGATACTTAGCGATCGATTGTAGCAGCGATTTCGTTCACGTACCGACGTCCGAAGTGTCGTCAATGACGATGGCGTCGTGGCTTGCGACAAGAGCTGTGCTCGGTGATGCAGCGTCGTCGACATCGACTGCCGCGTGTGAGGTACCCGAGTTTGGGACTGGGAGCGCTGGAAGGTCGTCGCTGGCCGCCTGTGCTGTCGCGTGGACCGTTGCAATTTCAGCACTCGGCACTGCGCTTGGTGTGACATCCAGCCATTCTAGACGCAGCATCAACAACAACGCAAACGGTTGAGAGAGCTTACCCACGTCGTCGTCGTCGCCACCATCGACGGTGATCGGCGCAGCAGGAGCGGCCACGGGCGCGGTGTTGCTTGGTTGCGTCACGACATCCTCCCACTCTAGCTCGGACGTAGTGTGACGGCGCTGTCTCGTCAATATGTAGGTCTACCCGTGTCCGAGTCGCTCACGAGCGCGTCTTTGGCCTCGACCTCGTCGCCCCACTCGATGTGTTCGTCCTTGACTGGAGCCTGGGGGCGTGCAACTACACACGCTTGACGTACGTATCCACGTCACCAACGTACCGTCAATGTCGAACAGAGAGGGCGGCAAAATGCTGGCTTCCTCGGCCGTGAGCTGCATCTTGGTCGGATCGAGCGATGCCACGAGACTGCCGTCCGGCTTGTGTTCCCAGACGACACCGCGCCGCTGCGACGTCTTCTTCTTCGGCAGCATCCACTGCGGGTGGTCCGTCTTTAGAACGACTGGTTTGCCGTGGGCACCGATGAGGACCTCGTCGTCGTCGTCGTCGACGTGCAAAATCTTTGGCGCTCGTTGGATCGGCTGCGACTGCGACTGCTTCTGCACATACTCGGAGAAGAGCCCAACCGTCGAGTCCGACGCGTCGAGGAGCTGCGCATCGGTCGCGACAGCGGCAGGCGGAGGCGCCGGTCGAGCGTCGTTCGCAGTCGTGAGGATGTACCGGCGGTCGGCTTCGCTCGCGATGCGGCGGCCGGCTTCGGTGGTGTTCGCGGCCGCCGCCTGCTCCTTCATCTCGCGCTTGAAGCGGCTCGACTTGAGGAACGTCTGAATCTGCGCGAGTGAGTACTCTTCCGGCTTGCCCGCAAGCGTCAAGAACTGCTCGCGGGCTTCTTGACGACGCTCACGTTGGAAGGCTTCAACATGCTCCTGGTGATCTCGCCATTCGGCAATCGCATCGTCGTCGTCGTTCTCTTCCTCACTTGGCATGGGCGGCGGGCTCTCGGCCGCCTTCTTTTCCTCTTCTCCTTCTTCGTCGTCGTTGATATGGATGACGTCGGGCTCCGTCTTGGTCTCTTCTTCAACGACAGCCTGCTTGGCTCGCCGCTCGAGCTGGCGCAGGAGCAACTTTTGCGCCGTTTGCGTGAGCGAGAGCTGGTTCTTCTCGCGCCGGGCGCGGCGACGCTGCAACGTGCGCAGCTTGATCGCGGGCGTGTCACCATCGAAGACAAAGACGGGTCGTATGCCATGGAAGAGGAGCTTCGCAACTCGCTGGAAGGTGCCAAGCAAGTGCGCGTTGCGCAGCATGCTGCCATCCTCCGGATCGCGCATGGCCTTGACGAACTGCGTGAGCCAGATGCTCGCGTCCACGGCCAGCGTTTGCCCGCTCAAGCTCTCGATCGAAACCTCGCGGCCACCCGCGGCAAGCAGCATCCATAGCCCCGTCACACCCATGCCAGATCTTTGACATCCGCAGTACGGGGCCCTACGAAAACAGCTCAGAAGCAAGAAATAGTGTTGAGAAATATGGAACCCAACAGCAGGCACTTCAACTGACACTTCACAGTGTCCGAGGGCAACAACGTCAAGGGCAGACAGGCACGGACATTGCTCCGTTCATGCGTTGATTGTACACGTTGTCTCCAAGAGGCTCACCAATTCCTTGGACGCTCGAAATGACCCGATCGAGCAGAGTTGAAGCGGTGGCCCACAGTCGACTTCAGTGCTACGGCAGTCCACCGAGCGCTACCACCGAGGAGTTGCCAAGCTGTACCCAATTGTCAATTTGCCAAGCGCTGGGGCACTCGAGAAACGTGCGCTGGTGATAACGAGGAGGGTCAGGGCCTTTCTCGGGGCGGCTTCCTTCTTTTAGTAGCTTCACTTCAACACTGCCTGCGACGTGGCGAGATGCTTGTTTGCCTCACATCCTCACCCGAAGCACCCCGCTAGAGCTCATGAGCGTCGCAGCAGCCTCAAGAGAATGCATATATGCCATGTTGAATGAGCAAAACACTCCCGTTCATACAGGCATACGAAGGCAGGACGAACGACTCTACGTTTCTGCTGAAGAAGCTCCGAAGTCAGTCGCCGTCCGTCAGTTGCCGCGATCCCGTGCGTCTATGTGCCTCGGCAACGCGCGGCGCGAATTCGCTTGGCTCGTGCGACGTGGCGCCAACACACTATTTCCGTGCGACACGTTTTTTGGTACCTGGTTGACAGGACCTCGGCTGTATCCGGCGAGTCCGGATATAATGAGCCAATCACAGCCGGCGCTGCCAGGGGTGTTTGGTCGCGTGAAAATACACTGGGTCCAAGTATACGAGCGGTTGTCCTCAATTTCCCGAGGGCTTATTCGGGGGTCGACGTTCAGACCGCCAGCCACTCCTCCCATGTCTGCCCAAGACACCCCTCGGTTCCCATGTACGCGCTCCTCCTGCGCGAGCATGGCCTCATCTCTCTCGTCCTCGTAGCCCAGGGAGCCCATGACGGCTTGCCGCCGTCGCAGGTAGGATCGCCATCCGCGACGATCGCTCATGCATGTGCCCATCAACGTAGATGCCGGTGCGCACCGCGTCGGCGCCGCCCGTCGACCACACGCTCGACCCGAACCGACCTATCTATTTGCCATACAGGGCCGGTGGCCAAGGCTACGTGCCGTCACAGCCGTACGCCGCGCCCACGGCCGGCGTCTTTGTGCCCGGGCAGCCATTCGTGCCCAAGGGGAACGCACATGTCCAGCCGCCTCCCGAGCGGGTCCACAACAATCACGTCGCGCACATGGGCAATGCCCCGCCACCGATGTCGTCGTCGCCAGGCCAGCTTGGTGGCCGGGGGATGCCCCGAGGCATGCCCCGTGGCATGAACCCCAACAACGTCCGACCCTTCGTGCCGCAGCACCAGCAGCAGCACCCGGCGACGATTCCAGGATACATTCCGCGCGTCCAACAGCCGTACTACCAGCAAGGTTGGTTGCCTCGATCAATGTTTGGTCGTAAACAACAAGTGTGCCTAGGTGGCTACAACATGCAACACATGCCGGGCCAGCCCATGTACCCGCCGATGAACCAGTACGGATCGCCCGCGATGCAGCCGCCGCATGTGCCGATGAGCATGCCGGGAGCCGTGCCCATGCACGTGATGCCTGGCCAGCAGATGCCGCCCCCTGTACAGCGCCCCGTGCCCGTCGTGCGCGAGCGCAAAGCCCTTGTGATCATTGACCCGAAGACAAACGAACCGATCAACGAATGCAAAGCGCTCGCGACCGACGAGGCGCCGGTAGAAAAGCCGCGGGCGCACTCGGATGCTCCGCGCCCGACGTCGACGTTGCGCGCCAACGTGCCAGCGTTTGTGTATACTCCGCCGACGGCGACGACGGCACCGCCGCCACCGCCACCGGCTGTTCCTGCCGCCCCGGCCTCCCCGGTGAAAAAGGTCAAGTCCCCTCCGCCGACGCCAATTGCCGTCCCTTTGTCCCCGAAGAAGGTGTCTGCGCCGGCGTCCCCGAAGAAACCCGAGCCGACGTCACCTGTGAAGGCCCCGGTGACCCCCAAGAAGGCGATCGCACCTGCCCCGGTGACTCCGAAGGTCGCTACGCCGAAGAAGGTCGCTACGCCGAAGAAGGATGCTGCACCGGTAACGCCCAAGGTGGCGACACCGAAGGCTGTGGCGCCCGTGACCCCGAAGGCAGCCTCGCCCAAGGCAGCGCCCAAGGTGGCTACGCCCAAGGCCGCCCCCGTTGTCGCCCCCAAGGCCGTGACCCCGAAGCCCCAGAAGGTTGCGACACCCGTGTCCTCGCCCAAGAAGAAGCCGGTCGTTGCTGCGGAGCCCAGCATTATGTTTGGAACGGTCCAAGTGAGCACGGACGACGCTGTCTCGCCCAAGACCGTGTCGCGCCCGCCGGGCTTTACCACGACGGACGACGACAAGGACAACGAAGGCGACGACGTGGTCGAAGAAGTGTCCAAGAACGTGCCTCGGACCGAGCCGCGCCCGGCCAACACGGCGCCGCAGACGAATGGCAAGTGCTGCTACAGCGTGACGTTCCTCTTGAGCTTCCGCGAAGAGTATGCGGACTTGCCTGCCGCGGCCAAAGACCCGAGCTCTGGCTGGATGTCGATGGAGGTCTCGAATGACGGCCCCAACACGCGTGCGCGCCGCCAGAACTCGGGTGGTCGCGGCATGGAGCGCCAAAGCAGCCGCGGTGACAAGGGCGGCAAGTGGTCGCGCGACCAGGCCCCGCCCCGTGGTGGCCGCGGTGGTGGCCGCGGTGGTGGCCGTGGTGGTCGTGGTGGCAGCGCGGGTCCGTCAATGATGGAGACGATCGACTCTGTGCAGCTCAAGCGCAGCGACGACCGCTGGGTGCCGAAGAAGGCGACGAACAACATGGAGCTCGTGTGCAAGCAAGTGCAAAGTATCATGAACAAGATGACGAACCAGAAGTTTGAGCGCCTCGCGGGCCAGCTGAGCGAAATCAACATGGACAGCTCGGACATGGTGGAAGCTGTCATCAAGATCATCTTTGACAAGGCGCTTGGGGAGCCCCACTTTTGCGACATGTACGCCAACCTCTGCGTGTACCTCGAGACCAAGTGGAAGGTGTGGAGCTACCTCCAGATTGTGCAGAACGACGACGAGAAGAAGTGGTACTGGACGACGATGAGCGACAACGACGCCGAGGTCGTCGGGCCTTTCGAGTCGCTCGACGACCTCTTTGAGAGCGCGACCGAAGACCCGCAGGACGTGGTCTCGGCGCCCGAGGGCCTTGCGCTCAAGCAGGTGCGCGTGCGCAACGGCAAGTTTGTCAAGGTGTGGGCTGTCGCCGACGACGCGCTGTACTGGTCGGGTCAGAACGTTGAAGACCTTGGTACGACGCAGGTGCTCCACGGGCCGTTTGACTCGTTTGAACTTGCCAACGTGCACGCGATCAAGACGACGTCGTTCAAGCGCATTCTGCTCAACTCGTGCCAGGAGGAATTCGAGAAGGACAACATTTACGAGGAGCTGGACGCGGGCATTGAGAAGGCGCGCACGGAAGGCACGCTCACGGCCGAGTACGAGGCCGAGTACGCGGAGAAGAAGATGCTCACGAAGCGCCGCATGCTCGGCAACATTCGCTTCATCGGCGAGCTGTACAAGAAGGGCATGCTGCAAGAGCGCATCATGCACGAGTGCGTGGCCAAGATGCTCAACGTTGGCCGCGCGCCGCCGGCAACGGGCGAGAACGTCCCGTTTCGTCTCGTGCCCCTGCACCCGACGTCGCCGCCGGACGAGGAGAGCATCGAGTCGCTCTCGAAGCTGCTTACGACGATGGGTAAGAACCTCGAACTGTCGAGCGGCCCGCACGTTATGGCGGTCTACTTTGAGTACCTCGGCAAGCTCACCAAGGACAAGCGGCTCTCGTCGCGCATCATTTTTATGCTCATGGACGTCATCGACCTCCGCAACAACAAGTGGACGCCGCGCCGGAAGGAGCTCACGCAGAAGACGCTCGACGAGATTCGGAAGGACGTCGAGAAGGAGGCTGCCAACAAGGGCGCACAGGCCACGCGCGGCTCGGGCCGCGGACCGCCCATGTCGGCATCCAGTCGTGACCGCGACCGCGACGACCGGGGTCGTGATGACCGAGGCCGTGGCGGCAGCTTCCGCGGCAACCAAGCGCCACCGCAGCGTTCCAACAGCAACAGCAACTTTGCCAGCGACCGGTCGCGGTCTCAAAACAACTTTGACCGCCCGAGCCAAGGCCGCCCGGCTACTTTTGGCTCGGCCAAGGGCCGTCCGGCCAAGCCTGCGCCGCCGCAGAAGAAGAAGGCGCCATCGATCAAGGCACAGCTTGAAGCACTCGACGACGACACGACGTCGCTGCTAGCCAAGAAGGCGCGTGGTATTCTGGACGAGTTTGTGGGTCTTCAGGACTCGGCCGAGGCGCTTGCGTGCCTCCAGGAACTCAAGACGTCGCTGAGCGCGGTGCCCAGCGCATTGGTGTCGGCGGCCTTTGTGAAGGAAGCGCTGGTGGTGGCGATGGAAGAGAAGGCGGCGATCCGCGATGCGTTTTACGACTGCGTCACGGCGCTCTGCGAGAAGAAGGCGCTCGAGGTTGAGGCCGTTCAGTTTGGGCTCGAGACGGCGCTCTTGCTCGCGCCGGACCTCAAGTGCGACGTGCCCAAGATTGGCGAGCACCTCGCGACGATTGTCGTGCGCCTCATGGCCCTTGCGCAGTCGACGCTGACGCTGCAGTGGCTCACGATGGGCCTCCTCTTTAAGGAGGACGCGGAGGCGGACGTTCTCGAAGAGCTCGTCGAGGGCGGTGTGCTCTCGGACGTGGTTGGTCTCGTGCTGGCGCGCATGCCGCCAGCGGTTGCCGCGCAGCAGGCGTCGCAGACCTTCCAGTACCTCAATTTGACGTCGATCCTTCCGTCGCACGCGCGGACGGCCAACGACGTGGCGGCGTGGCTGACGACGCACAATTTGACGAGCACACTGGCTGTCTTTACCAAGGCGCTGGAGCTGCTCCGGTTGAGCCTCGACCTCCCGACGGACGCGGTGATTGCGCGCATCGAGACGACGATCCCGCCCGAGATGCGCAGCGACGCGCTCTTCGCCAAGCAAGTGTGTCTCTTCATGGCCGGCGTCTCGACCAAGCCGTCGGCCCACCACTGCCAGCTCATCATGGGTCTCTGCGGCGGCATTGACGGCCAAGCCGCGCTCATTGGCGGTCTCGCCCAGTCGACGGCGCCAGGTATGATTTCGAGTCGTTTGGCGCGCGGTTGACTTCGATGTTTGTTTGTAGCGGACATCAAGCACCTGCTCAAGTACCTCATCGATCACCAGGCGCTGGCAACGAACGCGATCAAGGCGTGGAGCGACTCGGCGCCGCAGCGCTTGTGCGTCAAGGGCGCGGCGCTGGAACAGATGGACGAGATTGTCTCGCGCATGCGCAAGTAGACGACGGACGATATAGTAGTTTTTTGTCCATGTCTCCTCCTCCTGCGTACATATATCCCAGCAAGCGGTGCACCAAGTGCGGTGCCTCCAGGTGTGCGAGTCAGAGGATCTGGTAGCGCAGACACCTGTGTTCTCGGGCACATCGACTCGACGTGGTCACAGTGATCGATGGTGCTGGATAGCGTCGTCGATGCATCCGCGCACTTGAGCCAGTGACCACTGGTCTACGTGGCGTATACAGAGAGACATTGGTACCGGACCTGGTGACATCGCCTCGCACTCTTGAGCTGTTGCCCCGAAGGACCGAGCCATCGCTCGCGAAGGAAGAGCTCGAACAAAGAGACAATTTCGTCCAGGCCAAGAATCTTGGATAGGTGGACTGACTCCACCTGCCCTATCCCTAGACTGGATGCCAGCGTTAGGATATCCTATGCGCCTCTCGGCTCCATAGTAACGTGATGAGACATGTGGCAAAGGCGGCGCCACAGTACGAAGACCTCGTTTCCGAGTGCATCGCCCTATATACATGGGCGCCGCATCCAAGAACGCGACCGAGGCGGTGGTTGCATTGCCAACTGAGACGTCCGTTTGCACAGAAAGTCCATGAGAGATGAGAGAGCACAGTCGTTCCATTTCGATTTGGTTAAGTACAGGTCACTTGCGCGACGCGGGCTGGAGGCGCGGGTCCGGTCCTTTGACCTTCTTGGCGCGCTGCTTGGCGTCCGAGGCCCTTTCCCGCGCGTCGAGCTCTCGCGATCGCTGGCGCGTGGCGTCGGCGACCGTCGCGAGTTTCTCGAGTTTCTGGAGTAAGGTCTGGTTGAGCTGCACCTCGAGCGTCGTGTGGTCGGCGAGCAGGGCCTCCTCTTCTTTGGCGACCATCTGCTGCTTGAGGATGGCCTGCTGCAGCTGGTTCTTGGCCGCGCGCTGCATGTCGACCTGGCGCTGCCGCTTCTCGTCCTTCTCGCGATCCGCTCGCCACAGATCGGCCTGCTTGTCATAGTCCCTACGCTTGTACTCTGAGCGACAGACGCTTTTTGCAATCGCACTCTTTCTCGAGGCGTTCGCGCTCCTTCTTGAGCTGCATCTGCTGCTTGAGGTAGTGTTGCTGGTCGTGGTTGCGACGTATGGCGTCTTGGCGCTTCTTCTCGTCGACCTCGGCCTGACGCCGCTCGTAGTCCTACAGCCGATGAGCCGAGCTTGGAGCAAGAATGGATTTGCCTCTTGGTAGCGCAGAATCCGCATCTCGTCTTCCTTGTTGCGCATGTCCGTCTCGGCCTTGGACGTGTCGTCAAAGAACTTCATCTTGGCCTGGATCTTCTTGGAGAGCGCGTCGAGGTCGTGCTGGCGCTGGGCCTCTTTCGCCTCCTCCATCTTGACGTAGTCGTGCGCGAGCTTCACCTCGAGCTCCCGGTCCGCGGCCTTCGCATTCGCCTTCTTCTGCAGCTGCGCCTCGTTCTCTTCGAGGACGCGCGCCATCTTGAGCTTCTCGGCTTGCTTGCGCGCCGCGTCTTTCGCCTCCTACAGGCGTGCCATGATGGATTGCTTCTCGGTGGACACGACGTACGTCGTCGGCCTTTTGCTTGGCGATGGCTTCGGCCATGCGCACCTCGGCCTCGCTGCGCAGGTTATGAGACGGGATATGCCAAAGAATCACGTACTGGCGCGCGGCCACTTCGGCCCGCTTCTTCTCGAGCTTGTACTGGCGCTGCTCCTCCTGGATTTTGTTTTGCTCTTTGGCGCGCGCGATACGATCGAGCTCCTTGGCGCGCTCGGCGTCGTTCATGCGCTCGAGCTTCCGCATGGTTTCCTCAAAGTACTTTTGGTTGTCTTGGGCTTCGGCCTGCTTGACCATTTGCTTGGCGTCGACCTGCGACTGCAGTTCGTGGCTCCAGCTCGATCGCATCGCGACCTTCTTCTTCATCTACACATCGCGTTGTGCAGAGTGTGTGAAGGCAACAGCAACGGACCTTGGACTCGGCTTCGTTGACTTCTTCGAGGTTTTGGATTTTGACGAGCGCGTTCCAAATGTCGTCTTGCTTATGCTTCTTGGGCGACTTGCGCGGCGGCAAGACAAAGCCGATGCTGGCTTGCTGCAACTGCGACTCGGTCACGTAGATCGAGTCGGGCAGTCTACATTGGAGTTGTTGTAAGAATGACGACGACTCGGAGAAGCTGCGTACCCTTCCTTGGAGCTCTGGGGTTTCCGGGCCTTTTTCTGGCTCTTGGGCTTCTCGACTGGTGCTTCCATGGGCTCGGCTGGTCCTGGTGGCGTGCTGGCCTTGGGCGCCGACGCGGGCGCGAGCGCCGACGACGACGCGCCTGGCTTGCAGAGCGTCTGGACGAGCCGCTGCAGCTCCGCGTCCTAGTCCCAACTCTATAGAACGCAGCTGGAAAACACACTTGCGCGTACCGTGAGGTTGCTTGACGCGCCTTGCTTCTGCAGCGTCTCGAGGATTTGCGACGCGAGCTCGGACGCGAGCGCCGGCGGCTTCTTGCACTGCTTTTGGATGCGGACGCAGATCGACATGCGCAGCTTCTCCTTCATGTTGAGGTAGAGCGCGCGCTGCCGTATTCTCTCCTTGTCGAGCGTGCGCATGGACGCGCTACAGACGCATGGATCGTGAGGACGTCATCTCGCGCTCGGCTGCTCACCGCGTCTCGGCGACGGACACGGTGCTGCTCCCGGTCATGCGAGGGTTCCGGGCTTGAATAAAGGACGTTAGTTATTCCGCGTATAAATAGCGCGTGTGTTTCATCCCTGGCGTCCTGCCGGCAGCGTCCTACTTGGAGCATAGAGTGAGTGCATACTCGAAGCTCGCGACTGCGCCATTGCTTTGAGGACTCGGATGCGTCAGATTGCCGTTAGCTGCGAGGATCGGACCGTCTCTGCTCTGATTGGTCGAGAGGTTCTTGGCATTCTGGCATGCGCGTGCGGGTGGCGTTCGCGGACGAGGCCGGCGCCCTGATGGCCGAGGCCTGGGGCTTCTCGCGCTGCGTCGTGCCCATCGACGACTCGCTCAAGCTCGTGGGCGACCTGTTGCACCACGTCTCGACGCGCTTCGGCCTCCAATCGACCACCGGCGGCCTCGAAGTGCTGCTGGACGGCTTTGTACTCCTGCCAAGCGACAAGATTGCGCTCGTCCTGCGCGCCGACGACGTGCTCACGGTACAATGGTCGACACGTGCTGCCGCAGACGCCGCATCAATCACGACCAAGGCCACGCCGCGCTTGGCGGCTGCAGCGCCAATTGAGCGCAAGCAGCGTCCCAGCCGCTCAACGACCACGAAATCCAAGCCACTCCCGAGCGCGAATGCGAGGTCTAGCTCCAGCTCCAGCGACAGTGAGAGCAGTAGTGACGAAGAGACGAACGTCGTGGCCAAGAAGCCATCACCAAAGAAGCCAACGCCAAAAGCTGCGGCGCCCCTACCGCCACCCACTCCAGCCAAACACATTGCACCACCCAAAACTACCCCAACGATTGCGACCAGCAACAGCAGCAGCAGTAGTAGCAGTAGCAGTAGCAGCAGCAGTAGCAGTAGCGAGTCCGAGCAGGAAGTCAAGACCAAGCCTCGACCGCTCGTGACGTTGAAGGAGAAGAAGCGACTCGCAAAGGCAGGGACGCCGTACCAACGCCCCGCTCCCGTCACTGCCCCAGTTGTTAGTGCTGCTTCGTCGCCGAAGAAGCGGCCGGCGGCTGTTGCTTTTCCCGACATACAGGATGCGACGTCGGCTGCCAAGCCACGATGGGGCTCAACAAGCGCACCAGCCCGTGGCCACGTCCGCTTCGATGCGAACACGAACGCTTCTCTCGACAAGTCGATGCCAGATGCCAAGCCTTCGCGCGCCATAGACCATCGACCGCGGAGCGCGGACCTGGCCAAGTACGGCCCGTCAGCCGCTCCACCACCCAGCGCAATGTCAGCGCCACGGCTGCAGCAGCGCCAAGCACCCGTGCGTCGCGCTCCGCAGCCCGCCGTCGCAACGCCGCAGAAGGAGAAGTGGAAGCGTCCGTACCAGGTCATCGCGTCGGTTCAAACAACTCGTGCAACGACACCCCCTGAGGTATGCATGTGGTGGTATGATGCCAGGCACGCTCACCGTGGTGCTAGGACGCGTTTGCCACCTACCCCGAAGCCCAGATCAAGTGGGTTCAAGCGGGCGATGTCCTTGCCTTCAAGACGCTGCGTCTCTGTGAGACGACGATGACGCCCGTCCTGAGCGCTTATCAAGTGGGCCGGTGCGTCGCCGCAGACGCCGACGTACTCGTGTTGCAGCCGTGTGTCCAGACAGCGTACGATCATTTCTTTCTTCTACCGAGATTGAGTTTGAGTAGACAAGGGGCCTACGAAGACGACAAAACCAAGGAGCCAAGCACTGTCGAGTCGATGGAGGTCCAGGAACTGCGAGCACTTGCTGGTGCGGCACACGTGCTCGGTGAGCTCCAATGCCGCGTGAGTCAGCCCAGCGCTTCGACCGAGGAAAACGGCAGCAACGAGCCACCGAGTAAGGACCAGCACCAGGCCGACGACGTGGATGCGACGATGACTGACAGCGATGTGCTGCGTGAAAGCAAGAAGGACGAGATGGACGCCGCGAAGGAAACCCTCTTGGAGATGCTTCGCGCCCGGAAAGAGCAGCTTCTTCGCGAACAGCTCGAAGGCAACACGGATGAGGCGCCGTAATGAGTCGTACCCTATCGTCTTATGGATCTATTACACGCTCGTGCGGTGGAAGGTCGAATTCGGTGGACGGTTTGCCGCGTGCCTTTAATCTTCTACCTCTGCATGGATTGAACAAAACGTACCGGAGATAACGTGTCCAATATGTTTGATTTTGGTGTTGTTAGCACGTGTGAACGGTCGAGTCGCAAACAACAGGTTATGAGCCCAAACCCACGAAGCCGTGGTCCTTGCTATCGCGATGTCAACCTTGGCTGCGACGGATCGCTCGACGCTTGGTTACTGGCGCGAAGCGTACTTCATCGGAGCGCTGCGAGGGCGACGGCGTGCAAAAGGCCAAGGCTGCGTGGACTTGGACTCGTAAACTGTTGTTTGCGCCTTGGCTGTCTCGTGCCCGACACCTTGCGAAGTGAGCTCGATGGAACTTTGCTCGATTGGCGCGTTTCTGATTGCGTTTCTGGTTTCGTGTTTCTGGCTCACATTTCTGGTTTCGAGTTTCTGGTTTTGTTGTGTCGCATGCCAGTATCCAATTTGCACGAGGGCGTCGGGTAGCAGGCAACCAAGGCGCAAGTGCGCAAGTGCCTGATCATGTCGTCTCACAAGAGCAACATGATCAGGCTGGTGATTGGCTTTATCCGGAGACGCTCGATCATTGGCTATGTACGATTCAAGCCAGCCAATTATTTCAATTTCAACAATGCCGTTCCGGATAAATATAGCGTACAAATCCGCAACATCGTGCAAAACTCCACTATGTAGCGTATATTTCCATTGGCTTTAGCCAATCGCCAGCGAGTTGGAAATCTTGGTCACGATATGCTGGTGGCGCGAGCATCGCTGCGGCGGCGCAACTTCCATGCCCCGCGGTCGCTTGTCGACGGCGGCGATCGCATCCTGCGCGAGGTAGAAGCCCTTTCTGCATGACACGTGCCTACTGAGGATGCTACGGCAGGGCGACCCGATGACCAAGGTCCGCTGGAGTCTCGCGACGCAGCAGCTGTGGCAGCAAGCCAGTCTTCCGCTGTACGTGTATCCCCGGCTTTGCCTGACCTTGAACAACACGGGCAACCATAGGTGCCATGAGGAGACGTGGTGCGGGAACCCGCCTGACTACCCCGCGCGGGGTCCGCTTCCGCGGCTGTACGACCCCAAGGACATGCCGAGCGACAAGTCGACGCCGATTCCAATCGGAATTCTCCACGGCCTTGCCCATATTGAGCTCGGCGCCATCGGTATAGCGCAATATTTGTGATGGTTGAGGCATTCGTCGCTGTGTGTAGACAACTACTGGGACACGGTCGTGCGGTTTGCGCCTCGCCCAGCAGACGACGTGTACCACCTACCCCGCGCCTTCTACGACGACTTCGCCAACGTGGCTTGCGACGAGGCGCGTCACTTCGCGCTCGTGGAGAACCGATTGCGTGAGCTGGACTCGTTTTATGGCCAGCTGCCCGCGCACCGAGCACTCCTCGAGCACGCAGCCAACACGCGGAGCACGCTTGCTGCGCGACTGGCTGTGATCCCGCTCGTACAAGAAGCCCGGGGGCTCGACGCTGGCCCCCGGCTGGTGCACAAGCTAAAGTCCCTCGGCGACCCCGTGTCGGCAGACGTTGTCGCACAGATTGTGTTGGAGGAACGCGGCCACGTGGCCCGGGGCATCGAGTGGTTCACGTACCTCTGCGGCCAGATCCAGAAAGACCCCGTGCCGTACTTTCACGAGCTCGTGCGCGAGTTTTCCCCGACGGTCTCCCGGGCCCGTTCAACCTCGAAGCGCGCTTGGCGGCGCACATGCCGCCGAAATGGTTCCAGCCACTCGAGATGGCGTCCAAGCCCAAGAAGGCGACGGCCCCCGTGACGCCGCCTCGTCAAGTGAACCGCCCGACCAATGGCAAGACGCTCGTTGTGTCGGGCTGCGTCTGGCCCGAGCGCACGTCGTCGGCAGCAGGCGTGCGCACGACCGACATGATTGAGATGGCGCGCGACGAAGGCTACGATGTCATTTGCATCTCGCCGTGCCGTCCAAATGAGCACACAGTGCGCTGGGAGGCGGACGGAGTCGCCTGTGTCCAGCTCGACCCCAACACGGGCGACGTCGAGACGTTCCTCAAGACGACGCGCGTCGACGCAGTGGTTTTCGACCGGTTTATCGCGGAAGAAATGTATGGCTGGCACTTCGCGACGCATGTGCCCAGTGCCAAGCGTATCTTGGACCTCCAAGACGTGCATTTTCTTCGAAAAGCCCGCGAGCACCTCGTGCTAAAAGCCAAGGTATGTTTGCCCAGCCGACAGGAATTGAGCTCATGAAAGAGCTCAGGTGGACTTTGAAGCGACGCTTGGACTTGATATCGACGTCGAGCCGGTGCTGCCGAGTGTGCTGCGGGAACTTGCGAGCATCTATCGGTCCGACACGACGTTGTACGTCTCCGAGTTTGAGAAAACGCTGCTTGTCGAGCGCTTTGGGGTGCCGTCGGCGTCGCTAGAAGCCCTCGACTACATGCTGCCGCTCTCGGTGCTCTCGATGCCGGTACGGTCGTGCTGTCTAACGAATATGTGCTCCAAGGTAATCGAAATAGTCGCCGTTCGAAGAGAGAGAGCACGTCGCTGTCATTGGCAGCTTCAAGCACCCACCGAATGTCGACGGCCTCAAGTGGCTTACGAGCCACATCTGGCCTCGGGCGCGGGAGCGCCTCGGGGAGGACGTGGAGCTCCACATCTACGGCTCGTACGCAAGCGCGAGGGACATGAAGCACTTTGAGCAGCCACGCGAAAACGTGCGCATGATGGGCTTCTGCAAAGACGTGCATGCGACGCTGGGTCAGTACCGCGTGAGTCTCGCGCCGCTGCGGTTCGGTGCCGGCATCAAGGGCAAGGTCATCGACTCGTGGATCGCGGGTACGCCCGTGGTATCGACCAGTGTCGGTGCCGAGGGTCTGCACTTTGACGGCACCAGCGCGTGGGGTGGTCGCGTCGCGAACGCATCCGATGCCTTTTCGGTCGCGATGCAGCAATTGTACGAAGACCCTGACGCGTGGAAAGCGTCTCAAGCCGCTGGTCACGGCATCTGCCAAACGCACTACAATCGCCACAAGCAGCAACACGCTTTCGCACGCGTGCTGCAGGCGCCGCCGCGGGAAAACTGGCTCGGCCGCGTCCTCTCGTCAAGTCAATTTCGGGCGACCGAGTACATGTCGCGCTTTATCCGAGCCAAGAACGAGGCTGCAGCGTCTTCGATTTAGTCTACCTATGCCATTATTGTCTAGCAACCCGGTACAATGGAATGAATCCATACACGTAGATTGACCTTATCGACCCTATCGTTCAATCCAGCGACGATGCTGCTTGCTTAGAGCTTGGCGAGGCCCGGGATCTCGGCGAGGAGGTCCGCAATGTCCATCGACTTGGGACCGCCCAATGGCACCTTGCGGAAGGTCGCGAGGCGCCGCGCAAGCACGTCGAGTTCCTTGCCCTAGTCCCAATCAGTACCTGCACAGAATTGTCGATATGCATATGTACGTCGTGGTAACGCTGCGTGAGAAGGACGAGGGTCCGCGGCGTGGCCCCGCGGGTCTTGGCGGGCTCTTGGACCATGTGCACGACGCTCCAACGCTCGAGGATCGCGAGTGCGTTCTGGAGCGTCTCGAGCGAGCACGACTCGTAATGCGCGATGATGCGCTCGTGGTACATCTACACGCAGTCACGTCACCCTCGCAAACCACGCGTCGCGTGCTACCGTCTCGGCGAGCCACTGCATGCGGCGAACGAGGTCGCTCGGCGTCATACCGTCGCCCGACTTGAGCACGAACAAACTCGTGACCGCGACCCAGTAGCTAGGACGCGCTGGTGACGAGACCTGTCGTCGTTATCGATATCACCTGTCGATGAAGGGCCAAATCGCCGCACACAAGAGCGTTTGAATCGACTGGCTCGTCGGCGTTAGCGTCATCGTGCCGGCCCTACAGTGCACTTGCGGCCCCGAAAACATCTGCGACAAGTACGTACGTTGACGCAAAGATGCCGCGCTCTTCCATGCGTGCAAGTGTCTTTTTGAGGACAGCCCGGCCGTCCGCGTAGTACTTGGAGACAAACTCGATCGAGAGCATTTCGTGCACGAAGACAGCACTGTCGAGCAACGCTTTGGTGGGCACACCCTACACATCGTGCGGCACTTGTTTTGCAAGCGCGGGTGGACATACCTCGCTGCTGGCGTTGGCGGCGAGCGCTTGGTAGGCGCAGGCCAGAACGCCTTCTTCGTTGAACCAGTGGAGCACCTTGTTGCGGTAGTAGCCGAGCCCAATCATGTTCTGGTACTGGTCGCGCTACACAGAAATAGAAGAACGCGTCGATCGTCGATCGATCGTACGTTGGTGATGGCGGGTTCGACGAGGTCCTTTCGGCGCCAAACGACAAACTCTTCCAACAGCGCCAGCGCCCTACGCGCCAGAAAGTCAAAGTTGTCGCCAAAGCGCTACTAGGTCGCACCGCTCGACAATGGCGACGCGGCTGCGACCTTGGCAGCTCAGCACTCTGCCGCCACGCTGCACGATCTGCGACCGGAGCCAATCGGTTTGGCCCACGAGCTGCTCTCTAAGTATCCCATATATGTGAGTCGCGTGCGCAAGACCTGTGCGTCTACTTGGAGATGCCGTTGCGGAAGAGGAGGAGGATCGTCGCGACGAGGTGCGTCGGCGTGCACGTGGCCTTTTGCACGAGCGACTCGGTCACTGCGTATGCAAGGTCCGTCACGAGCGAAATCGGCTCGTTCGTCACCGGGTCACGGACGTCGGCCTTGGCGTGGGCGGCGACAAACTCCTTGACGTGGATCGCGGGCGCAAACTGCACCGAGATCGACCCAAAGTCCTTGCGCAAGACATGCGCCGACTTGAGGAGCGCGCCGAGCGACTACGGCGTCGGGGTGCATCGACGCCACCAACGCGCGAAACGAGAGTACCTCTTTGATCTTGCCTTCGCCGAGCATCTCCTTTTGGTGCACGCCAAGCTCAACGGGCTTGTCATAGTCGATGGTGACGGGCACAATATGAATCTACAGCAACGGATCAATAAATGCCACTGGATGGAGCCACGAACGTTCTTGACGCGGCCCGATTCAAAGCTCTTGACGATCGTCGAGAGCATGCCAAACTGCGGGCGCAGCTGCTTTCCGCTGCGGCTACGCGTGCCCTCGAGGAAGAACTCGACCGTGTGGCCCTTCCCGAGCAAGTACTAAGCAACCATCAATAATGGTGACGACGACATTTCTTGCGTGGTGCTACCTGCGTATACTCGGTAAAGATGGCCGAGTACAATGGGTCGTTCTTGAAGGACCGGCGGATGAAAAACGCGCCGCCCTTGCGCAGCAGGTCCGAGATCGCTCTAGACAGAGCGCATCAACGACGACGGCGAGATGCGCGTCCGTGCATACCCCATATTGAGAAAGTCTTCGCCCGCGAGCACAAACGGAATCGGGATGTTGTACGCAAAGAGAGGTACGTCATCATGAGAAAGTCCATGTACGACCGGTGCGTCGGGATGAGCACGAGCGGACCTTCGCGGGCCTTGACGAGGTTGCGGATCGCTTCGAGGCCGGCTTCGTCGACCACGATCTTGTCGTACATGTGACGCCACACCTGGGAGCAGTGTGAGATTGCAACGCAAACATACATACGGAGAAAGACCTTGCGGAGGAGCCAGCCCGCCTTGCGCGCAGCCGAATAGTCAATGTTGGACGCCATGCGGTTGAGGATCGAGAGCGCCTCGGCCTCGATCTCGCGCCGAGAAAGCTTCGGATTGGCTGCCGCTTTGGCCGCGATGGCCTCGCGCACGGAAGGCGACTCGAGGATCAAATTGCGAATGGACGCGATCGAGTCGGCGGGTACACGCGGCACGTGGCTCGCCTCGTGATGCATGCCCTCGCGCCAGCCTGCGCTCACATGAGTCAAGACAGCCGCAGTTTTCCATGCGGTTGTACCCGTGAGGCCCATGAAGCGGCCCCAGATGCCGGACTTGGTGTAGCCTGGCTTGCGGCTGGACGTGAACGCCCACGAGACGTCAGGCAAAAGACCCGGGAACGAGATCGCGTGGTGGTCCGGGTCCCACTCGAGAATGCGATCCGTGTTGAGCGCCATCTAGCAAAGAGTCATGGTGCGTGGTGGGGTAGTTGGAGACACAAACCTCCGTGTGCTGCGTGCCCTCAATGTCGACGTCGACAATGTCTTCGTGGAGAATCCACTTCTTGAGGCCAACACAGTAGTTGAAGAGGTACCGTTCCCAGACGATCTCTCGCGGGTTTACAAACCTAGCTCCGAGCTGCAGACAATGTATCCAAGAGGCTTGTAGCAATACCAGGCATCGGTTGCGAAATCAGGCATGGAAGCAAAGCGTAGGAGGTTGTCGGATGAGAAGACCCACTGGTTCTCGGTGAAAGGCTTGAAGAGCTCGACAAGCTGCCGCGCCCGCCACGTGAGCGTCCAGAGCCGCGACGCCTGCTTCATGTGGTGCGGGTTGCCCGATGCGTTGGCGACCGTCGAATACACAGACGACGGCAGCGCATACTTGAAGAACCAATGCAACTGGAAAAGTTGGTGGCTTGAATGCATTGAGAACTTGTACGGGGCGAGCGCTTTCTCCGGTGGGTTCTGCTCAAAGTACGCACTCAGAGTACCGATTGGCACGCGCCAGCGTAGCTGATTTCCCCGCGGGTCCGATGTACCCGAGTGCACGACGAGCGGCGGCGCACTGGCGGGTTGTTTCGAGCGCGCAAAGCCGCTGACGAGGATGCCATTGACGACAAAATCGACCTGGTTTGAAGTCGTGAGCTTGTGGCAGAAGTTTGATATACAGTGTAGCGGTTGTACCGGAACGATGTCGGCGACGCTACGCGGGTTGCCCGGGAGGATCGTGAGAATGCCCATGCCTGCGGCCAAGAAGATGGCGCCAGCAGCGGCAATCTGGTCGACCTAGACAGAGAGCGTCAACACCAACAAAGAGTAATGGTATCGTCAAAGTGAGTACCCAGCCTGGCACGGGCTCCTTCCACGCCGCGCCGACGATCGTGGGACGGAAGATGACGACGGGAAGGTGCGCGCGGTGCTTCATGATCATGTGCTCGGCCATTGACTTGGTGAGCGTGTACGTGTTGGGGTACGTTCCGATCAAGTTGAGGTGCAACTTTTCAATCTCGGTGGGCGACGCAGCCTACGTGGGATTGCAGTTGACGGCGATGCCATGTTGCGTACGCTCGTGACGGCCGCAATCGCTGCCTCCGGGTCGAAATCCAGCGGGTAGAGCTAAGAAGCACCGTGTTTGTGAAGAAGCAAGGGACGGAGAAAGAATCGGCACCTTTTCCTCGAGCGTGCAGTTGCGCTGGTTGCTGTTGACATACGCGGTCGACACGTGGACGTACGACACGACGTTCTTCATGCGCTTGCCAAAGTTGAGCATGTACATGGCGCCCAGGCAGTTCATCTAGTGGAGAGGTAACGTCACATCTGAGATCTGTCGAGATACCTCGACAGCCACGTCGAGTGGTTCGTTGAAGCTGACGCTGGCGGCCGAGTGCACGACGACGTTGACCTTCTCGATCAAGAGTGCCGCATCTTCTGGCGACATGCCCAAACTGGCCGAGTTGATGTCGCCGGCAATGCCATGCAGCTTGGAGCGCACGAACGTGTCAAAGTCGCTGCGCTCGGACCGGAGGCGGTTGAAAATGGCGCTAGAAACACGCGTGAGAGATGCGACATCGCTGACCGTAGCACGCACCTGCTAATGACGTCCGACTCGAGGCGGTCGGCGGCGGACCGGCCTTTCTTCGGGCGCACGAGCACGTAGATCTTGTCAATGTCGGGCGTACAGCGCAGGAGCTTTTCGATGACGACCTGCATGGCACGTGTGAGGCCAATGCTCCGTTGTCATGCATTCGTACCTTGCCGATGAAGCCTGTGCCTCCCGTGAGGAAGAGTCCTTTGCCAGCGTAGAAGTCCTCCATGCTTCCAGTCGCCACAATGGAAAATGCAAACTTGAGACGATTACGTCGCGCTGTCGATTTCGAAAGGATGACGCATTCAACCGGATGCGTAGCGGATTTATGTTACACTTCAGACAAATATCTACATTTTATTTTTAATATTTCAATAGGGTTAATAATCGCCTGTGGGCTGGTGTTACGAGGAGGTTCCTATGGATCATGGATAGGTTGCCTTGCACTTTGCTGTAGGAATGGCGCATCTTGTGTTGATAGCTATTCAAACTAAATCTGAGTAGCATCACCACCAGCAACCAAGGGTATTATATACCCTTTAAGCAACGAAACTGTGCAGCGTCGATTGCAAAATGGGGCGTGAAGCTCCATACCAGAGGGCCTTTGTGCACATGATCAATAGAGAATAACCTTGACGTTACTGCAATCCCTGCATGGGGACAAACCACAGCTGCACGTACTCGCAGGATATGTAAACTCGTTGACGAGAGTGAAGAGGCGAGGAAACTAGTAACGTTATTAGAAGCTGCTGACGCAGAGGAGTGAAGAAACAATTAAGTGGTCGAATGCCAAGCAAAATGTGCGAGGACCAGTCGCGGGTTTATTCGGCCTACGGGCAGATATGCCCGTGGTGGGGGTGAAACCAAACAAACCATATAGGGCTAACCGTCTACAAATTGTAGAGGCAAGCCGACAATCCAAACCGGTCATACTAACCTGTTATCTGTGTCAGCGGACTCAGCTTCCTCAGGTCCGAGGGTGTGGGGAAAACGTCATCGCCGGGAACGTGAGTTCACTCGACGACGCATGGGAAACCCACATGCCGAGGCACAAATGATGGTGCAGCGAGGGCCAAGGTGGATAGCGGATTACACCAAGAAGCTCAATTCTTGACGACGAGGGAGGTCTACACGCAAAAGTTGGCGCACCGAGCCACCCCGCATTGTCGAGGCCAGGAGAAATCAAGCATCTTGTCTGCCCAAGCGAGTTGTGCAAGTGTGTCATGCGTTGGGTGCTTGCATTCCATACTAATGGTAGTAGCCAACGCTGGGTGTGACCGACGCCAATGCACCCCAAGTCCACCTACCGGTACTAGTAGCGCCTGGACCTAGTACCGTATATACCTCGAGCAATTCGCAACATTTTACAGGGGTCTTTGGTTTGGATGCAATCAACGATTGTAGTGATGGGACAACTCGGTCGCCAAGTCGGCGTAGCGTTTCTAGTCAATTTTTTAGACGTCCCTATCATAGAAATCAAAAGTCGAGACGTACTTGGAGGTGTGCAAGCTCCGAGTTGAGCTGGTTGGACGAAAAGACGTTGCTCTCATCTAGTACGGTGGTAATGCGCTACGTGATAATGGGAAAGAGACATACCAACGCGTAGACCGCGCAACTCATCTTGCGTGAGCTTGGCCCCAAAGCAAAGACTCTCGAGCTTCACGATGTGTCGCTTGAGTGTCGCGACATCGCGCGAGAAGCCTTCCATCTCCATATTGCGCCTGTTCTCGAGGCCCTTGTAGCGGCCACGAAGCGTCGTTAACCGCGATTGAAGGCTATGGATCCGCGCGCCATACGTCTCTTGGACGGCTGCGTATTGCTCCTACACCATTGTACCGCTGCAGAAACCCACAGGGTGATGGCTGCCGCGTACTTTAAGGATATGGATATCGCGCTCGCGGGCCATGGCTTGTTTCCGGAACTCCTCGGCATTTTGGTTGCCTTCTTCCCGCACGGATGCGCGAATGGCCTGTACGAGCAAGTTTGTAGCGTCCTCGGTTGGGGCATGTATAGCGCACCTGAGTCTCTTGCTGGGCTTGAGTGTGTACCAATTCCTTCTCCTTCTCGATCCGGGTCTGCACTTGGTGCAAATGCACAATTTCTTCTTGCGCCTGACGTGCGGCGTCTTGAGCATTGTGTCGAGCAACCAAGTAGTCTGGTGCAACTCAGCTGCCTTGCGACACATTGAGTTATGTACCTTTGGTTGCCTTGATCAAAAGCCGCTTCGTCTTTTCGAGCTCGGCGCTATTTGACTCGAGCTGTTTTGTGTGCTCGTCGCGCTCTTTTTAAGCTCTGCGTTGACGAGCGCCAAGTCGTTGAGCAGAGCCTGCGTCGACTTCATTGACTGTTAAATCGTGGGGTGCCGCACCTGAATGCGCTGGCTTGATAACGCCTTGTGATCGTCGAGCTCTTTTGTGAGCAGTTGTACTCGCTGCAAAAGCGTATCTGCTTGCTCGCTTGGCAAATAAACCGTTCGGATCACGCGACTCTAGAGTGCTATGATAAGCGGTGTCACATACCTTGTCACCTACCTTGGGTTGGGTTGGCTCGGGGGTGCATGCGTCTGCTTGGTGCGCTGTGTGAGCTGATAGCACTTGGAAGACATGTTCCTGATTCCGCGACGTCCTGCCGCTTCTGCGGTGAGGCTGACGTTGGACCGCATCGACAGGGGCGAGATGGCGTCAACTGAGTACTCGTCCTGCACGGGGTACCGCGTCGTATGGCCCGGGCGACAATCCTTGTAAAAGGTCACTTCTTCAGCAATGGGTTGCGTAAGGCTAAGTAGATGCTGGATGCGCTTCCGGTCTTCGGCTTCTTGGATCTTAAGCGCTGCTTTGTCGCTTTCGAGGGTTGCGATTCTCTCCCGCGCGCCCTGAGCCTCGTCCCGTACGCGCGTGAGCTCCTCCCTGAGCTCGGATATCTATGGCAGCATGGTCGAGCGTCTGTAGCGGAGAGGATACCTCTTGCTTGTGCATCTTGTTTTGCCAATCCACCGCATGGCGAGCTTCGCGGGACGCTTCGAGATCACGGAAGCGATCCATCATCTCCTTACGCTCAGCCTGGAAGGCGTCGCAGCGCGAGCGGTAGAAGGCGAGCAGGCTGCCTTCTGCGTTGCCGTCCAATCCAACGAGCGGCTTTGGCCCTTGGTCGTAGCCCATGAGGAGCTCCGCGTCCTCGTCCATCTCGAAGATCCCAAAAATCTTTTGTCTGCGATTTCAATCGGATATGTATCCGGATACACGAATTACATTTCGGACTTGTCCGAAATCAAGCGCCGATTATGATGCATCAACCGTTCGTAATCGGGACATGCTCTGGGTTTGCATTTTCCATTGTGGCGACTGGAAGCATGGAGGACTTCTACGCTGGCAAAGGACTCTTCCTCACGGGAGGCACAGGCTTCATCGGCAAGGTACGAATGCATGACAACGGAGCATTGGCCTCACACGTGCCATGCAGGTCGTCATCGAAAAGCTCCTGCGCTGTACGCCCGACATTGACAAGATCTACGTGCTCGTGCGCCCGAAGAAAGGCCGGTCCGCCGCCGACCGCCTCGAGTCGGACGTCATTAGCAGGTGCGTGCTACGGTCAGCGATGTCGCATCTCTCACGCGTGTTTCTAGCGCCATTTTCAACCGCCTCCGGTCCGAGCGCAGCGACTTTGACACGTTCGTGCGCTCCAAGCTGCATGGCATTGCCGGCGACATCA